GACGATTTGACTATACTCCTTGGAATCCGACCTTATCACACTTAGTCACTTCGAATATAGATCCATTTTCAGAATATATATCCCTTGTTTACCATACTGTCACTTCTTCTCTCCAGTACGCCTTAATCTTCTCTTCAGACTTTGGATTGCTGAGTACAACACATTTTACCACTACTTGATCAACCCTCTTCAACCATATACTGGAAAAGATACCAATATGTCCGACCACCAAAGTGATAACAACATCCCTTCCTCTTCATCAGCCCCTACTAACAGTGGATTATCTAATGTAAGTCTCCCTTGAACCGTATTTGCCCATCATTAACCTCCTCAAGTCTCCTCGGGGACAAATCTTCCCGAGTCCAGGCCTCTATGGGAACCTGTTAACACATGAGGTACCCAAAGAGGAGTCTATCGACAAGCTAGTGTCTCGTATCATGGCCCCACCTCGCGACCTGTACAGTGCCGACGGCAAGACAGTCACGCTGACTAAAACCTGGGTGGTTGGTCTTATCGGCAAAGACCGCTTCGAAGACTCGGGCCCACTTCTTTACCACGTCCTTTGTCATGGTGACGAGCTTCGCGACCATGGTCTCGAATACGGCTTGTCCGAAAAGGTCTTGAGCTGGTTGATCAGCACCGAGGACACTGTGGAGTTGCCCATTGGTCATTTCAGTTACGTCTAAGAGGGTACTGGGAGAGCAAGTCTTCTCCGAGAGATCATGTCGGACGGTAGATTGTGACGATAAACACCTAGTAGTGTTCACACGTTCACGACTTGTGGCTCTTGGCAGTTTAGAGACAGTAAGAATGTGACATGGCTGGCTAGACCATCGGATGTTCTTGCGATAGATGAGATGGCTAGAGAGTATATGAGCGTCAAGGCCTTTGACTCGGAAGTCTTCGTAGCATGAATTGGATAACTACGATACCACTACGTCCGCGTGGCAACATAGGACATAATGAACCACACGTGAAGCTGATTTGTAACCTCATTATCAGTCGTGGAGATCTGAGGAGAGCACATGGTACTCTTCGACCATGCCTGCTCAGGGGTAAGTACTTCGTGCACCCTTTGCAGCACTTTTAAATACCTAGTCACTTGCGCTTGGCCTGCATACAACCAACAAGGCAGAGACGCGATCAGATCTCCAGTACGCATGCCGTTCCCAAAGAAGTTCACTCTTCTTGTCTTGCTGAACGCAATAGGTCCTAGGGGTTTCCGGTGCGTTTTACATTGATCTAGTAATAAAGTTCAAGCTAATGTATGCATTAAAAAGATGTCACTTGTACAGTGAACCACATCTTATACCCAATCAGACTGAGCAACAGCACATCAAGTTCAACGCGGAGTTGTATAAATACAATGCGTCGGACTATTGAATAATCTCCTTGCTTCACCGGTCCCGGAAGTGATTGATTTCTTTTTCCAAGTGATTGGTCTACGGATGTTACCGTCCAAATGAGGCCAAGACGTTACTGTAACTCTGACTTCCGGCGGAGAGGGCAGATCATGCACAAGAAGAGTCCGTCTGTCGCACACGTTGCTCCGCCAAGGGTGATCATCCATCTTGGCGCGCCATTTCCGCGATCTTGTGGAACTCGAAACGACTACCATGGGAGGTCAGGAGGTATCCAGGGTGTTGCCCTATAGGAGCTTGCCCAGTCGTGACGAAACCTTGATCCTAACAAGCACATAGTCTTGTTAGCGGAAGCTTCACTGCGTCTTAGCGCGGTGTCAACAGATTTGGTGCCTGAGAGACGGTCTAAAACGTGTTCCTGGATTCAGTGTTAGTCCATATTGCATGCCTGCTCCGTAGAAACAGTGGAACTCTTGTGGGCCGAAACGTCACTATGTACGCGAGATGTGTAGAACGTCTGAAAGCGGTGTCAACAGCGCCCACCGCTGGTTTGGTTAGTCTTGTGTCTGTTGCGCTGTGCTGCCTGCCAAGGGACAGATGCTTTGTCCGTTGTCGTTGATGATGTGTTGTGACAGTAACGGGAAGGAAGCTGATCCCGACGCACATGTGGTCAATCTGGTCTAGATTGGCTGTTCGGACTATGAGCGGCAGATGAACAAGTGCCAAGCGCGGAACGCAGTTCCTCCAGGGTGCCAAGAAGTGTTCAATAAAAGCAAGTCGTCGAGATTATTGCCAAGGTTGGTGATCCACGGCGTGGAGGTAGTGGAACGAAGACGTGTCTTTAGGAATAGTTTTTGTGAAACAATTATCCATGCACAATGCAGTCCATCTTACATATTCACGAGGTCGGACCGACGGTGTTTGAGTTGCTGTCGCATATTGCAAGCAGGCCGGGTCGAATACTGAGAGATGGTCGTGACTTCCTTCCGAATGCGCGTACCCCACAAAACGCACGAGCCGCGTGCAGATGGAGAAATAGCGCAATCTCCGCTGCGAAACGTGTTGAACGTTCTGCGGGTGGAAGAAGAAACAACGACTACTGCAGGTGCAAGTGGGTGACAGTGGAGAAACTACGGGATAGGAAACCAGTCGCTTGACTACAAGTCTAGCAGGACTCACCGCCATAGTTACGCGACGACGTCAGAGTGTGTATGTATTGGCCAGGCTGCATCTGTCAGCTATGCGATGGAATGAGGCGGAGTATGCCTGTTGCGTGGGAGCAGCAGGCTAATTACTCCAATGGCCGACGTTGACGCAAATCTCTTGCAAAGCAAAACCGAGTTGGCTCGCCCGACGTTTGGAGTGTCGTTGACCTATTCGTGGAACGCGATCAGGGTGCACATGGTCGCGATCGGGAGCCGTCTCAGCAGGCGTCCCTGTCAAGAGCACTGCAGATGCTGGCAGGTTGCATGAGGTGACACGAACCCCGCAATCCCATTTGATAGCACTGGAGACAGATGCTCAGTGACTACGGGACAGAGTCTGCAAGCAATCAATGGGCCTCGAAACCTCGGTGTCGTACTATATAGCGTGTGTCGGCGAAGAGGGAGCTGGTCCAGCTGGTCATTGCGAGATGCAATAACCATGGCGGGGAAATGGCGTCGCAACGGCTGGTGACCCCCACGATATTCGCCTGTCGCGTTCGGCGGCAAAGGCCGCCTAAGCTTTGGATTGACGGCGCCCTGAGCTGGGATGCGAGGGCATCACGGCGAACCATCGTCAGTTGATGTCTAGAGCTGCACAAGCAGCACATCCGCAAGGAGAGCGAATGTCGGCACGGCGGACACGGAGGCGTCCGCCTACGACCAGACGGTGTACAGAGGACGGCAGGCTGTCTTTGAAGCACATTGATGATGACTGCAGCAGCTCAGACCACATCCAAAGGCGGGTGCGGCATTTTTTCCACTGTCCAGGCAAGGCCAGCATGATGCCCATTGCCCTCTCCAGGGCTCTGTCTCTCGTCTGGCAGGCGGAGGGGCGATAGGAAGCGCTGCTGAATCAAGGGGGGCCGCCGTCACGCGATGGCGTATCGGAGTGGTTCAGTTAGTAAACGCCTGGTGGCTGGTTGCAAGACGTAGTTGCATTGTGTCGGAAGCGCGGGTTCGTGCTAGACGTGAGCCTCGTTTGGGCTTTTGTGGAGATGAAAGGGAAGGCCGTAAGTAGACAAGCCGGGCGGTCAAGCTTTGCAGTCTACGATCATCGACGCACATCATCCATCATACGGCGCTGGTGTGTGGTCGCAAGGTCCGGGTCCTGGGGCAGAGCGCACGGTGTAAGAGCATTACTGGGCGGCCTTTGCAAGACGTGCATCCGGCCTGCAGGTGGCCTCTGGCGCTGTGGGGGTTGCGCAGGGGACTTGGGCCGGGGTGTTTTTGGCGTGAATTAAAGAGAGTTTAGTCCCTCTCTGCGACTTCTGGAGCCCACATATCATTGCGCGAGGCCCCGGGCGCCGTCTGCTCATACTTTCTGGGACCATTGCCGTCTCTGTCTGGCCTGATTGCTATTCCAAGGTTAAGTGCGCGAGCAAGGCGGAGAGAGGGACGTCATCTTCCCTGTCGCTTGCCTGCCTGCATCTGGACCCTTCGACATTCACCCCTCGGCCGCTGCAAACCTCAATCGCGTGTCGTCGGTACCACATTCCGACGCAACATAATTCTTCTTCCCCAGTCACCCATAGCACTTTGTGTATATGGCTCTGTCACAATTGCAACATTTCTACCACACCCCGCTCCTGCTGCCCACCCTACACCTGCATTCGTGCAGTACGCTCGAAGGCTCGTATAACCGTCCGAGCCCTCTCCAGCGTGCGTAGCGACAAATCCCAGCACCCCGTCGTATCCCCGTATCCGCAACATTCACCCTCGACAACGCTCGGTCCCTTGCCGACCAATCGGAGAACAGCAGTCACCCTTCACCATGCCGATGGTCGCTGAACAGCCACGGCAACTGTCGATTTCCTTCGATGAGCAAACACTCTCCGACCGACTTCGCTACCGCGACTCACGCCCGCTCGACCACCGCTTTGCTATTGAAGAGGAGGACGAGAGTACCGGCACCGCAAGCGAGCCCGCAGAGCCTCTCACGCCCACCAGCCATACCAGCGAGGGCTCACCCTTCTCGCATCCCTTCCGTGACGATGATGGGTCTGTAGACGACGTGTTCGCGACCCCACGCCCTACCACGGACGACATGGAGAACAAGTCACATTCCCAAGAAGCGCCCCAAAATGCCCAAAGCCCACCAAGCATTCAGGCGCCTCAACAGGTCGAGCGACAGTCACCACCAGAGAAGCGTGGCCTCGGAAAACTGGGTTCTCTAATCCGCGGCAAACTGCACAGAGGACATTCAAGCAGAGATGGAGGTAACCAATCCGAGACTCCTAACTTTTCGACGCCCAACAGGTCTCCCAAAACAAAGGCAGAGACCAACACATACATTGTCAAGACTGGTGTAGATGGACCAGCTGAGATAGCAACACCAGCGGTCGATATCCCCAAGCAAAGTAGGAGATTGAGTTCCTTCTCACTCACACGACGCTCGGATAAATCTTCCCGTGCAAATTCCCCGCCCTTGTCTGGCTCGCCTATGAGCAGACCATCGATGGACAAGCGACCAGGACTTGGCGAAAAACCTGCATCCTCTACCGGCCTGGCAAGCATGAGCAGACCTCGACCTGGTGTCACCTGGGCAGGCAGTGGAAATGCGAATTCTACTACCAGGAAGTCGGGTTTCTCACGGAGACGGTCAGCAAGTACGGAACAAGTGCCACGTATTGATGAGAACGCAGAAAAGCCCACCGCTGGTATGCTAACTACTTTCTCCAAGCCGGCCGTCCAAGGTGTGGGCATGAAGGCACGGCGGCTTAGCATAAATCTCCCAGATGACTTCATAATAGACTGGTGCGAGCTGGATAAGGAGTTCAAAAGTTCGAGTTTGATGCCTGGAAAGAGGGGGAAAATTCTAGGCAAAGGTGCAACGTCTGAAGTTCGGATCATGGCAAGAAGAGGTGGCATAACCAGGGAAGAGGATTTAGTAGCTGTAAAGGAGTTCAGAGAACGCGACAAGGACGAAACCGAGGAAGACTACGTCTTGAAGATCAAGTCCGAATACAGCATTGCGAAGAGTCTGCACCATCCGAATATTGTCGAAACCGTACGGTTATGCACGAATCGCGGCCGCTGGAATCACGTAATGGAGTTTTGTACATATGGAGAGATCTACTCGCTAGTAGAACGGAAGCTTTTCGCGGGTGGTGCGGAAGGGTTTTATAGTCGGGACGATCGGTTGTGCTTTTTCAAGCAATTACTGCGGGGCGTCGACTACTTGCACAGCCACGGCATAGCTCACCGAGACATCAAGCTAGAGAATCTGCTTCTTAGCAAGGAAGGCCATCTTAAGATCTCGGATTTTGGCGTGGCAGAAGTTTTTAGCGGTGAGCATCCTGGGCTTCGCGCGTCTGGTGGTGAATGCGGGAAGAACATGGGCGAAATCCGATTATCTGCGCCTGGCATCTGCGGCAGTCTGCCCTACATCGCTCCAGAAGTACTCGAGAAAGACCACAGCTATGACCCGCGTCCATTAGATATATGGTCAACAGCCATTGTCTACCTCACCATGACCTTTGGGGGATGCCCATGGCAGGCTGCGAAGCCTGAGTTCGAGTACTATGCAAGATTCAAGAAGGGCTGGGATTCATGGCTGGAGCGTCACCCAGATGGTGATATCTTCGATGGTATCGACGGCCACCCAAAGTGCGGCAAGCTTTTCAGCCTCATCGAGCCCCCATCTATCAAACGACTGATGTTGAAGATGCTGCACCCGAATCCCTCTAAACGCATCACGATTAAGGAAGTACTCAAAACTACCTGCATTAAGAACATTGGCTGCTGCTGTCCGGAAACATACGATGACCCCAAGATCACGTTTGACGCTTCCAAGGCATCGAGTGCTAGGACCGCTGCTCCGAAAAAGTACCTTCACCACCACATTCCACCCAAGCCGGAGAATAAGGTTGGAAAGGCGTTCACTCATCGGTTTGACATGGGCGAACGATAACAACAACTGCATTTTTTGATGACTACTGTTTCACGATCACTGCATTACGGCGCTTGGATGTTGAGCATAGCGGGTCAAAAGGCGGATCTTGTGTCGTTTACAGTCTCGGTGCTGCACTGTATTCTTGTCTCACTAGCATGTCAGTTCTTGCAGTATTCATCGAATGCTCATTTCAAACGATCGACATATCGCATTATCTTCATCTCTCGTCCAACCTTCCATTCCCATTTCTCCCGAGCATCTTTCCCTATCAAACACACGTTGCGCGCACGATCAACATCATTGGCAGCCCTGCAGAAAGCGCAAAACGGCGATTGCCCTAGTAGCACACACCGACGCTCCACTGCCTCCACTGACTTTCGGAGCAATTATGATTGCGCAACTTGCAGCTAGCGATAGCTTGTGCTGATCTTCCGCTCTTTATCGCTAAACCCTATCTTCTGACACATCTGTAGCTTTCGTCATAACGCATAGCGGCCGCACCGACCCTCCTCACATTTCGCTGTTATGGGGCATTGGATCCCGACCTTGCATCGCTGCGATGGGAATCAGGACGGTTGGTTTGCTAATGGCCCGTCCGTCCGACGTGGCGCCGAGATACTTGGGTCTCTGGAACGCTGGTCGATTGCCTTGGCGAGGGAGGAAAATGAGTCGCGCGCGGAACAAGACAATGCTGCGATCGTAGACCTGAGAGTGGGTGGCGTATAACGGGTACAACGCCCGCTATGTTGCGCATGCCTAAGGTTGCGTGTGCGAATACGGAATCTGCATGTCATCAAAACGTGGGGAATGATCAGAGCATGGAGTAAGTCGACAAGACGCGAATCCGACCCAAGGAAATGACCATCTCGACGAAAACACGTGGGGAAGATAATACGCTGACAGTGCGCGATTGAGTTTTGATGGAACGAAGCATTGGCGCAGCACGTTAGCGGGCGGCGCTGGGCGATTTCCCAAACATGCTTCTCGAATGCGGGGCACAAGTCAAGGCCGTCGTCCACATCCTCGCTCACAGTATGCCAAACTTCCGCCGAGCTTCAATCAAGCGTTTGAGCCGAAGTAACACAGAAACCGCGTCATGTCACCATCGGCGCGTTGGTCGGAGCAGAGAATCGGCGATACGTCCGAAGCTGACTACGTCTCAACTATTCGGCCTTCCGACTTCTTACGCGAGTGGGCGGGGTAACGCGTTGCTGCAGTGGTGTGTCGCGTGCAGCTCAGCTTGGATATCACACGACTATGAACAGCATGGCAAGCAGACGGGAGGCGGCGCGGCCGAGCTCTCTGTCCCGTGCTTGTTGCGGCTGAAAAGAAGGTTGTGGTTGTAGGCATCAATGACGCATATTTGGCTGTCCACACCCCCACGAGATGGGTTCTTCGAATGAACCTCAATAACTCTTCCACACATGAAGCCCTTCGAACAAAGTTGTTAATTAAAGCACATGAGGACCAAAGATACCTGTACTCTCAACAAGTCCGCATGCACATCTGGATGGCAGCACACGAGGACGAAGATCACGTTGGCAAAAGACCAATACATAATCCACATACTCTTTCCTACCCAACACCTCCATCCACTCCTATACGCTCACCCCCCAACTCCGCATTAATAATTCCGAACAACGTTTTCTTTCACCCATGCAGATCTGCCTGAAGTCATGCAATGCACAGCGCATCCCTGCCGCATCACCTTGCAGAGTGCGGTGTGATGGACTTTTTCTTCCTTACATCGCACGGCACGTGTCCACCTTGACGCCCGATACTATGCAACCATTATGGCATTAAGGTTTACGCCCAGTGCGCCTTATCTCACATAAGGTGTCTCGAAGCGAATGCTTAGCATAAGAGTGATAGGTTGGGGTGAAACGCGTGATACGTGGAGTTGCACGAGATGCGTGGGGTGTGACTAGCGGTGGAGAGTAACAGTAGGTGTGGTCGGGTATACGGCACATGCTGCGGTGTGCGTCATAGGAGATGAAATGGAAGGTCGTTGTTAACAAACTTGAGAAGAGAAAAGCTTCTTGCTACATGCGTGTATTGCGTATACATATGTAATGTTTTCCATGTAGTAATATGCGTGAAAATGCAAGATACGATAAATCACTTTCAACGCGTCTTCTGAATTATCAATAGTTGAATATCAGCTATCGTCGCTAGTATATATTCCACGTCGTGTACAACAGTCTTTCTCTTCCACTCTATCATCACGCAGCTCTACCCACTACGGCTGCGTACTTCCCACTCACCACATCTCCCACACGCCCTCTGGTAACACCGACCTCATAATCTTCCAATGACTAACCGCACCATCTTCATGGAACTTCTCCAACTCGCCAACATCCGCGTTACCCATAACCCTACCTCCATCTTCCTTGCTGACGAAATCGTACTTGACCTCCAACTTCCTCTGCGGCTGAAGGAAATTTGTGCGTGCAATACTACCTAGGAAGTCCTTTGGAACCGCATCACGGAACTTAACAGCCGCTTTGCCTAGCCCATGATCGTTCTTGACGCAGAAAATGACCATGTTGATGAAATCAGCTTCACCCTCTTTGTGTTCCTCTGGTGCGGGAGAATCGCGGAAGAGGCGGCAGGCAGGGAAGATGGCGTGAATGGTGTTTAGTACTAGTCTGGTCGAACCCAGTGTAAGGTCACCAGCGTAGTTGATCGCTACAACACCCTCTGGTGTCAACAAGTCGTAGAGGCCTTGCATGAACTCTGTGGTGAAGAGATAGACAGGTTCTGCGCCGCCGGTGAAGACGTCGTGAATGATGTAGTCGAAGCTGCCTGGTGTTGATACGGATTTGCGCGCGACGTAGGCGGTTGCGTCGTCGATTACGGCGGTGTGATCGGGGCTCAGATCAAAGTATTTCGTGGCGTAGTGGTGGACTACAGGGTCAAGTTCGACAATTGTAGTGTTGATGCCGTGCTTGATCATGGCGTTAGGTGCCGTGCCGATACCAAGACCAATTACCAGAGCGGACTTCTTGCTATCATCGATAGTAGGTAGAGTGTCTACTGGCGGTTCGATGAGACGGACAGCTTCGAGAAGGACAAAGACCGCGAATATGGATTCCCGTTGCCGTTGACCCTTAGCATAAGCTTGCGGTGTGACTTGCCACTCGCCACCAAGGAGAGAGTGGTCACATCGAAGGAGACGGAAAGCATTGTCGGCGTGGTTCTCGAGGACGGATACATATCCCGTAACAGATTCCTGACGAGCGAGAAGCGTGTAGTTTTGTGTAGCTTGCAACGTGGAGTTTGCTAATTGGAGACCATGAGCTGAAGGGTGATGCGGGTTTGTCCAGAGCGTGTGCAGAATTGCTGGGAAGGCGAAGAGGATGACACGCGATGGGCTAAAGAAGGCAGATGCTGACGCAAGCAGCATCTGCATACCCACGCGTGTAAAGTAAACGGATGTTCCGATGAAGCTTGGGATGAGAGCGCTGCTGATCTTGGCCACGGTCGACACGGTAAAGTAGGATGCCGTAGGGACAATGACCTCCTTGATAGGCGAGGGGTTGATACCAGTGATGTCGATGCATTCCAGGAGATCGGCCGCAGCGAACACTGAGAGGAATAGCAGGGGAAAGTATGTCAGGGACTCGATGAGTAGAGGTCCATATTCGATACCGATCTTTCCGCTGTATGGAAACAGTAGAAACTGAATGACGGGGGTCCAGTACGCAACTACAGCGATGTACTGTGCGACATTTGCAGATACGTAGCTCTTCAAAGCGCGTCGCGTGATAAGAGCTCCAACAGCAGTGAGGGTCATCGTGCGTTGGTGATGTAGGGATGCAGGAATTGATCCATAGACCGGTGATAGATTGAGCTGCGAAACTGGTGATGCGAAACCTGCAACCAGGAGGAGTGCTGCCGCTCTACCAACATTCAAGAGGATAGTTGATGCTGAAGCATTTTGCGCCTGTGGTTCCACCTCTTTTACTGCCTTCGGCTTCTTCTGGGTCTTTTTTGGTGACATGCTGTGAAATTCCTGTTCTATCTCTTTCTATAAATCAAATGCGATATCTCTTGATCCAGTTGAGGTGGTAACTTTTGCGATAAAAAAAGAACGACAGTATATTTTCAATGTCGAAAAGACCAGATATTGCGAAAATGCTCCAAGCGACCTAAGGTCTTCGCCCACTCTACACGGACCGTATATCCGTGATAGTGGTATTCGGCCTGCGAACGACGAGATGGATCAACGCAACGCAAAAGAAGGATATAAGGCAGGAAAAGGAAAAGAAGGGACGTTGAGATTAAAAAGCCAGAAGGCCAGCTGTTCCTGGCTGAATTGTTTGATGCACGGGTGAAACTGGCGATCATTAAGGTGGAGTTCGTTTCGACTGGGCGCGTTTCGCACTAAAGTGTGGCGCCTAATACCGCGTGTGGCGTCATTACCAAGCATTGCGAGATTGAGGATGCGCGCCGTGATCGATTGCTCCTCACACCTCAACTGCAGTGGGAGGACCTTTGAAGTCTCACTCCCTTTAGCATGCCATACATGACGGGATCACCCACGATGGCGTCTCTCGCCCTACGACCAGCGAACGCGTCGGAAGAAGCCAAGAACCCCGCCGACGTTCACGACAGTACCAACGGTGATGCACCGGCACCTGTAGATGAAGATGTAGCCATGGACGACGACATAGACGAATCGCTGCTCCGCGACCAACTACGCCAACAACAAGACGAACGCGCCCAACGACTCCAAGCAAAGAACAGGCGCAAGCGCTACCTCGAGGTACACCCCGAATACTTCTCCGACTCGTCGCTCGAACTCGCCGACCCGCTTCTCTACGACCGTCTTATACGTCGCTTCCAAACCGCATCCGAACGTGAAACTGAAGGGCGCAAGAAGGGCTTCTCTGGTCAAATGGCCACGGATCTGTGGCGCGCCGAAGCAAAGAAGGATGCGCTTTCACAGCCAGACCCAAACAGTCTCTTCACATACAACCGAGGACCACAGGGCCAGATAGTGGAGGAGGACAAGGACGATGTGCAAATGACAAAGGAAGAAGGGAGGGCGTGGTGGGTGGACGAAATGACACAGCGTTTCCTGAGAGGTGGGGACGAGGATTTTGAGTATGAGAAATTGGTGGACAAGAACCCCAAATACGATGATCCTGAGCAGGAGAGAGACTTGGAGGATGCATATTTCGACAGCATGGAGAGCGACTTTGACTCGGATGGGGAGGGCAAGGAGAAGGTGCTCACGGGTGAAACAGGCATACAAGACTACTGAGCATAATCGAGTGATGATCAGACAGTTAAAGAGAAGTCGAGGCGAGGAGATACTCTTTTAGTCGTTCTGGACATCTGCGACATCCAGCGAACGGGTACGCGGTCACACATGCTAATTGTCTAGAGTACGAGACTAACAACACCCAGGCTAGAGGAAATACCTGAACGTAATCGCCCGATCACCGAGCGCGCCCAGCTCCTCCGGACTATACCCGTTATGCGCACCTTCGGCTACCTGTCGTTCCCTCTTCGCATTGATGCGCTTGTAGTTGAACACTATGAACAGCAATGCTAGAATACCCGCCACGATAAATCCGAGCTCAAGAGCGTGGCCGAGAAGATATCGCGGCGCATCCTCTGCACGATAGAAGTTGGAGGCCATGGCGCCCGCCAAATTACCTACGGCGATCTGGATAGCTTGTCCTGTAGCTCTCTTCGTACTTCCAGCCAAATTGTTGCTGAGCCATGTGATATTTCCTGGAAATGCCGGATAAAGAGCACAAGCAGCAATGAAGACACCTGCATATACGAGTCCTGGTACGCTGCCGCCTGCGATACACATGATAAAACCAACGGCCATAATGCAGAGGCATACCAAGATAAACGGATACCGCTTGCCAACCTTGTCGCTGTAGTATGCGACGACAACAGCAAGGACGGACGCGGTGATGTAAATGGGTACGGTCAAGAGTTGAGCTGTCGAGGAGCTATATCCGAGTGCGCGAATGATCGAGGGCAGGAAGAGCGATATGCCGTATAGTGGACATACGATTCCTGGCTCTATTAGCTTGGCCTATCGAAAGATGAGATAGAAGACCAGACATACCCCAGTATACCAGAACATTCAACCAAATTTGCCAATCCAGAAAAGCGCTTTTGACAAATTTCCACTGAAAACTGTCATCCTGTGCTACCCTAACGCCGCCATCTACCTCTTCCTTGAAATTCTGATATTTCAGGCGGTAGACAACAAAAGCGCGTTCTTCTTCCGTGAGAAAGGAGGCGGTTTCCGGGAAATCGAAGAGGGTGAAGTATGCAATAACTGCCACGATAACAGTGAGGATTCCTTCTAGGATGACTAGGAATAAGTGTATAAAGTTAGTATATGTCTCATATACCATCCCTACGCGGATACTTACAGATCCAACGCCAACCAGCAAGATTTCCTACACCGTCCATGTGTGCAATGCCGAATGCTAGAAGACCGGAGAAGGCGCCTGCGACGGAGGCAGCGGAGAAGAAGAGGGCTTGGCGGAACTGCGCTTCATGGCGGGCGTACCACATTGTTATGTAATAGGCTACTCCAGGAAACAGACTGTTCGTAGCGACTGTTAGTTAGCTGTTCAGTCGCTCGCAGGATACGTTTTGTGCGAAGAGAAGACAGGGAGATGTGGTTTTGAGAAGAAGAACATACCCAGCTTCAGTTACACCTAAGAATATTCTCGCAATGAGTAATCCCTCGTAGCTTTGTACTATCCCCATGAGTGTCATGACGATACCCCATGCTACCATGATGGTTGGTAGCCAAATCGATGGCCGAAGTTTCTTGAGCAAGAGGTTCGATGGTACTTCGAAGAAGGCGTACGTAAAGAAGAACACTGTTAGACACCTAAATTTGTCGTTAGCCTATCGAAACAAGACCGCGATGGGATTACGAAGAGCATACCAGTTGTATTGCGCACCAGTCATGTTGAGATCTTCAGTCAACCCTTCAATCTTCGCATTACCGATGTTTCCTCGATCCAAAAAGGACAGCAGGTACAACAGAGCTAACATTGGTATGAGGCGCAAGTCCATCTTTCGCAGTATCTTCTTCTCGTCAAGGTGGGCGAAAGATGCCATCGTCACACCAGGACTCGTAGCCAATGCATCGATACGCTCCTTCTCTTCAGCCTTCGATTTCCCATGGCCGAAAGACGTGATGGAGGCTTTGCGATCCCTGTGAATGGACGTGCTATCTGGAGAATCGCTGGCTTGGGAAAGCCGATGTATGGTAGGCTTCTCGTCCATGATGGTGGCGGTGGTGTGTAGGTATCAGCGTTAGCGATAAGCGAAGCAAGCTTTGTGAGAAGAAGGGAATCGCCAGCGACAACGCGCAACGATAAGGGTATCCAAGAAGTAAAGACCCTCTAGCTCTAAACACAAAAACCTGGGGATCGTCCTAAACCACGGCATAAAAGCCACGAGCCGCTGATCAACGCCCTCGCGCGAGCGCGGACACTGCATGTTGATTATCCATCGTCTCCACCCCCATGGGGCGCACCATCACCGTCTGCCGTGAATATCCAACAAGCATCGACTTCACGCTGCGGGTACACAACCCGCCCTTACAAGCACACGCTCGGTCATACAATAAATTCCGCCATTGACGCACGCCCAGCCCCTCCCCACCCTCTTAACTTTTCTTACCTACCGTCCGGCCACTTATCATGCACGAGTGAAGCCTTCGACGTGCGTCAAGACTTTTTCCGTCCAGTCTTGAGTGAGAACAAGGGGTTTCGTAGTGGAGGCATGTGGACCTGGGGAAAGCTGGGGTAGAAGCGGAGGTGATGAACGGTACTTTTTGCTGGTTGGGGGCGATGTAAGTGGGCGCTCCAGATGGCGGGTTACTGGTTTGGGTAAGAGGCCGGGGCGAGACGGAAAGTGTTCCGCTTCACGGGACCTCTATGCATGTATAGCGCACAAACAACTCGGCTGAAGAGGCTGACCTATGATTTTGTCTTGTACATGTTACAACTATCTGAAAGAGAGACTAGTTGTGATAAACAAAATAAGCAGGATGGGCGCAAATGAATGAGGCACAGATGCTCAAGAGAGCGATCAAGTTGAAGAAAAGATTGAGCTAGCTCATTCCGTGAAGCACAGCTGGAAATCTCTTGTTGTACCGAGCAGTGGATCATGTAGGTACTAAACACCGATGTGTGAGAAGCTTCCACGGCCTTGGGATGGAATAAGTCTAAGGATTTGTCATTGATATATGAATGCTAACATCGCCCACTGCCAACGCCCTAGTTCAAATGATCGTTGGAAACTACAAAAGGAAAACTAGAAGAGGCAACGTAGTAGCAAACGGTAGCGACAGCGAGAAGAACTAAGAGCTTGAGAGACCGACTAATAAGACAAAGTTAGAAGTGAAAGAAGAAATACCAGGCAATAGAGGTTACAAAAAAGAAGACGATGAAAGATTGAGCCGTGTACAAGACGCCGTAACTCCATCATCTAAGAAGAAACAACACAAGCCTCCTTGATATAGAAAGAAAGGAGATCAAGGACTTGAGGCGAGGAATGGACGACAAGATAAGCTGAGGCGGCAGATGGCTATCCCCACGAACTCTATGATTAACATAAAGGGCAAAACGTTTGCCAGCTCGGATTTTCTGCACCGCAGTTTGGACATGTCCACATATCTTCCGAGTGGTCTGGGACGGCAATGAAACCTCCACATGCTTGAGTATAGCCAGAATTCACCGTCAAGGACGCGGAAGCACAGGGAACGTAGACGTCCGTAGATATGGGATGATACTGGAGCCCCGATTGCGACTCATGAAATTGATAGGCGAAATCTCCAGATACGTGTTTCATACTCGGTGATTTGTGTTCGATGCAATGCTCGTTGCTTCCGTAGTGGTGATCAGAGGTTTGATTGTGCTTGAAACTGGTAGACTCTCTGCTATCGATGGGGGAGTTCGATCGCTTCATATTTGCTTAAAGCAGCTTATATCGTGTTGGTCGAGTTCGTGGTGATAGTTTGGAACAATGGCTTTAATACCGAACAAAGATGCTTGAAGCAATGATTTTATATCGTGTGTGATCTGAGTGTTCTCGGTCGTTATGACTGTGGGTGGTGATGGAGCTTGAGATTGAGTGTGCTTGTTGTTGACTGATCATACAACAGCAAACTATGGTGCTGTAAGTAGTATATATGCGTCTCCAGAGAATGTGAAGCTTCAAACGACTTGGTAATAATCATTTGCCTCTTAAAACACCCGTGATGCTAACCTTGGTCCACCTTAGAAGGGGCGCGCGCTAGATTAGATGTGCCCTTCGTGCTTCATCCAGTCCCTTCTCTTAGTGCCTAACAGTTGAAAGACCAGTATCCAATACCCACATCGTGAAGAGCGCTTCACTGTGTACGTCGTAATGCTGGCATCTAAGCCTGCAAGAGGACGTTGACTGCTACGGAGTCATTGTGGTACTCCAACAAGCATCGTGAAGCCCAGGTGACGCTTCTTCATTAGGTGAAAGGTAGGGAATAAGAGAACGGCGAGCCCGATAGAAAGTGGCACAGCACGACGAGACGTAGTGCTTCACACTAGCTACCCCGGCATGTTGAGTCCTTCCCACAGACCTGATGTAAATAAGGTTTGCTGGGCGTCCTCGCCATGAGAGATCTGTAGAAGAATTGCGTCATTAACGATAGGCGAGCACAGGATGCGCCGAAATCGTGGGAAAATTGCCTATCCATGAACAAACCAGGCGCATGAACCCTAGTCCGTTGTCCAAATTTACGGCGGGCGTACAGAGAACGTGCCCTTCGCGGTGCTACTCACGTCAATAGCATTGCAGTCCGTCTTCTCAACCACTGACTCGACCTCAATTCCGACCAGTCATTCGAAAGCCGTGATGCCATAGTACCACCATAGCCACCGTCCTCTTGTGGTGGTTCATGAAGCGCGCGTAGAGGGCGGCAATCTGGCGTCACGTACTCTTCGAACCATGAGAGCGTGCGTCGTAAGGCTGCGCGGTCAACTCCGTCGGCAGGCTGAAATGTGCAGTGCAGCAGGCAATGTTGGCCTCAGAAAGGGCCCAGAGGGCCCGTGAATAGGCAGTCGGCGCACCATTTGCCTTTTCGTATACTGCTGCTTTAGGATAACGCAAGCGAAGGTAGTTGATGCGTACATGTCGCAATGTTGTGCATTCTGTGCAGGTGACCAAGAAGGACTCCACTGACGCGGAGGGCAATTACCGGCGCCATGTATATGATTGTTAGCGGTACTGCGAAGAGTCAAACATGATTTTAGCGCATAGGGACTTGATGTAGTGTTGAAGACCGATAACGCTGCGATGTTAGGGCGTGGTGTTGAAGTGCCCCCATCACAAAGGGTAACCAGCACCCAAGCTCGAGGTTGCCGTACATCCGATCGACCCGCCCCTCAGGGAGTCTCCCAGACGGCAAGGACGGCAACAATCCAAGGCTCTGTAGTTTGCTTGACGATTTGGCTCTCTGATAAGGATCTCTCCCATGCGGTGGTGCGTGAGCTTAATTATGAGGTTAATGCGACGTCGTGTTGGTGAGTTGCAGAGTTGTGCTGGGTTGGCAGGCGCGATCCACACAGCGGAGTGGGTATCGCGATTTGGCTTGGCAGACGAACCCACCGAGTGGAGAAGGCGGCGACATGGTATGCAATACACGCAATTCGCGAGTAAAGACACAGTTGCACATATATTGTTCGGATGTTCGTGGTGCGAAAGCACCTATATCTTGTTGAAGGACAATGACATGTAAATCACGAGCCAAAGCAGCATTACACCAATTACACATCAAAAGCCCTGGAAACAGACAGAATGGCAAAAATGTTGGGAAGACCAATATTTGGAGATTTTGGTAGGATCAAATTATTTTGTTGCATTAGGTGAGGTCACCGACAGCACCTTTGGTATTTCATGCATGGCAATGGTATCCAATGAATAAACGAATGGAGCCGCTGGTAACGCTTCTAAATCAACCATGCGACGAAGGTTCGGTAGAACCAACTGCTGCCCTTGCCCTCGGTAGCCTTCTTCTCCGCGGCATGGGCAAGGAAAGCCTCCTCCTCACGATCAATTTCGGCCTTGCCAGTGTAAAAGTCGGCTTCGTGAGGCTTGACCATCTTCGATTTCATGATGAATTTGTAACCGAAAATGCAAATCAGATAGACCGGAATGCCCTAAGGTGATAGGTTAGCAACGAAGCTGGATGGAATAGGTTGTGGAACTTACAAGGTATCCAGTGATGAAGTTCTTATAGTCGAAACTGCCATAGTCTTTTCCCTTGGTGAAGACGCTGAAGTTCTTTGTCAAAGCGATGAGAATGCAGAAAAATAACGCAATGTAGGAGCCAATAAGACCGAATGGAGCATGGTAGGCCATCTGGTCGTTGGTAATGCCCTGAGCGCGGCGCGCACGAACAAACCAAATGTGTGACACCAGAAGCGAGATCCAGGATAGAAGTCCGAAAATGGTCGTAAGATTGACAAAGTAGCCGAAGACAACCTTGGCATCATCTGCGGCATTCATAAAGGCAGTGCAGCAGAACAGCGCAGAGACGAGCAAAGCAGGTACGGGTACACCACGCTTGTCGGTCCAGAGGAAGATCTTGGGAGCATGGCCTTCGACAGCGAGACCGTAGATTGTACGGGACGCGATGTAGAGATCCGAGTTCGAGGCGCTGAAAGTGAAGAGCAAGATGCAAGCATTGACAAGGCCTGGAAGGTGTGGGATCTTTGCAAGCTTGATAGCAACAACGAAGGGCGAAGCGGAGGCACCAGTAGTAGCCTTGTTTGCGAAAGCCAGCTCCTCGGAGTTGTAAGGTACAATCATTCCTAGGAAGAACACCGATAAACAGTAGAAGAACAAGATCCGGTAGAAGGTAAGCTTGATCGCGCGAGGGATGGTCTTGCGTGGGTTCTGGGCCTCACCAACGGTGACACCGATGAGTTCAGTACCAAGGTAGGCAAAGACGGCATTGACCAAAGAGCTCCAGAAACCGTAGAACTTGCCGGCAGATCCGGTGGTGATGTACGGCTTGAAAGCACCTGGGTCGTCGTAGTACTTGAAACCAGTCGCTCCACCAGGTCCAGCACCGACCGCGAGGAGAAACGACAGCAAGATGACACCGACCTTTCTGCAAGTTAGTTTGAAGCTTGAGTGTTAAAAGTAAAGCACTTACAATCGTAACGACCTTGATTGAACTGAGCCAGAATTCGAGTTCACCGAAGAACTTGATACCGAAGTAATTGATGGCGATAATGGCGACTAAGAAAACTGCGATCCAGACACCCGGATTGACTTCATCTCTGGATTTCCATTCCTGGAGAATCAAAGCGGTAGCAGTAAGCTGATTCGGCGTTGTGATGACATATTTGCACCAATAAGTCCATCCAAGAGCAAAACCGAGAGCAGGGTCGCAGAAACGAGTAGCATAGCCAGCGAAACCAGAAGCGTGAGGGATCCAAGCAGCCATTTCGCCAAGAGCAGTCATGACGACGTAGACGATGAGACCGACCGAAGTGTAGGCGATGAGAATTGAACCAGGACTGTTGTCGTTAGTTTGAACCGAAACACACGCAGGTTTGCGCGACTTACCCAGATTGTGCCAAAGCCTTGCCAGTACCGATGATGAGACCAGTTCCAATGGCCCCTCCAATGGCAATCATAGTAATATGACGCGACTTGAGACCACGGTGCAGATGCGAGTGGTCGGCGTGGACAGCAACGCCATTACTGTCAACGGCAGGGACCTGTCCGGTCGTCGTCTGGTACTCGGATTTGACACCGTACTCAGGATCGGAGTTGTGAGGGCTTGCGCCGTCAGAGGAACTCGACTTGCGGTTCCAGATGGCCATTTTGAACGAGATGTGGTGTGTCCAGTCTGGTTGACTATCTCTCTATGGGGCGCTGTGGTAACAGCCGCGCACAGGTAAGAGTGGGCGGTGATTGCGGGGGCGCGAGCGCGAACCCAAGAAGGTGAAGCAATTCAAACCCTGGGGTTGGGGAAAAAGGAACTATATCGACGACAAGTCCTTCAAAAACAGGCGAGTGAGGCAGCGAGAAAGCCTTGAGCGCGCCTGAGCAGCAGGGTTGACCGGTTGTTATACGACCGAGGCTGCGGGGAGGGCGAGATAGTGGTCCCAAGGAACGGTGCTGATAACGAGCTACCCGGGAGGCTTGTCGCGGCGGGCGAAGTAACCCAAGACGGCCAAGCAGAGAGGTTTGCAGTGAAGGGATGGTGTGGAACGCGTAAAACCAGAATCAACCAATATCGGGAAGAGATCCATTCTAGAGCGTCTTGACCGCAGCGCCAATCGCCCGGTTCAGCGAGCCATGGTGGTGCGTCTGTCTTCTCCGCGTGTATCTCCTTCTTGATGCAGTTGGACTGGTGGGACTGACCCTGCTCTGCATATCTTGGCGGTGACCTTGGCATGACAAGCCAAGTTTGTTGCCTATCCTTAATTCGCTGGTAGTCTGATAAGGACATATTTGACGTCTGTGGGAACCGACAAAAAGCGCGCCATCATCAGCAACGCCCTACGAATAGCCTCGGGTGTGTTATTTTGCGTTCGTAATAGAGACGGAAGCTCCAGCCTGATGGAGCACAGCGTTGCATGAGGCGATGCTGCGGGTGTAAAGACACGGCGGAGCTGAACTAATGGTTGCGTGACTGCCAGGTCAGCCGCGGCGGTTTTGCCCCCCGCATCGTCTCGTTAGGCGGCTCGTGCACGGCCCGGCAGCTCTTTGGGGTGGCAGGAGTTGACGCGCTTGACGGTGCCATGTCCTAGACCCCGACACAGCTAGACTCCACACAGCGCCCACAAGGACCCAGTCTTGATTGCCGCTCTCACGACAGCATTGTTCAATTCACATTACATATCGCGTGCTCGGCAGCTCCACACCAAGACTAAAATATTAGAAACTCGTCCGCACCCGACACACGTCGGACCGATCCACATTCGCAAGAGATAACCCTATCAAAACCGGAGACTTCATCTTCTTCGTTGTGAGATGGAATCACTAACAAAATGTCTCTCTAGCGCTTTGTCGGTAAGATTTTCACTTAGTGGATGCAGTCATGGTCTGGTCTGGAAACGTTGGCGCTAAGCACATGCTTCTGGAAGACACCAAGATTACGACCTCTGTCTGCATTGGCGATCTCCAAGGTCACTCGGTGCTCGTTATCTACTTGGCCAACACCCGAAGGATTTACTGGACCGCTCTGGCCGACAATTCCGCCGCCCTCCAGAGTCGACGGTGAAGTTGGGCCGTACCCAAGCACTTGGTATCGTTACCAACATCGAGTCCGTTGTCAAGTGCGCGAAGCAAATGGAAAGATGCTAGGATACCTTGTATAAGCCGACGTGTGACCCCAAACAGTATGGCAAACGCCTCGCATTCGCCAATCGACCCAGCATGAAAGAGCAAGCGGGAGGACTACCAACTTGATCGGGTATTACAAATGTCAGCCTTCAACTGCAGTCACCGGGCGCAAGCTTCTAGCGCCTGAGGGTAGATTCAGTCCCGGATCTTCTTCGTGCGACTATTATTGATGACTGAGCCAGTTTCCCCTTTCGAAGTCCACGCCCAGAACTCAATCCTCATGCCCCAGCCTTCGCCTATTCATCTTCCATCGTCTCCTCAAACACGCCATCAATGACGCGAACATCACTACAGCAAAGACACTCATCACTGTCGCCACGATGTATGTCCCCAAGGATGTCACAGAAGAAGAAGACGCCATACAAGACTGTATCTCTGTCGAGCTAGAGTAAAATGTACTGGACTTCGTTGTCAAGGTGCGCTGTTCTGAAATGGACTGGGTTGGAAGCGGTGGTATCGGCGCCGTCACCGTGATGATGCAACGAAGCGATCGAGGACTGGCCGCCTCGGCCATACTTCTGTGTCAGTGAGAAAGAAGAACAAGAAATAATTTGTGAAACGGGACAGAAGGAAGTGGCAGGAGAAAGAGGGCATGATGCGTAACGTCTAAGTATTGGCGGAAGACGTCAACGAACGTCTCACATGCAATTCGTTTAGGATGCCTGACTGCTATACCTGGAAATACTGTTTACACGCCTGCTTCGTCACGCAGTCGAACGAAGGTTACCAGCTCAGCATCCCCCAAGAGCAGTATCGCCACGAATATCGAACACAAGGCTAGACAGAGCTAAACCGTCGATGGCTTTTCGAAGCCCTCGCAGTCCGGATATGGCTGAACCTACCAGGTTGCGAGATCGAAATCGTTTCTTCATCCTCTTGCACATCCGGAAGGCTTGAAGGACTTGTTGGCATGGGCGTGTTGGCCGACCAACGATCGTGATCCGTTTGATTCGAACTGAGCTCAGATATTGGACTGGTCAAATCGAGTTCTGACGGAGGCCGTATTGAGTCAAGTTCAGACATCCGATTGCTTGTGTGACTATACATGGTGGGCGGATCATCTCCTTGTAATTCGTGGGTAGGTTCGTGGTTCTGGTGAGGATCGTAGTCCGTTTTCTCATTGGAGCTATCTGGTTGCATTGACGACACCACAGGCGTTTCCCTATTTTGAGCTGCTTTACGTCTCTTGCGGATGACGAACCATGCTATCAGTGCGATTACTGCAAGACCAGCAACTGTAATCCCGGCAGCGAGTCCCCCTGTCGCGGCCGCACCGAGCCCTTCGCTTTTCGTATTCGCGCCTTCGGCGGCTAATTGTGTGGAAACTGGCTGTCCAGTCGAAGGTCGTGTAATCGTAAGCATCGAGGAAGTCGTGGGAACAAACGCGGACGTAGATGCTTCCGTTGGGCTCGTAGACAGTGGAGACACGGATGTGGATGCTGGTTGCGCATCAAAATAAGTCAGGAGTATGTTGTCCGTTGCGATCAGTGTATCAATATCGAGACCATGGTTACTGCACTCGAGCGAAACGGAGGCAGCGAAGGCTATAAAAAGTCAGCCAGCTTCTAGATGCACTACTGAGAGTTCACGGCAATACCTATCTTTGCGGGCTCTGCGCAATTCTCTGAGATGCACGCCAGTGGTGTAACATCGCCATTGACTAGTCGTTCAACCCACGCCACTTCTCTGCACATGCAGTAGAAGTCGCTGGCGATACAGCTCAGCTCATCGTAGAAACCCGGGTTTGCGACTGTGTATGAGAGACAGTTGCTCTGAATCTTGTTTAGTCGGTATTCAATCTTTCAGAATAGCACCACATACCGTGCATCGTTCCCAATCCCAAGTTCCCGACATGACAAAGTTACATTGGTTCCTCAACTAGATTGCAGCCTCTCCATCTTGTATGGTACCTATGCTTGACAGTGGGGTACCTCGAAGTGACCTCGTTGGGATGAATGTACTGCACTCTTCCTAGCATGGATTCTGTTTGGCTTTGGATGGTCACAACGTGTCACGCGGCACGGCGATTTCCTGTTGTATTACGGCGCGGACCGCACTATCGACCCTGCAGCAACCAAGCGATTCGTTCAAGCCTGCGACCTCTTTTATGGCCTACAGAAAAGCAGGTCAAGATAGGTATTGATGTGTATCATCTGAAGTAAAACAAAGCTAATATGCTGCGCCGCGATATGTATCCTAGTTGTCGGCGGATAGAGAGGAAGGTTGAGCGAGAAAATGTTGCGCAGCAGTATGTCGAGAGCTAAATCTATGCTATGGTAAAGTAATCACCATATTCAACTATCTAAGCTCGACCGCAAGTTTCGACACACGGACGTCATCAATACATGCACAACTAGCCACCCACAAGACCAAAACATCCACAAAAACGAATCAGGTATCCTTCGCGCGAACAAGAACAAGAACAATAGCCTAAGAATATGCAAAAAAGAGCGCCAAGTCGCCCGAAGCTTATCGCGTCACACCCGGGCGTTAGCCATAGCCAGCCTCCCAAGGTTCTGACTCCGTAACTCCACCTGCTCACTGTACATGCAGCGTGTTGTATCGCCGTAGAAATTATAGTGCTGCACAGCAAACCATCCGAATATCCGTATATAATCCTCTCCTTACTCCTTCTGCCCTTCATTAAGCACAAGCTCAACGACAACCTGGCTCCTCTCGTGTTGCGGATGCTGCAAACTCAACTTGACCGTCCTGTTGTGACTCGAACCTCCGCTGAGTCCGTCGTCAAGACACTTGACGTCGCGTCCAGCAATGACTTGGCGTAGACGACCATTTTGTGCGTTCCTGATCTCGACAAAGTCGGGATCGAACAGGAGGACGTAGGGTCCGTACATCGCGGCGGATTTCGCTTTACCAACAAACTCCATGATGACGGATCGTGAAATGTCACCGTTCTTATTGATGTACACGGCGCACTCTTCGTAGCAAAGAAGGAATTCTTGATCGGAAAGACGGAACATACCCAGAGGATTCTGGTTCTGCAATCGCGAGGCGATGGTGGCAACATGGGATTGCTTCAGATCCGGTACGGACCACGGCTGCTTCTTGTCGAGGGTGAGCACCTCAAAGCCTTTGGCTGTGGAGATAGCGAGCGATGAGTGGAAGAGGTTGATTGTGTAGCACTCGGCTGGAATGTAAAATTCGTCGTATTCGCGGAAGAACTCCGTGCGTCCTGACTTCCATATTCTGGACTTCTTCTCGGTTGACTTTTGGTAGACAGGTTCAAGGACCTTGAAGGTCGACGAAATACCGTCGCGCTTTTTGTAGAACACTAAGGTCCTGTCTTTCATTACGCCAGTGGCAAAGAAGCCGATGTCGCGCGCACCCGACAGCTTTTGGGGTGCTCGCCGTGTAGAATCGTTTGAGGGAGCCACGCCGCTTACTGGGCATACGGCATCGAGATGGTATGCTATCAGTGCTTTATCGGAGATGAGCAGCATCAAGCTGAATTGTTCCAAGACGGCTATCTGCGTCACACGTGGTACTTGGATTGCCTGTGATTATTAGCATAATATCACCAAGTTGTCAAGACAACGCCTACCTTAGACCAGCCTCTGGGGTTATCAAACTCCGATACATAAACTCCAATGTCTGTACCGACGGCTATCATGTGCTTGCCATAAGGTTGGCTGAATGCTGTTGCACAATTTACTCGGGCGCGGCAGATGGGTACGGGCCGCCCAACGTTGACGAAAAGCTTCTCCACATCGTCGACTGCGCGATCGAGCGGTGTTCCCTTGATAGTTATAGCTCGTTGCGATGGCATCGCGCTGTCGTATGCGAAGGCCGCATCAGCCATGACACGCAACTTGAAAGGTTCGGCGTTCTGAGCGAATAGAGCAGCTGCATGCCGTGTCTTCGCAATGATGAGCTTGTCGCACCACTCAGCACGATTTGATGCTGATGGTGCATACAGAGTGTAAGTCTCCTTGCCCAAGTGTTTTACCCGGAATGGATACAAGATCTTCTCGTCTCTTGTAGAATCGTTTGAGGCGACGTTGACCATAGTCTTCCCGGACCCGCTGGTGTTGTTCGACCCAAGTGAGTTGGAGGTGTTAGTGTGTTGCAGACCACCGGGTACAGGGCTGTTGTTGATTCTTGTGGCGACCCCAGAACCGACTCGTCCTGAGACTGTAGTGACGGTAGATATACCCTTCATGGTAGAGCGCACAACGGGGTCATCGTCTTCGCTCTCAAGTACTAGTAAATCCATGGGAATCGGTAATCTTGACACGTCATACTTCTCAGACTTGGTGACGCCGTCTGCTTCTCGGAAAGCAACTGTCTTTGCTAGTACCAAGTAGTGATCAAATAGCAATGCATGGGTCTCAAGCCAGTTGAACCGACTGCCTCCCATCCTCTGCAGATCACCTCGGAAAATGAGTTCTCGTCCCAGGTGATCCAGGTTGAGCTCTACTCGCTGCATACCTGGGCGCAGGATCAGTTTGGCCTGCAGGTCGGTAAGGCTGACTTTTCGGCCCATTTCTGCTACACGGCTGTCGCACTCCAAAGTCACGGCTTTGATCTCGTCTTTGGCTATCTGGAGGTTTCGTTTTTCCTCATTGTCCACAGTCGAATATTTGATTACCGTGTCGATGAGAAGACCATAGCGCTGCAGCCTGTCGATGGGGCCCTTCAGATAAGTGTCCCACCCCAATTTCTCAGAAAGTTTGTGCTTCTGGGCATCATCCAAGAAGGTGCGGAACAGTATGTTTCGGTCCGCTTCCTGTCGAACAAGGAAGGATGCATATGGAAAAGCTGCTGCGTATTCGATGTAGGCCTGTTTTGCTTTTCGGATCCACTCGCGGAAGATGTCGCTGAACCCTACTATCCATGGTCCTTGCTCTTGTTGGCGGTATTTTATTTGCGGGAGGAGGTGGTCTTCGTTCGCTTTTCGTACAGCGTCTACCTTGCTGAAAACATCGTGGATGAACCTGTTGACCCTCTTGGGGGAAATGACCGGTGGCTGAGCAGACTGTAGTCTGTCGCGGTACAAGTGTCGTAAGACATCGAGTCGATTCATGTATTTGTCCTCACCCTGGACGATTTCGTGCAGAATATTCTGACGTTCGATTTCCTTCTTGTTTGCCCCTTCAATGTCTTCTTTCTTCAACTTGTAGAACGTGGCCCAGTCTTCTGAACGAGGTGCAGCGGAGGGGGCATGTAGATCGATCTTCTTAAGTGTCCGTTGGCAGTGGTGCGAGTAGCATCGGCCTGGACTCGCATGCGTGTGCAGCATAGGTGCATAGCAGCCCGCGCCAGTGAGCTGGAATATCACACCAGTCATGCTTGCGGTCGAGAACCTAAGCCATTCTTCCTCGTGCACAAGTGTGCCTGCTTTGTACATCTCAGACACTACCCGGCTACTGAGCGTCTCGGCATCCGCAATGTTCATGGTGGGAACTTTGTGAGTGAAGAGCGCGATGAGACCTTCTTGTATTGGGCCCTCCTTAAGGTCGTTCTCGCCTTCGGTCATATTCTTGAGCCATGAGATGATCGAGCTAAGTGCCCAAGGCTCAGTGCATTTCTTGAAGTCGATACTAGAGAGCTTGGCGGGATTGAATCGCTTGCCGGCTGGGATGGTAGGTAGATCGATGGCCACGGCTTCAGCGCTGCCAGGGGTAAGGGTGTTGCCGTCGCTGTCCATGGCACCGCCATAGAAGGTGTTTCGGTTGCCAGCAGCTCGAGGTCTGTGACCTTGTTCGGCGTCTGTCTTTGATCGCGGCAAGGGAATGGCATCCCGAGCGTTGCTGTGCTGTAGAAGAGAAGTCGAGCGGGGAACGGGAGCTCCAGTAGGAGATATCATGTGCATAGCGTTTGGATCCACCGGGTAAGAACGCTGTGTATTTGGAGCGTTACGCCAGTATTCGTACGACCCGGATCCAGTCGAGCTGTTGCTTTGGTGATTCAATCTTGAACCCCTGCCGGTGTTTACTGGTGGTGGTGGCAGAGGCCGGTTCGATATGCCCGGATGATAGAACATGTCTGGTGGCTCGCCTGGCATCACCGCTGATGGACCCATGAGTGTAGAGCCAGAGAGGGTAGATGCGCTATCCATGAGTGTGACCTCATCGCCTTCGTCGTAGCTCCGCCGGCGTGCGCTAGGCTCTTCCAGACCACCGGTACCGAATGTGTCAACGCGCGCATTGCTCGAGAAGGATGGGAAGGGATGGATCGGGTCGTAGTCGTCGTTGGGAGGGTCGGACCGTCGTTGCGAGCCTGAGGTTGATGCTGTATGGCTTCCCCCCGCTGCCAGCTGGCTTGGATCCCCGCCATAGTTGAAAGACGGCGTGAATCCGCCACCGTATGTACCAACGTCCATACCCACGTAGTCGCTGTCGCTTGCGCTTTCTTGTCGCATTGGTTCGGCGGGCATCTGAGGAGAATGTAACGATGTGTAGTTGCTGAACAGGCCGGTGCCACCGCTAGCCCTGCGAGCTTCGTCTGCTCTCTCTTGTTCCTCGGCCATCTGGAGTGCAGCCAGACCAGCAGCTGCTTCCACATCGCTCTCATCACTAGCGTAAGTTTCACGTCCAGGCTGCACGCCGTTTGTGCCGTTCCTGCCCGAGGACTCGCTATAGTACTGGCCGTTTGTTTGCTGAACCTGGGCGCCGCCAGCGGTCATATTCATAACGTCGTTGAACAATTCGTCTTGATAGCCCCCGTTCTGCGGTGAGAAGTATTCGTCGCTGTCGGACTCGTGGGGTGGTGGGGGCAGCGGCCGCGAGGAGACTGTGTTTGTTCGCTGGGGCGAGCCATGCAGAGGGACCTCGGGCGTAGGTGGGAGGGCATTGCCGGACATGGAGGTATATCTGTCACCGCGCTGTGAGCCATAGCCAGTATCGTAGGTCGGTGGAGAGGGGAGAGGGGCATGCGAAGCGGTCGAGGAGTAATACCCCGAAGATGCGTTCGAGGGTCGTCGGTTTGGGTAGGCGCCCCAGTCGTCACCGACCGATTGCGCACTGCCTGGAGGAGCTGGCAGCGGTGGTGGCGCTGGCGTTGAGTAAGCTGACACGCGACTCTGGACAGAGGGTGCTCGTCCAAATTGGGAATTCTGGTATATCGAAGGCGAATGGTATGAGGCGGTGGGAGAAGTAGGCGAAAAGCCATACGGCGCGGAATTGGTAGGCGCGATGTTGCTGTCAGCGTAGGCAGCTGGGTTGTAGGGCTGGTGCGAGGCCGAGACAGAGACGGGAGGCGCGAAGGTGCGGTTGCTCACGCCGCCGTAGTGCTGGGGATTGGGCAGAGCTATGGGCTGCGTATTGTAGTTCTGGGGGTTGTATGCCTGCTGCTGCTGCTGCCCCCGCTGGTAGCCATAACTACCCCCATATCCGCCCGTGGTCGGCGACATTGGGCCCTGAGACAGCTGCGGGGAGCTGTTGGCGCCTATGAACAGCTCGTCGTTCTGGCGGGCGGCGATGCTGTTGCGCCTGTCGAGCTGCTGGACATGCCCGTAGCCAGCGGGCGCTCCATTGGCGGCATCGCCATTATCTTGGCTTGGCGTGCGGCGGTTGTAGGGGTCCTGATATTGGCCTTGGGCGCCCACATTGGAGTGAGGGATGTTTGGGTTGTAGTAGTTCTGGCCGTTTCCGTAGTAAGACATGACGGCGGGAAGGCACGAAGAGGCCTAGGAAGGCGCGGTGGGTGTCGGTGCGGTAGGAAGCGTCATTCACGAGGCTATCTGACCGAGTTGCGCGGGCACCATGACCGGGGCCGCTGAGCTGAGCGTAGGAGTCCAGCAACCTAGCCAGTGCGAGGGTGAAGGAAGACAGAAGACGACTCTGCGACTCGTATTATCGAGTGCGCTCGCATGCGCTGGCCGAGAATGTCTCTGGCGATGTCTGGGAATGAGCGACGGGTAGCCCTTGCCTGTGCGTAGGTGGCAGCTGTCGAGCGAATCGTCAAGCGTGTTTTGCCTGGCTGTAGCGTCGTGGACGGGCCGCCGAGTGACGCTGCGAGGGGTCCGTAATATCAGAATACAGAAACACAGTGCTCCGCAATGGCGATGGTGAGATTAGACGTGGTGGGAGGACGGCTAGGGCTTGTTTGCGGCGTTGCGGTCACCAACAGTCCAAGTATTAACGGAGCCAAGAGCTACCGAGCGGAATTGTGCCTGACCTCGTATCATCATCTCGCATCATGGCAGCCTTAATCGCCCCCAAATCTTTATTTTCCGCACTTTTGGCGACCCTCTTCTGCTAAGCATCCTTCATCCTTTGCAACTGATGACATTGCGATGTGCGCACGCGCTGTCACTTTTCTGCTCTAGGCGGCTGGTGCATCATTTTTCATGAACCGCCTGGACTGGTCACAGGAATGCGCCGCACTACGAGAAGTCACGCGCCAGCAAATGAATTTGTGCACTCAAGACAGTGTTCATGAGCATCGAGTGCGATGCGAAGCTCGTGTCAGGTACTTCGTACTCAACACTTACCCCGCAGTGCTGCTGGCGATGCTGTCACCATCTCCGCCTCCACGCTGCTATTTCCGAGGTCTGACAATAGCACCTTTATATGATATGGCGCTCTTGCTGTTAAAATCAAAACACTGTTGCACGGGTGGCTGATAAGCTTACTCTCTCCGATTCATCAAGTCATCAACATTTCGACATGGGCATCCAGTCAGATCCACCAAAATCACTGTACGCAGCCCCTGGCAATGCTGCTGACGAGAACATAAAAGTCCGCGACCAACTCCCTCCAGAAACGGACCAAAATGGCTACCGGATCAATGAGCAACCCATGGGCACGAAGAGGAAGGTCAAAGTCATCCTCATGGGCGCAGGTGCATCGTCCCTAAACTTCTTCAAGAAGGCTGAGGAAGAGATGGAGGGCCTGGAAATGGTGTGCTACGAGAAGAACCGCGACGTTGGTGGTACGTGGCTCGAAAACCGGTATCCTGGATGTGCTTGCGATATTCCATCCGTCAACTACCAATTCTCATGGAAGATCAAGCTCTGGTCGCATTATTATTCGTATTCTCCTGAAATATGGGAATATCTGAAGTCGATCGAGCGCGAAAACGACTTTATTGCCAAATATATTAAGCTGCGGCACCGCTTAGAGCATGTCGAGTGGGATGGTGCAGCTGGTCTGTGGCGGTGTCGAGTTCGTGATTTGGAAAAAGACGTCGTGTTTGAAGACAGTGCCGAGTTCTTCATCAACGCCGGAGGCGTACTGAACAACTGGAAGTGGCCAGAGATACCAGGTTTGAAAGACTTCAAAGGCAAGCTCATGCACTCTGCCAATTACGAAGAAGGATACGAACTCTCCAACAAGCGAGTAGCGGTTATTGGTGCTGGGAGCTCGGGCGTGCAGATTGTCGCGGCCATACAGCAAAAGGTTCAGCATCTTTACCATTGGGTACGATCTCCGATATGGATTACCGCAGGCTTCGCACAAACCTGGGCAGGAAAGAACGGAGCAAATTTCCGATGTGTGTCCTTCTATCCAAACAGTTATTGAAGAGTACTAATGTCTCCCAGATAGCAGGGAACAGCTCAAATACCTCGAAGAGAACCCCAAGAAATATCTCGAATACCGCAAGCAGATTGAAAACGAGCTCAATCAGCGCTTCAAATTCATCATCAAAGGTAGCGAAGAAGCCCGTCTAGCCCGCGAATACGCAGACACGGAGATGCGCAACAAACTCAACAACGACTCCCGTCTCGTCGAGAAAATGATACCCAAGAACTTCAATCCAGGGTGTCGTCGTCCCACACCAGCACCAGGGTATCTTGAAGCGCTCGTTGCACCCAATGCAACCATCTTCACCGATCCAATCGGCTCCATAACAGCTAATGGCTTTACGGACCTCGAAGGTACCCACCACCCTGTCGATGTAATAATCTGCGCGACCGGCTTCGACACCTCCTGGCTCCCGCGCTTTCCTTTCATAGCCAATGGTCATGATCTCCGCGATCTCTGGAGTCCCGAGAAAGGCGTGACATCTTACCTGAGCGTTGGGATTCCCACATTTCCCAACACGTTTTCTTTCTGCGGCCCATATGGCCCTCTAGGTCACGGTTCCTTCATGCCGTTGATCGAACAATGGACCCGCTACATTTTCTCCGCCATTACAAAATTTCAGGTCGAGAACATCAAGTCCCTCACACCTAAACTCGCACCTTCAGTCCAATTTCGTCAACACGCTGATCTTTTCCTACAACGCACAGCGTGGACTTCACCCTGCCGGTCGTGGTTCAAGCAAGGGAAGACGGATGGACAAGCAGCGATTTGGCCAGGCTCGCGACTTCACTTTTTGAAGATGATGGAAAGTCCGAGGTATGAGGATTTCGAAATTGAGTATTGGAATGCGAATATGTGGGCTTTCATGGGGAATGGATTTGAAGTGAGAGAGTTTGATGGGAGAGATATTACGGATTACCTGGGAAATCTGGATGAGGAGGGGAGGGATGTGCAGCCAGACTATGATGAGGGATTGAAGAATATACTAGGCGGATTTACGTTAGGTGAAGAGTATGTTGTGAAAGGTGGGTAGTCTGGTTGGGTATCTACTCATTCAGGTATGCATCGTGAGTTCTTCTTCAGACTGTTGCACTGTTTTGACGTCCTTCTCCTCTTTCTGACATCGAGTTCATTCATGATCGATCATTCTTGGCCTGATGATACTCGTAGTCCCTGATGTGTATCATGCTAGGGTCAAGAAGATTCCTGGTGCTCGCTCTGCTCAGATCCTTTTTTCTAACGCCGTCCTCTTGTCGACTCCAGTTACAACACAAGGTTTGAGAGGCGTTGATAGACTGCGGCAATTTTTCGCACTTTCAATATGTTGAGTCGATACTTATTGGAATGGGCGCCCCAGGACAATTGGCGTGTTTGATGACTATACCCCAAACACACTCCGCCTCCGCGCCCTTCATAACCCCACAATGCATAACCTTGCGTGAAGGCATTCGTCTGAGCACACCACTAGTTTTGAGAGGGGCAAAACACAGACAATGGCCTTGTCCAGCTCCGCTTTCGCTTTCAACAGGCGGCTGCCCGGCACTTCGCGCGCACGACTCGATGTATTCGGCATCGACTGTGCCCCAACCATGCTCTATCAACACCCCAGACGCATTGGCGATATCATGGTATCTGCCAGACGAGCAATAAGCGGCACCGACTAGTCGGTTACCTGCGGCGACATATTCCTCGACCAGCACGTTTGAATGCATCACTCCCGTCGCTATGACCTTTAATGGTTAGCAGAACGGCTAAAACCGACATCCTTCATGATCCAGGCTTGGTGCCCAGACCTGTTCACGTGAGAAGCCTCCGATGCCTAGCCCCAACTCCCTCCGACAAACCTCCCGCCAGCGCTCCCATGACCAATTGGAGCACACATGCGGAGTGGCGCCGGTATACGACACGTCATGTTTAGACCATAGTATCGCGTGCTGCTGAAGAGTATGCGGAGAAGCACGCTAGAAGGACGCTAGAAGCTCTCTGTTGAGATGCCAACCCCAGCTTCAACCCCAGTAATGCAAGCACCCTTGTAGCTGACGGTGCCCGCGGAGGGAAAGATAGTGAACCTGGTTCGCATTCCGGCAGACTTGCTAGCAGAAGATGGGGATGTGGAGGGTGGTGGTTGCACAAAAGATTATCGTGAGATCTCTTGATTGCGGAAGATACGATGAGCAGGCATGACGCACGTTAATGGCTGTCGCATGCAGCGGATCCGAGTTGTAAGTGCGAGATCAACGTCTTATGACGAAGAGATCTGAGACGCCTCCATTTCCAGTGATTGAGTGTTTTGCAAGCCACTGTCGATGCCTCATCGATGAAGATCTTGCCAGCTGGAGAGGCGCCGAAGAATTTGGCATAGTACAGCCGATCTAAACCAAGATCACGCATGTTGAGCGCTTCCAAAATGCTTCAGTCGAATATCGCGATATCGCAGCGCAGCCATAGGTTGTAGTTTGGGTATAGTATGCAGCTTCGCGCCAAACAGCTCACAGACCTCAAACTTCAGGCCATGCGAGACCACCCTGGCCAGCGGGTAGGAGCCTCAACAAGGCCTCATGTCATTATGCCTAACCGTGCCAAGTAGAGCCCAGAGGCTACTGGCTGCAAGACCAAGAGGTGATGCGCACCAACGCTAGACAGGATCGTAGAGTTCCCAAAGGAGGCTTGGTGGCGGCCCAGAGCCCTTCCTGGATCGCTTGTCGTTCACTTGCTGGCCCTACAAGCCTCGCTTGCCATTGCTTGTAAACGCCTTCTAGAGGTTCTGCGCAGAAGGACCCTGACGCCATCGTACCAGGCAGATCGCTGAAAGATCAACAGCGGGGTGCAGATGATGCGCCCTCTAAGAGCGTTGGAGCGAATCGCTAAATCACTGTGTGGATTGTACTCCACAGAGCGCATTCCAGTTTTTTTCAGCGCTACGTCTCTCCATGGGGTTGGCAACGCGGAGATGCTATTGAGCCCCATCTGCGAGGGATTTGTCTCATGAGGCTCAACAACTAAGTGGGACCGCTCGGAGGAGCACGTCCATTCTGTGCTTTAGTGCTGGCTGTTACCAGCGGCGATTGGTCGAAACGGCTCCCCGTCCGATGTTTGCCGGCAGCACTTTCGGTGAGATAGCGCAGGCTACTGAAGCGCCGAAGAACAGCCAGCCATTCAGAATCACTGTCTGTTGAAAATTTGCGGATACTGGGGTGTAGCGTACGGGGCGATGCGTTAGCAGGCCATTCTACCCCAACACCCCGGCTTATACGCCGCTCAACCAACGCCAGCATGGGACTACCGATGAGCTACCAACTACTGTCGAGTCTGGATGGAACCAGCCCATGTCGCGACCTTTACCATGAGGATGGTATCTGGGAGACGTGGAGGACCGATATATATTGTGCCCTGTGTCCCTCCATTGAAACAGCATCAGCCTCTCGCTCTTCGCCTGCATCACTCACTAGGATTTGCCTCTACAGACACATCATCTGTTGATCCTTAGGCTATCTACTTCAATCCAATCTTTACCTATCCGCCTCATCATGGGTTTCTTTGGAAACAACGGCTCGCAAGAGCCCACCTTGGACCAAGTCCACGAGCAACAGGCTCGTCGCCCTTCAGTCGCTGAAGTTGTTGATGAGCAGGTTCGCCGCAAGTCTGTCGACAACCGCGTCGTTACCGGAGCTTCGGCTCTTACCGTGCGCCAGTCCATCGTTCCCGTCACCTTGGTCACTATCCTCTTCTTCATGTGGGGATTTGCCTACGGTCTTCTCGATGTCCTCAACTCTCGCTTCCAAGTCGCTCTTGACATCACTCGTGGAGAGTCGTCTGGTCTCCAAGCTGCCTACTTCGGTGCCTACTTCATCGGTCCCTTGACCTACTCTGGATGGTTCCTCCGCCGCTTCGGTTACCGATACACCTTCATTCTCGGTCTCTCCATCTACTGTGTCGGTGCTCTTATGTTCTGGCCTGCGGCTGTCAAGCGAAGCTTCGGTGGCTTCTGCGGTGCCATGTTCCTTGCTGGCTCTGGTCTGTCTACCCTCGAGACATCTGCCAACCCATACATCGCCGTCTGCGGTCCTCCCAAGTACTCCGAGTTCCGTCTTGAGCTGTCCCAGTCCGTTCAGGCTGTCGGCTCCGTCGTTGCTCCTGTCCTCGCTGCCCAGGTCATCTTCAAGAACGTTGGTACTGATGGAAAGTCTCTTGAGGCCGTCCAATGGGTTTACCTTGGTATTGCTGCCTTCGTCGGTATCCTGGCTGTCATCTTCTACTTCGTAAGAATGTCCCTGTACAAACTTCATGTGATACATTACTGACTTCTCTAGGCTCCTATCCCTGAGATTACCGACTCCGACATGGCCGACCAAGCTGAGATGACTACCTCTGCTACCGGTTACGTTGACAAGCCCCTCCGCAAGCAGTACACTCTCTTCTGGGGTACCGCTGCTCAGTTCTCCTACGTCGCTGGTCAAGTTGGTGTCGCTGCGTACTTCATCAACTACTTTGCGGAGGCACGCCCCGATCTTTCGGTCACTGAGGGTCACCACGAGGGAGCCAACTTCTACGCCATCGCCCAAGCTCTTTTCGCCGTCGGACGTTTCGCCGCAGCTGGACTCATGTACTATGGCGGCAAGCCCCGTTACGTCCTTCTCGCTTTCCAAACACTTATTATGATATTCATCTCGGCAGCCATAGGTTCGTTGAATTCCCTGTACAATTATGGTATCAGGTATCAGTTTTGTGTGTGGGCTACTAGGGGGGTGCTTTGAGTTGGGTGTAGATCACGTGCACGCTAGCGGATCTGCTTAGATAAGCAGCTCTGATTGGCGGGGATCTACCCGAGGCACCCCCGGACTAGCATTCCACATACAAAACTTATGCTTGATACCATAGTACCACAAACTCCATATGAGACATATACTGACTTTTCTTAGGAACCGACACTGGAAGCGCCACTCGTCCCAACTGGGGAGGTCTTAGCATGTTGATGATTGTACTCTTCTTCGAGTCTTGCATCTTCCCCATCATCTTCGCCCTTACTCTCCGTGGTCTCGGTCGCCACACCAAGCGTGGTGCTTCTTTCCTCGTCTCCTCCGTTTGCGGTGGTGCTGTCGGTCCTGTCATTCTTGGCAACGTTGCTGATCACATCGGTACCCGGAAGGCTATGTGCATCCCGCTCATCTTCTTCGCGATCGCCTGGTCTTACCCCATCTACCTTAACTTGGTCAAGGGCCGTGAGCTCGATGCTTACAGTGAGAGCCATGTCGGTACCACCGAGGGTGCTATTGACAACGACTCTGTCCTTGCCGACAAGGATGTTGAGGCGCGCATGTTCGAGACCAAGGTCTAAGCGTCCAAGCAATGATACTATCTGGTGTTTGGTGGGATTACTTTGGATTAGATGATACCTATGAGGATTGAATGACGGTAGCGCGGCGTTTGTGATGGGATGGTTCGACTCTACTTGGTCGGGTGGAGTTTTGTATATACCACGACCTTTGAGTGCACATAGACTGTACATATGTTTATATGAATCACTTGACCTTATCAATCTTCAGCTACATTGTCACGTCTTGAGCTTTCTCTACCAGCAGTATTGTTGGTTGTGACAAGCAGTTATACTATCGAGCCTCCCAAGAACGGGAGGCAGGAAGATCATAAGTAATGCATCCTACCTAGTTAGTGCATAACAACTCCAACTTAACTAACTACATTCAACAAATATCTGTATGATTCGTTCATCAGTAAGACTGATTCAGCTCACTACAGCGAAAGTTGAAACTGTGAAAACGGAAGTCATGAAGTATCCGTGACGTATACATGGTATTAGTGTCTTGATCAACGACTAGCAAAGATGTACACGCAAAGCTCCGAACCCTACTAGCGTTACGTTTGTACGTTGATTTATACATCAGGTCCTTCCTCATCCCGCCCCATGACCACCTCGAAGTTCGCATTTCCCGCCAACTTCCAAAACTCATCTCCACTTTCTCTAGCTTGGAGATGTCTCAAACTGCTTTCCGAGATCGTAGGGCCCATCAAAATCTCAACGCATTTTAACACTGGCCATTGGTTTTTCGTCTTTTGCTCGTCGAAGAGGTCTTGCAGCCACTTGCTTTCCAAGAACGCCAAATCAACATCGAAGATCTTGAGATGTTGCAAACAAGTCGGAAGAGCTTGCATTGGCGAAAGTTCGAAATCGCCTTCGAAGATGGCATCAAAGCGCATGTTGTCGAGCTTGATTGATATGATCGCTGCTTGAGGGACAACCAGTTTCTTGAGTTGCACAAACTGGTCGAACCGTGGAAGCGGCTTGCGCACCGCGCCTGGCAGGGTCCAGAACCCGCCCGGCAACTGTAAGGTCTCGAGGTTTGGTCGCAGATGTACCATACCGTCGACCAGGTTTTGATAATCGGTCACTTCGGTCCTCGCATCATATATCGCTCGGTCCCAGTGTTGTTCATCAATGTATACATCATCCGCAAAGGCAGAAGATGCGTCTGGATATTTCTGGATGTTTGACTGGTATGCGGGAAAGGCGCGAACGCTTCTGTATGGATTCTTGCAATCTGAAGACTCCGCATAGTATTCTAGCGTTCGTAGATTTGGAAAGCCGCGAATGATGTTGGTCATGCACCTGCGGGAGGGTACACTCCATACACCGACCGACTTGACTTCGAAATCTAGACGCAGGCGCTGAATGCTCGGCTGTTCGCATGAGCCGTCGAGGTAAAATTCGGAGTAATAGCGGACTGATGAAAGTAGCTGACCTTGAAGCTTTATGCTCAAGTCAAGGGTATGTAAGTTTGGGACGTTGTCCAATCCTCTCAGAACTGGAGGCAAAGGGCTTTCGAACTTGACATAGGATAGCATATGTGAGACTGGTAGTCTTTGCCTTATTAGACCCATGGCCTTCTCGGGCTGGTCAGTATTCGCTTCGCCAAATGCCAGTCTTGATTTGCGATCCGATATGCATAGCGTTACGACGTTTGGTAACAATGCTAGAAGCACAAACGCAAAAGTCCACGCGAGTGAAATTTCCAGTTGTTGAGACCACCCTTCTTTGAACTCAACAGGAAAATCGAGTGAGTTGATAAAATCAAGTGCCTTCTCGTGAACGAGATCGCGGATGATCGAAAAACCGTGCTCGCTTTTGGGTATACACAGTCTCAGCTGTTTCACATGTCGTTTCCATTCAGGTCGTGCATGGAATATTGGAATCAAGCCGAAGATATCAGATCCTGGGAGATCATTCCAGGTTTCAGGAATGCTAAGCTCAAGTACAAGTGTAGAGAATAGCACTTCTGGGATCAGCACAGCGAATCTCCTGCACGTTAACGCAACGCCGAGCAGCGAGCGACAACTAGCGCGAAAATCGGAGACGAGGTACTCATCTGGGGGACTTGGAGGAGGATCATCTGGGATGTAACCTAGGACACGTGCGGAGCGATGCACATCGACATACGAGAAGACTTGAAGCAGTATCTCGTTTGGCAAGGTAGATAGAGAGTTGATGAGGTCACCTTGACATATTAGATCATGACATGTGTGACGCGGAGCTTTGCCTAACTCACCCCTAGAGGCCTGCTGTGGTGGTGGTTGTTCCATTGTTTGACGTTGCTGTATCCATATGTTGATTCGACGTGGTATATCCGATGGCTGAGGGTGATGCCTACCGTGTCGCGGCACCCTCGAATGATGTGAAAGCTAGTCCGAGTTGAGGAACGCGTGCTGCAGTCCAAGCTCCCGAGGTCCAGCCACCTACATCCACCCGGCCACTGCAACGGCATTTCACCAATCGGAATAGACATCGAGAAGACCTCAATGGAAGATGCATGCTATCTGGGTGCTCTGGCAGGCTTCTGGCATACGAACTGTGGGGTGCCGGTGCTTTTGCTCGGCCCATTTCTCAGGAAGCGATTTATCGCGATCGCAACGCGTCGCGGGGCAGATGGGGTTATAAACTCGCTTGTCGCCTGAAGCACGTATGTGTAAATTATAATGATGGCCAATTCACTATGAAGCATCTATCAGCAATACAAGCACGATACTGATGTTGTGGCATCATGGCGTAAGTTGTCTTTCAACTACCATCGAGGCCTACACTAATCTCGCACTTGTGCAGTCGCATCCACAGCGAAGTCATTTGGCTACAGCGCAACCCTCGGGCCACCTCCTCCTACGGAACAGAAGTCCCAAAGACTGAAAGGCAAGGCTAGGAAAACTGCCAAGCAAGTGACAGCTCCGCAAAATGGGTCAGACAAACAGACTTCGAAGCCCAAATACACCCTTGCTGTCAAAGACTTCATATCTCTATCTGAGCACATCGCTGGCGTTACAGACAAGACTGTCGAAATCCCCGAGTACTTTAACGTCGCACTCAACCGAGTAATCTCGGTTCGGAGTTCGTTCTCGACAAAGTTGGAGACAGCCGGCGAAGCCGTCAACCAGGCATCAGATTCTCGTCACAATTTTTTTGTGACTGTGCTAGAGAAGGTTCGCGAATCGCTGAAACCCTTGACGAAGTCCAACGCCCTGGATCTTAGCAGCATCAAGAATGCTACACCAAGGGCCGGCGGAGACCGAGCTAGGCAGAGTGAACTTCGAAATCTATTCGAAGTCTTGGATGTATACGAACCCTCTGCGGAGTTCCTGGCTGCACCAGACGTGGTGCCTTCACCTTCACCTGTGGAACTGGAATATACTGTTGAGGAGCCGACCGACTCAATCATTGAGGCCTTCATGGCCATGACCATGTTGGTGAACGACCTCTCCCGCCTGCGTGCTGAGATAGCTGACCTTTGGGCTCGGCATAACACCGGAGAACTCGATCTGCCAACTGTTTCGGTAGCGACGAACGCAGCGATTGAGCTTGCGCACAGCATGGAAGATGAAGTCTATCCATTGATGAAGTTCTTGGTCGAAACTGTACCTTTCCACGAGCTGTACTGGACCGGTATTTGCAAACAAGCTGGTCTTGATGCGCTCACGCCACAATCGCCGCCCCACGCAGATGATTATAACTTTCAAGTTTACGACATCGCAGATGCGCTTTTCATCAATTCCCGTAATGCCCTTTTGGTCTTTCTCGCCAACTTCCAGCCGCCAATCATGAGTTACAATGGTAAATGGGGTCCATTCGACAAGAATGCGCGCCAGCCACCTCAGACGAATAGAGAGAAATATGCCCGCGACAAGTCAACTTTGCAAGAAGTGCTCCAGGATCTTCCTCTACTCTTTAATCGTCCGGGAGTTATTGAGGATCAGTTCGTCCACGCTTTCGCTGCCGCTCGGACATCCTACAACAAAGCGAACTCGAACCAGCAACCGCCAATCTAGACTAGCTTCGCTTTTCAGATTTATCTCGACATTCTATACTCTACTGAGGTGGGCGTTGGATGGACGCAGATGTGCAACGAGGGCAACACGCTCCAGAGATATGTCGATAGTTATCCCAATGCTTCTTCTGACATGAAGAAACTAGTGAGATCTGTTGGTAAGATCATGGAGGCTGATCCTATTGCACTCTTGAGGCAAGCGCTTGATCGACCCTACAGAGAATATACCGTTTGGCGTCGCAACCCTACACATTGCGGCTTATGGATCCACCACGCGCGTACCATCTTTCATAGGGAGGGCGCGAAGTACGCCGCAACACCTGGTGCGGTAATGTGCGCAACACAGCTTTACCATGCCTTGCGTGAATCGCAGCTCCTTTCTGAAGAGTGGAAGGATCTCCAGACGCTATGGGACATGCAAGGAAACTCGACCTAATTTATCGGCGAGCCTCCAAAGGACTTCGAGGGGCATTGGAAGAACTACCTCTTGTCTATAGGTGCGTCAGCAACAAATTGGGCAAGTGGGAAGAGAAACACCAAGATCAAAGAGACAAAAGCAAACGTGCGTCAAATGAAGTTCAAGGGTCCAGTATCGAGCTGGATGGCTTCGCGCATCGCAACAGAGGGCGACCAACGAGCTATGACGGCCGAGACTATCGAGAATGCGATCGAAGAAGGCGAACGTCATCACTCTTCACTCGCCTCTGTTGCACCTACTATCCGGAGGCAAACCCACGTAATCCAGAAGCTAGCAACTGCTCTTCAGGCCGAGGCTCCAGAGATTACCTTCGATTACTTCACTATGCACGACCTTTGCTGAGAGTTGATGGAAAGGATGAAAGAACAGTTCAGACCTATCATTGCTGAACGATCAGGGAAGTAGTGGGAGGCACAGAAGAGCAAATTACCGTTTGTTGTTGGCTTCGTGTTCTCTACAGCAGCGGGTAGAAAGGATATTGAGACGAAGGGTGTGTCGTCGGAGGAGTTGTTAAATGTCGCTGTGGAAGTGACGAAAAGGTTCTTGGAAGAGGGCAAGGGTACTGTAATTACGGAGGGGCAACTGGATATCTAAAACTGGTGCCTGATAACCTTTAAGCTTCGAGATAGTGCCACTAGATTGGCGATTTAAAATAAACACGTCAAGTATTATATTTGGCAAGGTAGGCGGCGCATCCAACTATGTGAGGGAAATGGGCTGTAAAAGCTCGTGGCGACATTCTTCTTTACCTGTCTCGGTATCTCTCGAGCAATGAGAGCGCTTCCTCAACGTAGGAGACTGGCAGCTCAAGCAGCCGGACAGTCACAGACTGGGTATCTACTACCTAGATGCCTACTTGATCAGCGACACGCCCATCACTCTATCTAGTACGAAGTGGATTGGCCCAGAGGTGTCATTACTTCCGTGGAACATTTTTCGCGCATGGGTGGAAATGTGATGAGATAGAGATGGACGGCGTCTTAGACTGCGGAAAGCCTTTCGATTTAGACAACGACGACTTGTGTTATCTTCCGAGGTACTTTCAACTTCAGAGCGAGCAGCATCGCGAGACTCACGAGGACGACGCAAGGTCCAAGTGAGCAGAATCCTGCATAATTCAAATCTTCGCTCATTTGAGCTTGAATGCAGAGGCGATTGTCGCGGCGAAGGATAGTCGTTTTGGTGTTGGTGAGGAGAAATGTACCGCAGCAATCTAGGCACTACGGGATGGGGCACGTTGACACCACATAGTCTTCGTCTTTCTCGTTGCGTTTTAAATGTTACACGGCATGATCTCGGTGTTTGAGGATGCGCGTCGTGGAAGTAAACGTTACGTGGGGCAATGCCGTCACAGGTTCAATTTAGCACCTGCTGTATTGAGCAAAGCCCCGCACTATCTCATAGGGCGTGCGGGCGGCTATCATAGGTATACAACATCGTAGCAAACAGCGTAAAAACTCCAATACTGTATTCTTGACTCCTATCGTCTCGCCGAAACTCTAGACATTAGCACAATGACTTTCGATATCTCCAAATCCCGGGCGCGCTTCCCCGCACTTCAACAAGATCAGGTGTTTCTCGATAATGCTGGAGGTAGTCAAGCATTGGGCGACGTGATCGACTCGTTAGTCAGATGCGGAATGCGCAAGTGAAACTGAACTGATAGACGTCCAGCATCACTCAATACCTCTCCAAGACCAATGTTCAGCTTGGCGCTTCTTACCACACTGGCTCTCAATCGAACACGAAGTACGAACAGGGCTACCAAGCGGCTGCCAAGTACATGAATGCTGGTCGTGATGAGATCGGTAACAGAAATCTTAATATCAGCAACATTCTCTTACTGATAACAACCAGTTCTCGGTGCTTCAACAACCCAGCTTTTCATGAACCTCGGCTCCTCGCTACAATTTCCCTCTGGCTCTGAGATCATTCTCACAAAGATGGAGCATGAGACTAATGTCAAGCCCTGGCTCTTCATGGCTGAGCGCCTCGGTTTGACTGTGAAGTGGTGGGCATCGCCCAAAGAGGATGGACTCAAGCTCACAGCAGAGAACCTCAAGCCATTGTTGAGCGATAAAGTGAAGTTTGTAGCATGTACACATGTCAGCAACATTCTGGGAACGATCCATGATGTGAAGTCTATTGCAAAAGCAGTGCACGAGGTCGGTGCACTGTTCTGCGTTGACGGCGTGAGCTACGCACCGCATCGTGCAGTTGACGTGAAGGATTTTGGAGTTGACTTTTACGCGTTCAGCTGGTACAAGGTCTGTCTTGGAAGTTCTTTCCTCTTGTTGCATTACAATATTGACGAGATGACATAGGTTTACGGCCCTCACATCGCCGCGCTCTACGCCAGCAACTCGGCCCAACAACACATGAAGTCCATGAGCCATTACTTCAACCCCACAAAAACCTTAGAAGACAAGATCGGCTTCGCAGGATCAAACTACGAATGTGTTCAGTCAATCCCTACCATCACCGCATACCTGACCGACGCTTTCCCCACCATCACCGAACATGAAGGAAAACTACAAAGCATCCTGCTCGACTACCTGAACTCACGCCCAGATGTCACGATCCTTGGGTCTACGTCGAGCGATAACAAAGAAAGGGTGCCTACAGTCTCATTTACAGTCAAAGGCATGAGCAGCAAGGCGATCGTGGCTGAGGCGGAGAAGATCAGTAATTACGGGTTCAGGTGGGGACATTTCTATTCAAAGAGACTCTGCGATGAGCTTTTGAAGCTAGAGCCGGAAGGTGTGACAAGGGTCAGCATGGTACACTACAACACTGAAGACGAGATCAAGGGATTGGTCGAGGTATTGAAGAAGGTTCTTCCGCAGGTTTAGGATAGTGCTGTGGAGTGTATTGTGCTACTAACCACTATGAAATATTGTGGCCAAAGGAAGCAATCCAGAAAGAATCCCCTTCTATTCGGTAACGGTCCATTTCGGTTCCATCTTGTGGTGATTGTCACTTCGTTCAGTGCGTTGGAGTCAGATGATCCGACCAAGGACGTTCTTTTCCTAGGCCACCACGCAATCTCATTGTACGGTGAGGCTAAATAGCAGAGATGACTAGCATATGCGAGCGTCTGAACATCGATCTCGCAGTGCAAATACCCCTCTGACGTTCACGCCTACTGCAAAGGAACAGCGTCACCTTCCAGCACGTCCACTCTCCAGGTTCCACGTGATAGGTATCTACCCGCGTAGTCCGGCTTACCGAAGGCCTCCCGAGCACGTGCAACACGGTCGCCAGGCACCGAAAGTTGGAACGTAATGCTACTACTGGTGGGGCATGCGAGTTGAAGTCCAATAAATTGGCGAACAAAAAATTCGTAGCCCTCGCGAGGGGAGTTATCATCCATGATCACGCGGATGGCTAGCTTGCTACCTCGATGCAATGCTAAGCTTTTCCGCATAACAAACTCGGTGAAGGAGCCCTCATCGTGAAACCACAGACCAGATCTGTGCCAGCGATAACAGCCATCCAGTAAATGCCGTCTGAGTTCACTGCTCATCTCGACAAGGGTGGGTGGATGAAGATCGCGTGGAAGGCCACAGCGTGCCACGTATTGCTCCCCAATGTACTCTGTGTAGCACTTGAGTCCCTTGATCATCTCATGAATCCTGATCATAAAGTTGTACCATTCACCGGTGAGATCGGGGAGCTTGAAGGTGATCGATGGGCACATTTGCATGTGGCCACGCTCTGTGATAGAGTGGGCTTCCTGACGAATCAACTTGTTGATCCGCAGTATGCCCACTGAAGGCGCATTATAGTAAATCCACTTGGCACCTGGCCCAGAGAATGATCGATATACCGGCATGGCTGCCAACTGGTCATAGATGCAAAGACGTAGATCGACAGGCAAGCGCATGAACGGAAAGGTGCTACAGCTGGTGCTTGTAGTGGCCGGTTCCCTGTATTCGCAGCGTTTAACCCTTGCCTTGTCGTCATTCTTATCGATTGGGCGAGGGTTCACAGTTGGCTCCTGGGTATTTCGCTTGGTTTGTAGAAGTACCGTCTTGCGCATCTCCGCATTTTTCGCTAGCCTAGTTATAGTGAGCATAGTGAGATCGGGTTAAGAATGTGCGAGATATACCATGCTGGTGGTTTCTTGGTGACCGAGTGAACCCGGATCTGTGTCTGTACCTGGACTTGCGAGATCGTCTTGGCAATCCACCTCTATCGGCGGCATGTCCACCGCATTGGTGTCTATCACGACATCCGTGGTTTGCGCCATTTTGAGGCTTCTGCTATAACTTAGTGTTGACTCGCGGAGAGAGTCAGTGTGCGGGCGAAAACTAGCTTTGCCGAGAAATCAGTCACTTTCACCTTCACCTCCAATCTTGGAACTCAACAAAAAGAGGAATCTTGGCGCTTTAGACGTCAGAGATCTCTTATAACGCGCTTGGGAGGAAGTCGTCTTGTGGTTGCAAGAGCAAAGTATGGCCTCTATCGACAACAGCCAATACCGCCCCGGGCACGATATTGGCTGGCGCCTTTGGCTGTTGCATTTTCGAGATGCTTCTCAAGCGCATCCATTGGAATGGATATGGAGTAGGCAAACTTGATGATGTAGCTATCGAGGCGTACTGGGAAGTGACCCGATTCCGTTGGGTGTGCGCTCAACGAAGTTGCTATCGTGACAACTACTTATACAGTAACGTCTTGTTCCAACTGACATCTCCTCCACGTGTTTCATATGACGTATCAATGTGGTTCGTCCCCAAAACAAAAACCAATGACCGTTGCCATACGGATCAGGCCTCCTCCATAAAGTAGGAAGGCAGTTCTGCGTTCTCATGCAACGTGAATTGCACGCTCGTTATCTGAAGCGCCAACTGTTGCTGACCTGATATATTCCCGAGAGAAGCACCGAAAATTCATGGGTGCTATAATTTGCGCCGTTTCAAGACGCAGCATTATTATAATTTATGAGGGGACAATTTATGAGGGACACTGCTTGTATGTTTCAATCGGAAAATGAGAAACGAGAGCTTACATCCAACGGCCGGAGAGTGAATCTAGGTTGAATGGTAGAAGGGCAGGAGCCTACTGGACAGGAGTTCGTGTGTCCGTCGCTCGTCTGCTGCTCTGACGATGTTTACTTGGATCGGTATCTGCATTAGGCCTCTCGCGCGTGTTCTCGATGTTTCTACAGATCCTTAGCTTGATTTCTCGAGGTGCTGGTGGTCTTGCCTGTGTCAACAGCACAACCATCGCGTAACCTCCTCTTACACATTAGTCTCAAGCGAATGCAACATGCTGCATAAGCAAGTGCCCACAGAATTTATACCTTCGGAGTAAGACAGATTATTGGTAGGCTACAGCCATTTCCGAATGTCTTCCGGGTCAGCAGACGACTGCATCGCGTCCGCCGTCACAGAGAATCTAGCGTGTAGGATCAAGAAGATTAGACAAAACGTAATTGGCGCTCGGACCTTGCTTTGCCACCCGCACGCGACGCGTCTTCTATCTTCCCCTCCCCTCTATATTACTCCATCTTCATCTCATCTTACACGACATCATGGCAAATCTTCGAGTTCGGGAAAAGTCACGGCTTCGAGGATAGCCACCGGCAATGACGACGTCGATCTCCTGGGCACTACCCTGTCGGAAAAACTCTAGCCGAACTGCACCAATGAGGAAGACTTGCTGTAGAGCCGGTCCGACGACCCCATACCTGGAGCGGCGACTACCCCGGGTTTCCAATGTAAACACGGGTTTTTGAGCGGTAGCGCGCCCATCAAGAGTTTCATGTGGGGTAGTCGATGAGCATATTACGAAAGACAAGGTTCTCCAGAAATGACATGTGCAACTAGTAACCATGCAGTATCGTAGCATTGGTTGTATAAATACCTCGCATCATCATCCCGCGATGGACCGGTATCCCCACCAAGGACATCAGCCACCATGTTCTTCCCTACGGCTATTGCACTCGTTGGCCTTTTGACGTGCTCGTCCATTGGAAGCCCGCTCAGCAACAAGAACGAGCTTACAAGTCGGGCTGAGACATTTAACAATCCAGTCTTGTGGGAAGACTATCCCGATCTTGACGTCTTCCGGATAGGCGATGTGTTCTATTACTCGTCGTCGACTTTCGCCTTCTCGCCAGGCGCGCCGGTCTTAAAGTCCTATGACCTCGTCAATTGGACCCCAGTAACTCACAGCGTACCGAGACTGAACTTTGGCTCGCAATACGACCTCGATAACCCATCGAACCGCGCTTACGTCAAAGGTATCTGGGCCAGCACACTCAGGTATCGAAAATCGACCGACAAGTTCATCTGGATCGGCTGCATCCAATCCACTGGCAAGTCATACATGTGGACTGCCGGTGGAACCAAGGCAGCCGCCAACAATGGCGAAGTTTCGAATTGGAATTGGACTGCTGCAGGCTCATTTCCGAAGTGCTACTATGACAATGGACTTTTCATTGATGACGATGACACCATGTACATAGTGTACGACAAATACCAACTCAAGGTAGCCCAGTTGAATGCAGACGGCACAGCAGAAGTCAGAAGTCAGCAAGTCTATGAGGATCCAAATGGACTTTATCTTGAGGGTTCGCGAATGTACAAGATCAAGGGGAAATACTACATCTTCGCCACAAAGCCAGCCGATGACGAGTGGGTATTGAAGTCGGACAGTCCATGGGGCCCATATGAGGCGCGCATTTTGGTCGACAGCATCAAGGGGCCTTTGGCCAATGCGGGCAACAGTCACCAAGGTGGCGTAGTTGACGACAAGAATGGGAACTGGTACTACGTCGCATTTATGGATTCCTATCCTGGTGGACGTATACCTGTGGTTGCACCTTTGACCTGGACGCCAGATGGATGGCCGGAAGTCGTAAGAGTCAACGGCGAGTGGGGCAAGACATATCCTAAACCAGTCACAACGGACAAAACTGTCCCTCCACCTACAGGTCTCGATAAATTCACCGGAACAGCTCTAAGCAATGAATGGGAGTGGAACCACAACCCCGACAACAGCAAGTGGAGCCTGGCAGGTGGTGCTGGCGGTCTCAAGCTCCAGACCGCTACCGTCACTACTGATCTCTACTCCGCGCGCAACACCTTAACACATCGCATCCTCGGCCCGAAGTCATCGGGAACCTTCAAGATTGACATCAGTAAGATGGCTGTTGGTGATCGTGCTGGTGCCGTGCTTTTCCGCGATACTGGAGCGTACATCGGTTTCCACAAAGATGGCTCAACAACCAAGCTTGTCATGGTCAACAATCTGAAAATGAACGCGGACTGGACCACGAACTCTACCGGTACTGTCGCCGCTACAGGACCTGCTCTCGCGTCCGGTATCACAGAGTTCTGGCTCCGCGTTGAGTCGGACATTACGCCTGCCTTTGGTACCAACACCATGCGACAAACGACTTTCTGGTATTCTACGGATGGAAGCAAATTTTTGCAGCTTGGCCCGGCATTCAACATGGCTAATACCTGGCAATTCTTCACAGGATACAGATTTGGTGTTTTCAACTTTGCGACAGCGAAGTTAGGTGGGCAGGTCACAGTCAAGAGTTTCGAGTTGAAGCTGGTGTAGACGCAGTATGGATTACGACTACAATGTAACGATTCTATGATTTAGTCGTTTTGTCTTGACCGATCCTACGAACACAGTCATGGATACTTTCTCTTAGGAGCTCTGCAATATCAATCATACAGTGAAGAGCGGCATCGGAGATAAGACACAATCACGGTGCCTGCAGATGTTATTGTGACATCATCGACGTCTATGTTTCTACGGTAAAGGGCACGCGCGAGCTCCGTTTGCATTTTTGCAGCCAAACAGCGTCAAGAATTTCCCCCCTATCTTGATCCATTGATACTAACACATTCATTCATCCCCACAGTTGCATGTGTATCATGCGTAACTCCACACAATCACATGAGCATGCAATCACACAAACGTAGGCCGCCTAGCACCCATATAAGGCCCTACTCCAACCCCTCTTAGTTGTCGAAGCCGAGTCAACTTTCTGTATATAGACGATTCGAGCGTTTTGTAAAAACGCTGGCATTCTTACACTAATTATAGAACTTTCAGATCAAGATGGGTCACGGTTACCACCACCACAGTCACGAGAAGAAGCCTCTACAGTGGTTCGCATCACCGCTGGCCGAGGATCACCACAAGAAAGAACATCAAAGCCCACCCATCACCCGCGAAAACACACAGGCGGTCCTCGATAGCGGAACCCGGAGTGACGATGTCGATGACGGTCCTCCGCTGCAGGCCAGGGCGGATGACACCAAGTTGCACGACATGCCAGAGTTCCAGCGCCATGCCGAAGCGACAACCCAAGAACTCTTCTTTGATCTCTGTAAGTCTGTCGACACCCTTTCTCATTGAAGATTGCATCGCTGACAGAATTTTCTTACAGTTTTCGTCGCCAACTTGACCACGTTTACGTCGCTCAAGGAGATCAACGACAGCGCCTCTCTTACCGCGTATATCGGCTTCTTCGCACTCCTCTGGATGACATGGTACTCGAACTCCCTGTTCGATGTTCGATTCACCGCAGACTGCATCTTCGAGCGATGCGCTAAGGCTTTGCACTACGGTGTCATGGTCGGCTTTGCTGTCGTTGGTCCCGCTTGGGAGCCTGGAAAAGCTACAAGCTCCCTCCAGAAGTACCAAGTCTTGTCATTCATTCTTATGGTCTCTCGCCTGGTACTTGCTTCCCAGTACGCTGTCACGTTGTTCTTCTTGCGTAAACATCGAAGAACGATCCTTCCGATGTCTCTAGTCATCGGCTCGACGCTCGGTGCTGCGCTAATATACGGGTCCCTTACGGCTTCACTACCGAAAGAGACATGCAACGTTGAGTTGGGTGTTTGCAAGAAATTCACGACGCACGTTCATATCGCATGGTACACCATCAGCGCCCTGGAGATCATCTTCACAGTGGGGATATCGTGCGTTTGGCGTGTCATCTCCTTGAAAGGCACACATCTTGTGCAGCGCATGTCACTACTTACTCTAATCATCCTTGGGGAAGGCATTATCGTCATCTGCAAAGCTATCTCCAAGATCGTCAAGAACGGCTCGCAGTTTGATGACGCACTCACTGGTCAGATCGCCGCCTCAGTGCTAATCATTTGTATGTACAAGACCGTCCACTCAGCTAAGTGCCCGACCACTAACGTCCACTAGATCTGCTGTACATGCTTTACTTCGATCGAATGCATGAAGAGCACTTCGGTACCATCAAGCAGCAAGTCTGGGCATCGTTACATTTCTTCTTACACATCACGCTGGTCTTGGTTCTACAAGGTGTCTCATACCTTATCATGTGCGTTGTCGCCTTGATCCGGATGGACAACGTTGATGGGAAATTCCGCGAAATTGAAGCGCTTAGTGTCAACGGCGCTTATGCCAACGGTACCCTCTTCGCGGACGCTCTCCGTCAAAAAATCGATACATACCTTTGGAATACCATTCCCAAGGGCGTCGACGCAAGCAAAGCACTCGAGACATGGAACAGCAGTTTGATCGTACTAGCGCAGAGCTTCGACAACCTGCAGAAGGACAAGGCAAACTTGACAGCTGTGGACATGATCACCACTAGCCTGAACAATGCAGAGAGCATGGCGATTCAGACCATGTTCGACAGCCTTTCTATCTCGGTACCCAAGACAGCGAAGACAACGACCGAAAATGTTCTGAACAAGGTCTTCGACAAGGCCAGTCTCCTCAAGAAGTATGAGACGCGATTCGAGCTTGTCTTCGACTACGTCTTCCTCTCGGTAAGTCGTCTTTGCCCCTTTCCACCACTCTCATATCTTGCTAACACATACTGCAGGCCGGTCTCGCCATTGTATTCATGGCTATCATTGCCTTCATCTCGTTGCCGGACAAGAAACGCCACCTTCGTCAATATATGCGCCTCTTGTTCAGCGTTATCCTCGGCCTCGCGATCTATCTGATATGCCTCGTCAATACCAACAAGCCGAGTCAAAAGCACTACATGGAGAGCAACTGGATGTTACCGACCATCTGTATAATCTTCGCTGTCTGTGTGCTGGTGAGCCATGCGAGGCCTTGGTGGCATTCTCATTATAGGTGGCATGGTGCTTGAGGAAATGAATAGAATTAAAAAGAATGCAGCGATCTGAGCGGAATGGGTCGTAAGTACGGCTATGAGGACTGCACTAGGACCAGTCGCTTCAGTGTTCTACAAGCTTTTGTACAAGACTCGAGTTCATGTCTACACTTGACTGTCGCATGCAGGATCAGGTAATGCGAGAACAGAATTTATTTATAGATGAAGGAGCTCTTCTCTTTCATCCCTCCTCTTAAACGTGAAGGCCTCTCACCTCCAGGTACCACCCGCTTTCTCCGACCCAGCGCCTAAAAAACTCGTCCCTTGGTTTGTTGCATCTTCGCAACGTTAAAGTTCTTGATCAAGAAGACCCAAACAAGACACAATCCCATGATTGCCGTACCCGCAATCAGCATCCTCTTCTGCGCAATACCATACGCTTCTTCGATTGCTAACCGCGTCGCACTTCCTCTCTCATAGCTCAACTGCTCATCCAAACTTCCATAGATAAGGTCGAAGTTCTCCATGGCCTCAGCTGGCAGCAAATCCATCAAGGCTTGCGGGAAGGAGTTCGTCCAGATAGCACCGGAGATGGTGGATCCAACTGCACCGCCTAGCCATCCAAAGATGTTAAGAAGGGCGAGTACCGATGCAATATGTTGATGGTCCGCGGCAGCCATAACGGCAATCTGCTCGCAGAGAATGATGATAGAACCACCGATTGCGATAAAGACTTGGCACATGACCAGATATCCGACGCTGGTGCTTGGGTGGCGGAAGTAGATCATGAGACCTTGACCGAGAATATAGATTGGTACGGCGATGAAGAGAAGCCAGCGGAAGTAGCCAGTCTTGCTGATGACGAGACCGACTGACAGGAGCAAGACACCAGAAAGGACATCGAAGGTCGAAGCAACATAGCCTGCTTCAGCGATAGTAAGATTGGTGACTACCTGCAGGAACGAGGTAAAGTAAGAGTTCCAGGCGTAGTACGAGATCTGGTATGTGAAGGAAAGGAGACATGCGCCGAGGACCGAGCGGCTAGTCAAGAGGTCGAAAGGCAGGAAGGGCTTTCCGGCCGTGAAGCGCTCGTGGAGGCCGAACAATATGAGTAGGACGAAACCAACGACCAACATCGCGATGATGTAGCCTGTTGACCAACCGTTAGGTGCTGAGTCGGCGAGAGTGAACGGGAGGAGGAAGATGACAAGACCGGCGGCTAGTAAGAAAGCACCAGGAACTGTATAACTGTCAGTATAAATTGATACACATACGCGGTAGCATATGAGACGAACCGTCAAACTCTCGAATGTGGAAGATGATGCTCTGCATCAGGTTTCTTCCACTCGACTCGCGCTCCAGTACACCAGTCTGCTTCGCCTTCCGTAAGTTGAGCTTCAGCACAACGAACAGTGGGGCAGCCACAAAAGGCAGGATGATAGCGAAAGTGCCGAAACCCCAGCGCCAATTGATGTTGTTATAGAATCCCTCGGCCGCCTTTGGTCCAGCGAATGCTGTGATAATGTATGGCGAAGAGGTAAAAGCGAAAGCCAAACCTCGGTGCTTCAGACTACTGGAATCTGCTGTGATGACATCGACACAGTAGATCATACCACCAAATCCAATCGTGTAAAAAACCTGCGCTGCGCAATATGTAGCCAGGTTTGTAGACGCCGCCATGATGATCAAACCAAGGGTAGCAAAACACACCATAGTAGCGAAACCTTCAGCACGACCCCAGAGATCAAGCAACTTGGCGGTCGGAATGTAGACGGCTGCGGCCATGGAGTTGGATACGATGGAGATGACGGTAAGTAGCGAGTGTTCTTCGAATCCAGAGGTTACGTAGGGCGTTAGGTTGCCGGTAATGGATGATTGAAAAGCATTTGTGAGGTACAAGAACCACATACTGTGAGCTGTGTTAGTTCCTGGATCAATACATAGCTGAGCTGTTGAGCGACGTACCATATGAATGCGCATGCCAGAGATGTCTTAGTCCACGCCAAAGTGACAGCCTCTACCTCTCGCACACCCTCTTGCGCAGAATGTGATGGCATATTAGCCTCCTCAACCTTGCGAATCGCATCTTCCTCGTCAACAGACATATTGCCAATGCTCTTTTCCCTGGTAGGCTCGGTGCTGGGCTGAACAGCAGCGATAGAATCCATGATCGCCAGCGAGTCTCTTAACGACCTGAAAACGTAGACAGAGCAATAGAATGAATAGCACTCCCACCAGGCAGGGCCACAGAGTTCAAATACATTCCCACAGCTCTGGGTGCTGCGCGGCAGCGCAAGCTAAGCGTGATGCTTGTGTGGGCCAACATATCCAAGCCAAAGCTTCTCGCGCTGGACGCCTTGGAGCTAGAGCTTGTCCCGGAGCTTGACCACGACCTCGCGACCACAGAGCCAGACGGCATACACGAGGTGTTGGGTAAGGCCTTAATCGTACTAGGCACGAATGGGAGATGATCTAACTTTGCGTAGTATGGTGTTGATGGAGCAATCTTATCAGATGGATCCCTAGACCGGGTCTAGAGACGGCCTGAACACCATCTTCGGCACCTTTCCGGTACTACGAGCTCCACGCCCGTAATTTGTTTGTGATTGGCGACATTAGGACAAAGAGGCGCGACGAGTATGGTTTTGTGGCGTGCGAAAATTTGCGCATGGTTCGATGATGAGTGGAGCGCATATCAGATGGGTTCTTGATCTTATCTTATCTTGATCTAGATCAGCAGCTAGACGCGAACACGACACGCTTCGTTTTCAAACGCCGAGTGGCGCTTGCATAGCGCTCACAACAATGGGGAAAACAATGGGAAAACACCTGGACCTCTGTCAAAGCGGTTGCCTGGATTCACAATGCTTACTCTACTTGAAGTCCTTCTCGGTCAACGAATCTTCCATCTTCTGTATCCTTTCCCAGGTTTCGCTCCACTTCTCCCACTCGCCCTCAGGCAGCTTACCCTTGATTGGGAGTCTTCCACCTTCCATTGTGCCAAAATCGGTGACCCTCTTGACTGCCTCTTTGATACCCACAATGCCGTACTTACCAATGTACTCCTCGGCCGTACTGACTGTGTACTGCAACTGCTTCATCTTCTTGAGATTCTCATCTGTTATCGGTCTCGTCTCGGCTAGCTTCATCAAAGAGCATACGGTCTTGGGGTATATGGCCGCGAGACCATCGATAACACCTGCCGCGTCGAAAATGACGATGGGACCGAGTTGTTGGCCGAGACCAGAGTAGACGCGGAATTTGTTGTGGTCGATTTTGGGGTCAAGTGACACTTGGTTGTGCCATGAGACGACTGCATGCGACATCTTGCAACCGACGATGTTGGGGTGTTGGGCGAGGATGCGGTAGGTTTCGGGTGTGACCATTACGCCGTTGGTTACGCCAGGGTAGTTGTAGCTATTACTCCGTTAGTAAGATGCGAAAGTATTTCCGCCCATGGATACATGCATTAGTACTGGTAGAGGGCTCTTGTCCGCAACAACCGTATACCATTCTCTAATGCCCCCCTGACTCGCCGCTGCGCCAAAGTACCCTGGCGCGAGCACGAGTCCCCATTGCGCGCCTGCCTTCTTGAAGTCCTCTAACCATTCCAACGTCTCGTCAACGCTGTTGATCAATGTGCCAGCCATTATCGGGTAGTCCTTGAAGCCCGCCTCATCTAATCCTTTGCGCACACCAGAAATGAGGTCGATGCGTTCTTGTCGCGACATGTGAATCGCCTCGCCTGTGGAGCCGAGCAAGACAAGACCGCGCACTCCATTTTTGGCAAGGAATACAGAGTGCTCAACTTGCGTTTGCACGTCGACTTCAGGTTGCAGCGACTTTGACTCGGATTGGGTTTTGAAGAAGGTTGGGACGGGCACGAAGACGCCGGTGGGTGGTGATGAGGTCATGTTGGTGGCTTGTGCATAGAATTGCTTTCTGGCCGCTCTGTGACGAGTTTCTTTGTTAATCGGAGTCGAGAGTCAAATAACAAGATATTATGCGCTGCGAATACCCTGAGTTTTATTGCGCACCTTGGTCATCCGCTCCTCGGGTTCCTTTACTCCAGCTGCCGAAGCTACATGCCCCGCGGTGGAGCTCTTCTGGCCCTTTTGACCCCGCGCTGCCGTTCGGCTTACCGCGAAAGGGACATGGCGGCGGCAATACGCTGATTGGACGAGATGGCTTTGATGTGGACTGAGATGGCTATGTCATCTTTGAGGTGTAAGAACCTATTCGACACCCCAAGAGTGTTACCCCTTGATCACTTAGAACATCAAAAGAGCCAGTAAAGCAGAGCAACGAAGAACGGCAGCCATGGGCAAGATTGCAAAGATTGAATATTTTCGTGTCCCACCACGTTGGCTATTCGTTAAGATCACGGATGCAGATGGGAATTTTGGTTGGGGTGAAGCATCACTGGAAGGCCACACGCAAGCAGTCGAAGGGTGCTTGGACGCTTGGGCTGAGCGATATGTTGGCTTTGAAGCAGAGTGAGATTCTCCTTGATATTCAGAGCACCGTCGTACGCGATATCACGAAGGCTAACGACATCAAAGTGAGATTGAACACATATGGCAGATGTGCTGGCGAACTAGTTTCTACCGTGGCGGACCAGTTTTCATGAGCGCACTAGCTGGCATTGACATCGCACTGTGGGATCTGAAAGCGAGAAAGCTCAACGTGCCAATTTATCAGATATTGGGCGGGAAGGTGCGTGACAGACTCAAGGTATATGCCTGGATTGGCGGAGATAGACCAAACGATGTCAAGGAGCAAGCGTAAGTAAACCAAGTGACGACCGACCTGCTGCAAAGGTCTAGGAAAGCAATACTGATACATCGATACAGTCTATCACGCAAAGCTCAAGGATTCCGCGCTGTAAAGATGAACGCAACGGAAGATATAGGCTGGCTCGACTCGCCTTCAACCCTACAATCGGCTGTCGATCGTCTCAAAACAGTTAAAGAGCTAGGCATGGACGCCGGCATGGACTTTCACGGCCGCATCCACAAACCCATGGCCAAGCAACTCGCCCGCGCCCTGGAACCACACCACCCACTTTTCATCGAAGAACCTCTACTCTCTGAACACATCGGCGGCATCAAGTCTTTGCACGAGCTAACCTCCATTCCCATCGCATTGGGAGAACGTCTCCACTCACGCTGGGATGTACGGCCCTTCTTAGAAGCCGGCTGCGTTGACATCCTGCAACCTGACATCTCACACATCGGCGGTATTTCGGAAATGCGACGTATAGCATCCGCAGCCGAGACTTACGACGTCGCCATCGCACCACACTGCCCGCTGGGTCCTATTGCACTTGCTGCATGTGTTCAAGTAGATTGCACGCTGCCTAATTTCGCGATTCAAGAAATGAGTTTGGGGATTCATTACAATGCTGGGAGTCAGGACCTCACATCTTACACAAAGAATCCGGAGGTCTGGGATGTGAAGGATGGGTATATTGAGCTGATGAAGGGACCAGGCCTGGGAATTGAGGTTGATGAGGAGATGATTAGACGGGAGAGTAAGGACGCGAAGGCTTGGATCAGTCCAGGGTTCATTGGGCCGGGAGGCGAGATCAGAGAGTGGTAGGGCGTGGGTATTCTCAAGACATTCATGGATGGTAAGCAGAAGTGACACAGCATGGCTTGGAGAAATTCGAATCATCTCCACGTAGTCTCCGAAATGGTCGTGTACGCTGTATATCTCCTAGGTATATCACGTGTTATCTACTACATGATGTGTTCCAAGATGAAGGAGATCACAATAGTCAGCTCTCCACTTTCACCTCTTCACCTTTTTCCTATTGTCGTCTCCAGCACTCAATATGTCTTACTATCCCAACTTACAATAGCTATGTAGCTATTGTCCCATCTACTGCTGCTCAGCACCTCCCAAGTGTTAAGTATATAAACGGCGGTTCTCCTATCCCTTCCCTCTTTCTTCAGCTCTCACACATCCTTCTCACACATAAATATTATCACATAATCTCGCCTCAATGGCATTTCTCTTCTTCGCCGCCGTCTTCACTCTTTTGGGGTGGCTCGCTTGCGAGCATGATTTCTTTTCGATTGCCTCTTCGGTCCCTGCGGCTGGTCCGCATACCGCATCATCTTCGCCTTCCTCTTCACCTTCGGCCTCTGCTCCGGCTGGTCCGGTAGTATCGCCATCTCTGCCACGTCGAGAGCGTCGGGCTCTCGCTCGATCTCGGTCTCGGTCTCCTCCTCCGGTTCCTGCGTGGGCGCGCCCTGGCTCCCTCCTCTCGCCTCCTCGGCACCGCCCTGTCGAGGATAAGAACGACACTTTCCTGGATGTCAAATCCACCGAGTCCGATGGCCTAATGGAGAGAGTTTGGGATCCGATAAACGGGTGGAAGTGGGCTGCGGTCCGTGGTGAGAGATTGGCAGCGAGGATGATTCCTCTTCCGAACTCTCCTCCCCCTTCGCCCGTCATCACTCCACGTTCTCCTCCTGCCGCGGTTCCTCCTGCTTTTGTTGCAGCTTCTGCGCCTATGGCCGTTTCCGTTTCGCCTAATCCTGCACCAGCACCTATTGTCATCTCTCCGCCTCCTCGCTCGGTCGCCTCCATCCTGGCTGGCATCCCCTCCCTACCACAGGGACTCACACACGTCTTTCCGCTGCCGGCTCCAGCACCACTGTCACAGCCACAGCCTCTGTTTGGTGGGTTGTCGCTGGCGACACCTGCTAAGTATGCTTCGGGCTCCCTGACTATGGTGCTGCCCGACCTCACACCCTCGGTTCCGATGCCGTTGGCTCCTCCTCTCCCGACTTCTCTTCCAGCTGGGGCTGACCATAAGCCCCAGACTGATGACATATGTGGAATCGTTGCTCCGACTCCTCATTCCTCCTCTCCTTTCGCCTTTGGTGGTGGATCCATTGGTGTTTCCGCTATGCCTATTCCCGCTCCTCCCTCTGATAGCACTTTCGGTGCCGTTTTCAACTTCACTTCACCCTCCCCTTTCTCCTCTTCAGCACCTTTCTCTTCTGCCTCTGGTCGCCCCCGCGATCGACGAATCCTCAAGAGGGTCTATGAACCTCGCTTCGAAGACGACAGAGACGACGACGATTCTCTCATGGAGAAATACTGGGACGCTGGATTCACCACCCTCGACTCCCTCATGCAAGCCGATATCCCAATGGTGACCGGGTGCGGGCTCGAAAACATTGCTGGATACATCTCCGGTTCCACCGTCGCCTCTTTCGAGCACAATCTTCGTGACAAGGAGAACGGACTTCGCCGCTTGGCTAACCTCCTGCGTTGGCAATGCGGATCCACTCGGCCGCAGCCCCCTGGTGGGACTGTGACCCTTGGTCAACTCATCACCGTGCTGGCACGTGTGGATGAGTTGGTGAGGGGGTTTGTAGCTGACAACGGAGGTCAGCAGCAACTGTTCGTGCAGGGTGACTTCTTCAAGTGGGCGCGGGCGTGGCGTTACTTGGAGAAGCATTGGTGGCAGGTCAGGAAGACGAAGCTGCAGCAGGAACTGGATCCTTCTGTATATGGACAGGTGGTGGAGTTGGTGAAGCTGCACCAAGCCCATTGGGTGAAATTTCTTCGGGAAGCTCCTGATGAGGGCAAAGGTCGGGACTGGTGAGGTGTTGAGCAGTTCTTCTTGTTTGCGAGCGCCTTTCTGGTTTGCTTTTCTTTTGTATGCTTGTTGTCGGCTGGTCCGCAATAGGTGCTGCTCTTCAGGGTCAGTAGATAGTCGAGAATGGTACCTTTTTCTGCCTTCTCATGTCACCTTCAAACCATATCTGCCAGTGTGGAAAATGTTCATTCCAGCCTACCCTGACTATGTTCAACTATTTCAAGCTCTGACATTGATCAACCTCCACACTCTCGAAGCACTCGCGGCACCTTGACATTTCCTGGAAACTCGTTACAAACATCTGCGGATACCTCCTGGCTCTCCGGTGTTACTCCTCATCTACGTCCTCCAAATCCGAATGTCCGCTGAAATGCTTAAACTTGATTGGCATTGGCGATTCGCCCAAGATTCCAGAGTGATGTGTCGGCGGTGGAGGCAGGTGAACGGGCCGAAGGCCACGAGGTAGTAAGGGTGTAGGCGGGATGATAATGGTGTCATGTCGAACCGGCGAGCCCGCTGGGGTAGTAAATGCGACAGTGGGAGAAGCCGTGGTGCTCATACCATTGTGCATAGCCACACTATCGCTCAGCGTCTCATCGTTATACACTGTAAGGCTCCAGAGTATCCCCACCCATGGCCAGACAAAGCCCTCCTCGTTCCAGAACCACGTGTGATCGTTAGTATACTCCATCAGAGCGTAGGTGGAAAATAAGAGTGCAGATGCACATAGACCGCCGACCTTGTAACTGTTAGTTCTCATCAACCACATATGTCGTGAGCGAGGTAACATACCATTCCGACGGTCAACTCGTGGGGTCTCGGAAAGTACCCGGGCTGCTCATACTCGGCAGATGCGAAGAGAACAGTGGTAGCAAGTGCGATGTACGCATATTTGTACGTGAACAAGCTTGTAATAATTCTTCGGTATTCTTGGCGGACACAATCGGGGACGAACGAATCCACAAATCGTGTTTGGGCGCGACATAGAAAATTGGGTGCAGCGGCGGCAGTGGGTGCGACGGTCGGAGTGGAATTCGGGTCCGCCATAGTTGGCGATGCGGTTATAGAAGCCGTTGAGTGTGTCGGTACCATGACCGCTGTCTTTGCAACGAGCTGAGCAATATTCGAGTAGGGGACTATGCGTTGAGTGTGAGTGGTGAGAGTATCGACCGCGCCTTCTAATGCAGAATTGTAAGCGCGAAAGCAAGGAAGGTACGTGCTGTACTGTCGAGATGGGTGAATAGGTAGCAAACGACAGCCATTGAGATGACATAAACAGCAAACGACAGCCATCGAGATGACATAAACAGCAAACGCGCGTGCGCTAGATTGGCCAAACACGAGGAATTGACCTGTCGAACTTCTACTGGCGTATGACGGGAAGGTGCAAGAGCTCATACTCACATCCAACATCCGTCATTGAAACATGTCTGAGATCTATTCTGGGTATATCGCCAATCTATTGCCTACTCTTCAACTACCAATCACTCCTTGGGCTTGAACACACGATGCCTTGCCAATAGTTGTGAAATCATGAAATGTGACACATCCTCGTCAGCCCAATACGTCATATGACTCGCTATACTGGCCAGCAGCGAGATGTCGAAAGCCTGTAACCATGTTAGACGGCCTAGAAAAAGTGATAGAAGAGCAGTCATCACTTACGCCTTCTTGAATACTATAGTCCACACGACCGTTGCTATTCAGCGCGCGCACTTTCTGTTCCTCCTTCTTGAGTTTCCGGCTTCGTTCTTCTAGCTCCTGCCATTCAAGGTCCTTTTCAACGTCTCGCTCGCCGTCTTCACTCTGCTGGCTCTTTCTTCGCTTCTGGAAGCCGGCGAAGAGGGTCTCTATGTCGCCTTCGATGAGAGTGGGAGGATGCTCGCCGTCTTCACCTTCGGCGATGGTTTCTTGTCCAAGGCGGCGACGACGTTCTTCGCTAATGAAGGCGCTGGTGGGCTCATTGAGGCCTGGGACGAGATTCGCGGCGTTGCTCGAAGGAGGTGCGGCGGCGCTAAGTGGGCGAGAACTACGTTGTCCTTGTGTACTGTTGCCTGCGCCTGTCATTTCTGTTCCTGATATACCGAGACTGCGGTTGAGCAGTCCACTAGCAATGCCTGTAGTCCATTGGTGTCAGTATTTTTCCCAGTTAGCATAGGTGAATTTGACTCACCTGATCCAAGAGAAGTCCAAAAGTCAGTCACGCCCTGACCAACTCGTTGACCAATGCCGGTGAAGCCTTGAGACGCTGGCGCACCGAAGATGCCTTTCTTGGTATATGGCAAAGGCTGGGCTTTGAGCGCTGACATAGCTGGTGAGATCAAAGGCTCAATGCGATAACTTATCGGATCAGTCGGATGGAAGATGTTGAAGACCTGCTTGCAAAGAGGTGAGGATGTCGTAATGTCAAATGCATGTTCATCTCCACCTTGCGAAAATGGATCATCGATAGATGTAGCCGGTGTCTTCGGCGGCACAAACGCGGTAGCAGAAGTCTGCGGTCTTCCGACTATCGTTCGTCCCTTCAACATCTGGAACAGCCCAATGGGTGAGCCAAGAGCATAAAAGTCTTCCACCTCAAAGTCCAGCTTCAAGCCCTCTTCAGTAGACCTTCGTTGCTTGATCGACTGCGAGCTTGGCTTGGCTCTTGGGTCTTTCTGTATGCAAAGAATATCGAACATGATAGCAGACCCGAGAGAATGCCCAACCAAACTCACTTTTCCCTTGAAAGACGGATTTCGCTCCTTGAATAGCCGGTAAGTGCGGTTTAGCTCGTTCACAACGATTCGAGAGATATGACCTTTGTATGCAGGACTTTGGTATAGTAGAATATCAAGCGCCAGATCAGTAAGGAAATTGCGGACAGCAGGTACGCCTGCAGTAGTCAGTAAAGGTCAAAGTGTAAAATCCGATTGCGCGACGTACCTTCAACGGTTATATCTTCGAGATTGGGGTACTCTTCATCTTCGTGATCGAGGTCGCCCAAGTCGTGTTCTTTGCGGTTGTGCTTCAAACTTTGCTTGGGAAAGTCCAGCAGGTGTCTCCAGATAATAGGGATGACTTGGATGCGATTGTTCTTGCTCTCCGACTCCGTCTCCGCATTCAAGGCCTGGAGGTCAGGCGAAGCTGCGTATACAGATTTGAGGGACTTGCGCATAGTATTCACGTCGTGAATGAAGTTGATGGACTCCATTCGCATTCCAAGGCGCTGTCCAATACCATGCGTTACTAGGAGCAGATGCTCAATTTCACGATCTTGATCACTGCCATGCTGTGTTTTGTAATCTTCACGCATCTCTTTCTCCTCACGCTTTCGCATCTCCTCTTCCTGTTGTTGCTCATATTCTGGCTTTGAGGATGTCATGAGCGATGACACCTGCCTTTCCAGGTTGCGTCTGCGTGTTTGGGAGGGCGACATGCTTCGCTCGTTCTCTGAGTTCTCTCCATCGGTGTTGACGTCAGAATTGCCATGATCTGAACCGTATGCTAGCGCAGGCGTTGAAGGTCGGTCCATCTGCTTTGCGCTTTGGGGACCCTTGGCAGGAGTTGGCTGCTTCTTCTTCTCTTTGGGATCGGTGTATCCACGGATGTACTTGTATCCAGCATAGTGCGCTCCTCCGGCGAAGCGCTGGTACAACGTACTGCCCATGCGAGACCACATGTCATCGGTCAACATCCACGCTGTCGTCTCGTCCTGGTATGTGACAGTGGAGTTCAGGTGGGCGCCAAAGAGCCTATGCGTCCGCGGCAAGTCGGCAGGCGCATTGGAGGCTGCAGATGCATCGCCTAGTTTCGAATCGTTTGATTGTTTCGAGGCTTCTTTCCGCAGACTGTCGTACGATGACTTGGGTGTAACTGGATTTGACGTTGAGTCGCGATTCAGCCTAGCCAGCTCCTTGCGGTGGTCATCGCCAGCACTCGGACCCATGGAAAGTGGCCGAGCACGAGGCTGCGATACTGCTCGCTTCTCATCTGGCTTTCCAAACTTCCACGGCTTCACTTTGAGATATCCCTCCTCTAGTTGCATAGCTAGACCTTCGTCGACGGCCTCCCCGTCTGGTGTGAACCATGTCCCTCGCTTGACGTCGTAAACAGGACCCAGCCAGTATGATGGTGCCAACTCGCGTGTCTCGATCTCGACATCGAACAGATAGTCCTCGTTGACGGGCACCTTTGTGGTTTTGGGAGGTGTGTTGTTGGATTGGGTAGGCGTAGTAGGACTAGCAATGCCTCTTCTCAGTTCGTCGGCATCGGCTTCGTCGGCAGTCTTCTGGAAGGCGGCCTCAATGGCGCGAGAGTCTCCGGCACCGAAGGGTATCCACTTCTTAGGTTTGGGCAAGGCGGTATCGGGGGCCATGGCATGCTTCGAAAGTGGTTTGCGCTTGGGTGTCTGCCAAAGTCAGTGTCGCGATCAAAAGGCAGCTCTGGCATTGCAAAGAACAGGAAGCTTGACGTGAGTACAGTGTATATTGACTACTTACATCTATAGCATGGAACCACCTCACAGCCAGCGGAGGACAGTCTGGGGGGTAGCGCTTGAGACTCAGCCTGTGTCTCCGATCAATCACATGGTCTCCTCCTTGCTGAGCAGCCAGTATTGCTGCAGCTCTGTCCTTGTCCCTCTCCTGCTCCATCTTCTTGGCCTTATCCGCACTTCCCTCGGGCGCCGGAGGCTTGGGCGTACCTGCCCGCGATGGCCATGGTGATAGATTGGAAAGAAAGCCCTGCTTGTTGTCCGGGGCAGTCATCCTGTCAACTGGAGGGGCGTCGCCGCCGACACGAAGCTTGGCCAGCCAGGACTTTGCGCGATATCGTGAAGCTTGAAACGGTGGAGACAGTGGCCTCAAGCGGGGCGATCGGGCAGGCACGCGAAGATGGACGCGTCGAGGAAACGTCTTGACGTCGGTGGTATGGCTAGAGGAGCATGGCAGCAAGATGCATGTTATACAGTCATTAGGCGGTGGCAGGTGTCAGAAACATTTGATTGCATGTGCTCGTGTCGTGTCTTGCATGTGCCTGCTCCGGCGCTGCTGCGGCTGCGACACAGACTAGTTACATCACCACAGACGCGTGGGGCAGCCCACAGCTCTTCCACTCGTATCGCGTATCCATCGTCTCCGATCTACCAACACTGCAAACACACCGCCGAAACCTAAACACCATGAGAGTTCACACCATACACGATCTGAATGCGCGCAATCCAACGCCGCCATCTAATCCGCTCCTGACTTCATCGGTGACCGACGCAGAGCGGCGGTTTTCGCGCTTCTCCGTCACCGATGCCGTGCATCTGAAGCTAAAGCTGCAAGCCCTCGACAACGCCGTGTCAAGAATTTGCCCGGAAAATCATGACCAAGCTGATATCGCAACCATCACTAGTGCATGTCAAACACGGCCTTTTGAAGAAACTGTGTACGTTGCTGGCTCAGAGATTTTCTACCTCGTAGTAAAAGGTCTTGCACGACCACATATCATCGCCGATGTTTATGCTGAAGCATACAAACATGTCTTACAGGGCAGGCCTTACGTGAACAACTACAATCTGTCCGGTTGTAGAGGAATAGACTGTGTTTTCTCCGACGTGAGAACTGTCCTGGGAGATATCGACCGTGTGTGTGACACCAATCTCGAAGGCGCCTTCGCTAAACTCGAGGAACGAGGCAGGTCTATCATCAGTGCCTATACCACCATTTTGCTAACACTGACTAGTCCAGCCGTTTCCCTTTCTCCGGCTCCCGGCCGAGCTGCGCCTCCATGTATACTCATTCCTGCTTCCTCCTGAGCGTCGTATCATCCTCAGACCTCGCTCTCAGGTTGTCAGACGTCCGCGTCTCAATATCATGCGTGCCAACAGGCAGTTACATGACGAAGTTATCAAGTACTTCTACAAGAACTGGAGACTGTTCGTACGAGTAGATTCGTCACCACTAGGCCGATTGCGTCAGGGCGAGGTCTGTTATCAAGGGGTAAGGCCCACGATCAACTCAGCCACCCTTGAGCTTCTCAAAGAGCTTGAGATCCGCGTCCACGAACATCTGGTCTACTTGACAGGACCACCCTCAAGCCGCATTAGCTCCATATTTGATACGTTCAAACTTGAGCGTGTACGCATCACGTTCGAGCTGTCTAATACCGCCAGCGGGCACAACAGAGACACAAAGATGGAGCTGTTTTGCAGACAGCTGATTGATCAGATCCCGGCATCAGTGAGTGTGTCGTGGCCCCATAGTGATGCCGCAACCTTCTTCCATAGCAATGCAGTAGAGCAGCGCTTATATCAAGCCTTGCAGGAGAGAGCATCTTCTCAAGCAAGTCGTGGTGCAACGGCACCGGGACGTGTAGTAATGCAATGACCTCAGCATGCTCATAGATAAACAATTTCCAACCCATGAGTGCACATGCACGAAAGACCGGAGCTCGTCTTTATGCTACGCTGAGTGCTGGTAAGGTATACTTGAGTGTGCCCATGGCCAATGTTAAACCCGACAACGGGCCATCAAAAGTTCTCTCATGGAAAATGACGAGGAATATGCGCCATCAGCTTACAGTGTTGTCTGCGCCCTTTTTGCGCCGATCATTGAATTTATGCTTTGGTGATGTACGAATGGCAACCTTTAACGCCAAATTGTGTAAGATGACAATGAACCATGTTTCCGCTATTACATAGTTTGACATAACTATATCATCCATGTCAAGAACCGGAAACATTCCTTACACGGCAAAGGACCGAATTCCTTCATGTAATGTGGGCCGCTCGATTTGGGGTACATCGAAATGCCGATTGCGGGGTTACTGCAGGAACGCGGAATTGAAAGCTTCAGCATCAACCTTCGGTCTTCGGTACCTGACAACGGCACGACACCGAGGTTCTGTGCGTAATGTAGTACATGTATATAACTAAGGTGCGGCTATGATGTCTTTGGCGTCCAAAGTCTTCCGCTAGTCTTTAGTGACATATTCAGCTCTTCCCATCATGCATCTCTTCAATACTCTTACTGCGTTTGCTACTATCATCACCAGCACAATGTCGCAGAGTACACCAGCACCGCCTCAAATGACTTTGATCTATCACATGGAAGCAGACCTGGGGGAACGATTTTCGCTAGGCTCTATTCCAACTGGGCAAGAACGCATTGTCATTCCCATTGTTGGAGGCACGTTCAAAGGACCCAGAATTTCTGGTGAGTACTTCCACTATAGACATTCCATACTTAACAACACCAAACATGTTGTGTTTATTGTCTGTTACGAACCGTTCTTTTTGTACCCTATGACGTCACACATACCGCGAAATACTCACGTTCCGTAGGCAAAGTCCTTAACCTTGGTGCGGATTGGCGCCTGACAGATGCGCAAGGAAAGTTTCGGCCAGACGCTCGATACAACATTCAGACAGATGACGGTACATATATTTACGTGCAGACTGAAGGCTTGCCCCCTGCTGTGGATGGCGCACCGTCAATGTTGCGAGGAAGATTTGAGACGAGCACGAACGGAACTGCTGCGTGGTTGAATGATGTGGCTGCTGTTGGCGTCATAAGGAGGAACGGCACATCCAGTGTGTTGATTGATATGTGGCAGGTAAGTGGACTGAATGAGTATCGCGAGGCTGGGGCAAGGCTAACAGAGACGCAGGCGTCCCCACCTTCGGAGTGACGATATTTCCAGTGCGCAAATACAAAATAGCTAGATGAAAGCCAAAATGATTGATAATGTTATTGAGCTCGAGGTATGCAGTATAATGGGCATATGCTTGGTAATTACGTCTTATATGTCTCTTGCTGTCGCGACGCTTGTGGCTTTATGTGTGGCTGGGGGCGGCCAAAAATTGACGCCGACCTCGCTCTACTCAGCGAGTGTGCGCCAAACCTCTGCGTCTCTTGCAGCTCACATCCCACCATCTACCAACAAGTCCAATCTCTATCCAGATACATCGCATTATAATGATGAATGCGCAACAATGGCAAATCCTACCACCCGATCTGGTGGAGCTTCAAATTGGCCAGGTCGACCTTTTGCTGGCTATGTACCCTGAAGAAATTACTTTCGATGAAAATTCTCAAGGAATACTAGATATCTTGCGCGACACCGATGATGTCAGGTCTAGAACCGCTGTCAAACTGACTCCAAGTATCTCGCTCTTCCTTGATCTGCCGATCACAATTGCCGAAGAAGCTGCTCCAGATTCGAAGTCGTTGCGCTTAGACATCGGAGTACCGTTTGCGTATAGTGGGAACGTTGCGCCTTCTGAATCACCATCGGTTAAAGTTCGCGTGCAACAACCGAATTGGATGAGCAAAGCCGCGACCTCACAGTTGACAGCGGATATTCCGGAAGATGAAGACCTATTGGGTACCATTGAGTTCATTCGAGAAGCGGCAGCCGAATACCTCGCGAATATCGAGACGAAGGATATGACCCTAGACACCGCCACCGTGGACTCCGGACCGCTGGTAAGAGTGTGGTTCTATTTTCCGTCGATCAGTACGCGTTCCAAGCGCGACGACTTCATCAAGTACGCGCCGTCCTACCAGCTAACCGGCTTCCTCTATGCTGGCAAACCCGGTCTACTCTGCGTCGAAGGTGGGTCGCAAAGCATCGATGACTACATGAAATTTATCAAGACGGAAAGCTGGGGCGATATACCCGCACATCACAAGAAGGTTAGCGAGCGTCATCGAGAAAAGTGCGAGAAGAGGGTGTTTCCAGAAATGACCGAAATTACAGATACGGTTGGTGAAAGACGCGGCCAAAGAGCGAACAGAGGGGATATGAAGGCGATTGAAGAGTGGCTTGTGGAACGAGGCCTCGGTGACGCTTTTACCAAGGTTTTGATGTAGACCCAAAGTTCACGAAATCAGCAGCCGATAGTATTCTTCTTTAACTTTTCAAAACACCACTTGCGACCACATTTTTTACCCTTTCTATGTCAGGATTTTCTGCAACATCTTTGAGGTAGAAGATTAATGTTGGCACTCCACTCAGTCCCATAGCATTTTCATCCCGATAAAACATCGTCACCTTATCGACAGTCTTGCAACCTAATCCTACCTTGTGTTGAGCAAGCAGCCACAGCACACCAGTTCCATTTGGAGTCCCACACAAGGCTTTGGCCTCTTCAGAGGCTATTGGGGAGGCTGTTCCTGGCCATCTCGGAAACCAGTTATCGTACGAAACCCCCGGCTTCGCTTTCTCTTGTCGCCGTCTGCGAAGAGAAGCAAGTATAGTGTTGCACACTGCCCGAGTATCGGGGTTGAGGATCGCGTATCTCACCACAATCTTCAACTCTGGTATCGGAGCTTGCTCGGTAGGTGGCGCCAGTGACTTCCATTGCAGAAACGCGACATCGGACCAATACCGTAGCTTCGGCAGACCGGCTATCAGCGTCTCTGGATCTATATTCCTACATGGGTTCATCATCGCCATTGGTGTCGTGTTACATTCCGCTAGTAAAATCCCGGCTTTTGCGTTGAACACGCTCTGGATCTGCCCCATTGTAGCTGGATAGGTCTTGCCATCCACTGTAACGGTGTCCTCATGCAATGTAAGCTTGCCTACTGTAAGGATTTTGGGAGGAAAGGATTTTGGATTGGTGCTCAAGGCCTGGATTAGATCGCCACTGGGGTAGGATCCTGTGGAAGCAATAGTGAATGTACCCCAGCCCCATTCTTCCAGATCTCCACAGTCCTGAAATTGGCTTTGGGACGAGCCGTTGGCGACATCCGCGACAGTAAAATTGAGTAGACGTTCCCCTTTTGCGACGGCATCATGGTATGTTAAAGTCGACTTGATCTTGCGCGTATCAATGTTGTTACTCATTTTTGACCTTTGAATGTGGTAGAACACCAGCTTACAGTTCGAGTTGGTTTTGCGAGTCGAGAGTTGCGTATACAAAAGGGAACTCGACGTAAGCTTACAAGCGATTGTTTCACAACACTGCCTACTTTCAAACAAAGGTAGACTGGCCGTCACTATATCGACAAGTGAAGCATCGGGAAAACTGTACAAATGTATGCTTTAGCTGTGGGCTCAGTTAATTTTATGTACTCAGGTATACAAAGCCATTGTGAACATTACCCAACGCCAACACCTTGACATCCTGGCACTGTCGTAATGCACTGTTCAGAATTTAGTGCTGTATTCGTGGTCAGTCATACCCACAGCCGGACGTTGCTTGTCTAGTCCAGATATTGCTTCCCAAACATATCCTCTTGTTTCAATTATTATGTACCTAAGAATACCTAGGTACCTGCCATCTCAGATAGAACTTTTGCATGATGCGCGGATGAGGGGGAATGAAACTCGGTTCAAAAAGCTGTGAAATACCTATATACACCTACAGTCGCGTTTTCTTTTGTCAAGCTAGCACAGAAACAAGCAGCCCTCTCGTCGCATCTTCCAAGATTAAGCGTTCGTGCCTAGGTAGTACTACCCAAATATGTTTGCGACATATGAGTTAGTCTATACTTGGTTAGGCTTATCCTGACGCGACGTGACGCGAACGCGTAGCGCCACCTACGTAGTTTCTCTAGCCACCCTACGTTCTACAGTGCTCTTGCACAATGCTGACCACCACACAAACTACCAATGCCAGCCGTGTGCGACTGCAAATTGCTGTTCCCAGGTCAGAGATACCACAACACACTATATCCGGCGGATGCAAACAAGTGCCAGCGAGGCCTGCAAGACCGACGATGAGCCGTCAGACGATTCTCAGCCGGGGAAGCATTGCCGTCCAGCGCATCTTCTAGAGTACAGTATCTTAACGCGATGCACATGTACAGCTCACATTCTACAAGACATCACGATGGACTCAGAGCGCGTTTTCCCGTATATGGTATGGTAAAGATTATTGATTACTACAGTAAGCCGCAAGCTGCATTATCTATTCACCGCTTGACTCAAAGACTGGACCCAGCTTTGAGAGCTCCAGGGAAGTTCTTCTGAAGAGAATCCCATAGCGGCTCGCCACCCTCTGTCAAATCCTTCCACGCGGGACATGCAAGATCCAGAAGCGGCGCGGCAAGGGTATCGGTTACCAATTTGATCGGGACCTCAAGGGTGGCCAGTAAGCCAGAGAGCGAGTTGGGCAAGAATGTCTTGAGCACCTCAAACACGAAACAGAGGAGGTTGTTGTTTTCGAGCAAGGAAGTCACATTTATCACGCCACCCGTAACGTTACCGAGATCGACACCAGTGAACGAGTTTACAGTGCCGGTGTTGCCGCCGATGCTGCAAAGAGTTGTCAGTACTGACGCTAACACCCGGGGGAAATAGTGATTGAAATGCTTCACGTACCTGCCAAGGACCGGGTGCTTCATGACCCAGCTTACAATGTCGAGATTGAGAGGAATAAGGCCATATTCGATCGGCTTGCGGTACCAGTTTTCAGGGATGGTTTCGTGGCCTTTGCGGTACTCAAACGTTCCATTGTTTCCCTCGTAGACGCCAAAGAATTTACGGAAGACCTCTTGAGTGAGAATACCATCGGGGTGTTCGGCCGTGTGGTTTGACAGCAGCCGGCCAAGGAAAAAGTAACCGGCGTTGCGGCTAACCATTCCGGTAACAGGACCATAGTAGAAGTTTGGATTGTGTGCGACGCTGTACTCCCAGCGGCGGGCAGCCTGGTCGGCCAGCAAATCCATAGAGATGACACCATTTTCGTCGGCACGATCATGGATATCGCGGAACAGAGTCATATTCATTGTCCATGCATCACCCGTAACGTAAAGGTCATCGCGCGTGAGAGATGAGTCGGACTCAATCCAGTTGTGCGAACCTTGAAGTCCCCGTGGATCACCTACCAAACAGTAAGCATGAGGGAGTCTGAAGCAATGTAGGATGATTTGACGTACCAAGAAGGCCAAGAAGATTTCCCAAGATGTTGTCTGGGCCAATAGCTGGACCTCCAATGGAGAAGCCCGGATCCAATGAAAGTGGGTTTCCTGTCCAGACTGTACCCATAATACCGAGTACGAGTGCGAGCTCTGTACCCATGCCCATCACTTGGTTGATGGCAGCAACAACCTCTACAAAGCTAGTAACACCATCGCGGGAAATGTATCCATGGTTGGCCAAAGCATTGAGTCCAGGGCAAGGTCCACGCTGGTCTTTACCCTTGGGAGCCTGGAAAGCGTGTTTACCGGTGATATCGATGGGTTTGTTGACGTCTACAAGGAACCTCTTGGATTGCTTCAACTCGTTGACGGATCGAATAGCTGCATCTAGCTTTTCTGGTGTAAGGCCTTCAAGGTGACTCGGGTTAAGAGCAGGAAAGGCATTGACAAGAATGTTGCCCGAAAAGAGGGTAAGAAGAGAAAACGAGAACTTCATAGTGAGTGGAATGGTGAGAAAAGAGCGACTGCGAGGTAAACAACGAATAACCAAAGAGAGGTGAGGAAATGGTAATTACATGATGAGCCTTACGAGCACCATGTGAACTGCATGGGTGTCTGCTCGGGCGGTGAGGCGCGGACGAACTGCTGAAAGTGGACGAACCACACAGAGTACAGACAGGTCCCCGATTGGGTCGGGGAATATCTGACAGGTGAAGGACTAGCCTCTTTCTCTGGTCAAGGAGTGAGGCAACGTCTATCCTCATTTAACGACCCAGAGAGTACGTAGGGGAAAGCCACCAACAGCCGCGGCACGGAAGATGCCAATGGCTCCTGCTCCACTTATGCCAGGTACGAGACTCATGGGAGGCTAGACGAGAAGATCCGCAGCGGACACTTCGGAATGTTGAAAAGGAGCATGGCTGACGATTCCAGATACGTGATCTGAAACAAAGCTCACCGGAGGAAGGGTTCGAAGGAAGGAAGAATAGGCAGATCGACAACACTGGTGGGGTCGGTACTGCCACGCTGCATAGGTCCGACTAAACGGTCCGTTCAGCAAGGTCCAACCGTGTCCGGATACAGAAAGCCGAAACTGTCACTCTCCTCGCACGGTCCGTTCCCGCTCACTCAACGCTTTCAATTCAAGGCTGGTTTCATCGCATACCGCGCTTTTGCATAATCTTTTGAATTACGACTCTCATTTTTTGGGGTTATCAGGAAATTACGTGCCACATGCAGACCCTGGACGCCTTATGAGAGATCCCGAGTAATTCTTTAACCACGAAACCTTGAAGACCCACCCGACGTCTTCGAGAAGCACCGAAGTAACCAGATCGTAAAAGATAAGTGGCGAAAATTCTGGCTGTCAATGTGGGACGCACCCAGGCCAACTGTGCCGTTGGAAAGGTTGATCCTTGCCGTAGTTACACTGCGGGCCCCTTACTAGGATTATGTTCCTTCCCCCGCGTACAAGCTTCTCACTGCTTTACAAGTGGCTGGCTACGATAGCAGGTACCCCCCACTCATTGCGTACGCATGCAGTCATGATTCCGTCCGACTTCGGCGCCAGATTAGAATGCGATTCCATACCCAGGCTGCCCTGACTCATGTACGTGTTGTTCGAAAGAGAGTATCATGTACGATGTACTTGTTGTATACCAAGTGGTTCAGTGCTTGTGGCCGACGCGTGTGTACGGGAACGGTGCGAGTAGTGAAGACAAGTAGCAATTGGGTATATTATTTACAAAAGAATTTAACCACCGTTCGTAGCATATGCTTGATCCAGACGCCTGTACTCCGTCTATACCATGATCGAGAACATAGCAAGATATCAAACATGTTCCACTCCCGTCGTGGGCGGCTTCCCCCATTCCTGCGTTTTTCCATCAGTGGCGTTCTGAGTCACCACCGAAGCATTCCTGTGACTTACTTCCACTTCATGAGTCTGTATGATCCAGCCACCAGAGTCTCTTTCGGGATGTTGCGCCCTCGTCAAATGGGCTCGGTCACTGTTGTCGTCCATATCGTCTAACGGGATAAATTGGCCTTCGTCTCCTGCTTTAGGTTTGATGGAGAGACGTACTGATTTCTCCTGACCGCCAGTCGTGCTGTTGTTGGTGCTGAACTTTGATCCTTTGCTATTCGAAGTGCCTTTAGTCGAGGTGTTCCTGCTTGACGCGAATGTCGATGTTATCTTTGGCCAGAACTTGGCAATCAACATTCGATGAGCCGGCATGCATCCGCAAATGATCGAAACATCGATCTCGATAAGACTCCACAAACCGGCGTCCACGTAATCCCAGGTGATGTTTTGCGTGTTCGAGAAGTGAATGAGCGATTCCAGACGGATGACCGAGATGATAATGACGAAGATACCAACACCAAACATGGCCATGACCATGAGCTTCTTCTTCAGACTCATGTTTAGCCCTACCAGATGTTTCATTGGGAGCGCCATTACTACAGCATCCAAGAAGATGTTGATAGCAGCCGCGATCCAACCTTGAAGATGAATGTCGTTGCATGTGCCCTCGTGTAGTCCATCCCACTGGGTCCAGGCCAAACTGATGGGTCGACATTGGTAGAGGGTTGCGAAGAAGAAAGCCACTGTGTATAGCGCACATACAGCCATCACGCTGTATGTAAGGATTCGAAAGCTCTTTGCCGGAAAGACGCGCAGGTAGAAGAAGAGGATGGAGATCTTGGAGATACCTAGACCGGTGACGTAGAATATCTCTCCCAGGAAGTAGTAGTACAGGACGTTGGTGATCTGGTAGTCTTTCAACGTCCATATATCTCGTCCAAGACCGTTCGCGACCACTGAGATGTTGTAAGTAATTGTCGAATAATCACAGAAGGCGGAGGATCTTACGGAAGTGACCAAATACGGCGGGAGGTATGGCAAGACAGAGCACGATTCCCATTGTGAGGTCATCCCATGATACCTGGCGGCCGTTTTTGCCTATACTGGCAAACATCCTTAGGATGAAGGCCATTATAGCCAAGATACATCCGGCATAGCCAGCACCAAGGAACGTATCGCCTTTGTAACGGACAGGCACTCCGCAGCCCTGGTTGCTCACATTCTTTGTTTCTGTTATCGATGTCAGTCTCTTGATATACAAATCTTATGTGGCCAGTATGACTTACGCATGAGCTCGTATACAGTGCATGTCTTCGAGGAGCAGACGGCCACCGCAGCATTGAGCGCGTCATTGGTACACAAGCACTCTGAAGTGAGGTTTGTCGCACAGGTAGACTTGGGAAGCTCTTCCATAAAACATTTTAGCTATACAAACAAGTCAGATCCGCGATTGATGTCTGGTTATTGTAACAGCAACGTACAGCGCACTTTGGCATATGTGATGCCAAAGCCTCAAGCGCATTCTGAGCTTGAACGGCAGCCACAAAGGCCGCAAGAAATGCTAGCAGAATGTTTAACCGCATTTGGAAATGTCCTATACGGGCTTCGCAAAATCGAAGACAATGATGGTAAACGGAGAAAGAAAGATGGTATAATGTTTCAGCTTGCGCTAGGTCTCAATGTCATGGAGGTAGTGGGTTATGTACGCCTTAAGCATTTGGACTGCACAGAACACTGGTGGAGTTGCGATAACACAAAATGTGCCAACTTGAGCGAACTTCACCCGGGCCAAGGGGCAATCATACCGAAATATGGATCCGTGGAGGAGAACTTGGAAGGCCAGGTTTGAAAGGCACCGAATGTTGGTGTGCAAGGGTCACTCGAGTGTCGTATCGAATCGGGGAACAACCGCCTACGAGCCTGGTTCACGAAGCCAGGGTCTGTACATGCCGCGCTTTGCTACATTCGATGGACCTATTGAGGAGTTGTTTCTCGGCACCTGTGACCTCGATGTGACCTTGCAGAACGCCCCTGGAGATCCTCTACAGTATCTTGAGAAATCAGGCCATGCTTATGCAGTGCTCGCGGATGCTTCCGGTGTTCTGCGGAACCGGAGACGCTGAGAGACGTTGGTGATAGAGACCCTAGGACCCTCTGGGGATCCACTTGGTTTGCCAAGTCGATGTTGCACGTGCATAGTGGAGGGATGCAAGGGTTACGATCGGTAGATACGTACCTTTCTCAACGTCTTCTGCTGGTCGTGATATAGCCCTTGATCGACTTAGTCGTCGAAATTTTGGGTGGATACCTGACTTCACGTCGGAGCTTTTTGATGACGTTGCTGATTCGTACATTGGGCAGTTGAGGCCAGGAACGAGGCTGGAAGGAGACCGTCGGGGATGGTGAAGAACAGTCAGCGTTTTAGCCGGGTTGCCGCGATCGTCGTTGAAGTTGACTTTTTTGATGACCAAGGGAGGCCCAAATCTGGACACTGCATTGTGCACGCCGCAACTGTCAATAAGTATTCGCCTGGGATGCAATGCAACCTTAACTACAGGACGACTGTAAGCTAGAAAGCAGCCATGTTTCAACTTACCTGTAGCATTTGCTCGCAAAGTTCACGCATCTCGCGGGAGTTGCCTGCCCACGAACGTTAAGTTTGCGCCAACTGCCGTCGGGCCGAATCGCAAGGCGTCCAAGGCTCGAGATACAGTCTAGCTTCAAACAACGCCTCAATCTCCCCGCTCAATCTCTCTCGACTGCAGCTAGGAGAATTTTTGTACTATCCTGACTCGACCGCCCAGCATTTATCAGTGTGGACAGGGATGCGGCCCGACGTGGAGAGCATTCTTACCATGCTCGCGGGACCCACTAGCGCACGGTGCGTACTACAATCTGGATCTGGTAAGAACGGACAAAGTTGTTGGGGTAGGATTAGCCGTAGGTCGCATTCGTAAAATGTCCAGGACCAAAGGGGTAGACGGTCGATGATCCTAATCATTAGTACGTGTACAGCAACCACCGGTGGTGTTTCGTGATGGTTGCTCGAGGCTGACATATGCACATGGGAGTATAAGTCTTCACAGGGAAGCCCTCGTTCCTTACACTCCACACTCGTTCACGCCCAGGCGTTCTGTCTCTCGCTTTTGTGTATTACTCTTCTTCCGGCCTTATTATTACCATCTCTAATACCGTCACCATGATTGTCTTGAAGGCTCTTGCCGTCCTCTCTTTACTCACCAACTTCACTGCCGCAAACATCATCGATGGCGCGGAACACACTCCTTACCGCGGACTGAATGTCAAGCGTGCTGTGAGTGCTACCAACACCACCACGCTTGAGGATTACGAATATGTCATTGTCGGCTCTGGTGCTGGCGGTGCACCTCTCGCAGCCAGACTGGCTCTCAATGGTCACAAGGTCCTCCTTCTTGAAGCTGGTGACGACCAGACCAACACTACTCAATACAACGTGCCTGTCTTGCACTCTGTTGCCGCCGAATACGAGCCGATGCGATGGGACTACTTCGTCAAGCACTTCGACGACGAAGCGGAGATGAAGAAGGATACCAAGCTTACATATGAGCTTGCTGATGGCACTCGCTACACAGGCCCTAACCCTCCTGCCGGTGCCAAACCCCTGGGTATTCTGTACCCGCGTGTTGGCTCTCTTGGAGGCTGCACTGTTCACAACGCCCTCATCACTGTATACCCATACGACAGTGACTGGAGTGGCATCCAGGCTATCACCGGCGATGATTCCTGGGCACCAAGCAAGATGCGCAAGTACTACCAACGTCTGGAGAAGGCGCGCTACCTACCCAACAGCGTTGTTGGACACGGATTCTCAGGTTGGCTCGAGACCTCTCTGACTGACCTGACCTTGATTGTTCAGGACCTCAAGGTCATTTCCCTCGTTCTGGCTGCTGCCACGGGTATGGGAAAGAGCCTCCTCTCAGGACTCCTTACCACCGTTACTGGTCTCGGCCAGGTTCTCCTTCGCGACATCAACAACCCTGGCCCTAACCGTGATTCTGCCGAGGGCATGTGGCAGGTTCCTCTCGCCATGAAGATTCCAGAGTACAAGCGTGCAGGCCCTGTCGACTTCCTTCACCAGGTCATGGATGCCAAGAACAGTGATGGAAGCCGAAAGTACCATCTCGACATCCAACTCAACACCCTCGTCACCAACGTCGACTTTGACCAGTCTGGTGCGAAGCCCAAGGCTACTGGCGTCAGCTTCTTGACAGGAAAGTCTCTCTATGGCGCTGACCCAAGGCGCCAGTCTGGATCTGCTTCTGGCAAGGGAACAAAGGGTTCCGTCAAGGCCACTCGCGAGGTCATTCTGTCCGCTGGTGCTTTCAACACCCCGCAGATCATGAAGCTCTCCGGTGTCGGTCCTAAGGCTGAGCTCGAGAAGTTCGGCATCAATGTTGTCAAGGATCTCCCAGGTGTCGGCACAAACCTCCAGGATCGTTACGAAATTCCCGTCATCGGCCAGGCACCCAGCAAGATCTCTCTTCTGAACGGCTGCACCTTCCTCGAAGGCGACTACGACCCTTGCCTCGAGAAGTGGGAGACTGGTAAGCTCGGTATCGGAAAGGGAGTTTACGCTACCAACGGTATTGCTCTTGCCATCACAAAGAAGGCCAGCAACTCTATCCACGGCAACGCTGATCTTTTCGTCGCTGGTTGGCCCGCGTACTTCAACGGTTACTACCCCAACTTCTTCGCCAACGCTACCGCCGGCCGTGACGCCTGGACTTGGCTCACTCTCAAGGCCGAATCGCGCAACAACGCTGGCACTGTCACCCTCCGCAGCGCTGATCCCCAAGATGTTCCCGAGATTCGCAAGCGCAACTTCGATGTTGGCGGTGACGAGGATCTTGATGCCCTTGTTGAGGGAATGAAGTACGGCCGCAAGATCTTCCAAGACCTCATTCCTCTCGATGGAAAGTTCACTGAGGTTTGGCCCGGAAAGCAAGTTCAGACCGACGCACAGTGGAAGGAGTTCGCCAAGTACGAGTCCTGGGGCCACCATGCTTCTTGCACCTGCCCCATTGGCTCTGACGACGACCCGAATGCTGTTCTCGACACCAACTTCAAGGTCCGTGGTGTCGATGGTCTTCGTATCGTTGATGCTTCCTCTTTCCCCAAGATCCCTGGTACTTACCTCGCCCTTCCCCTCTACATGCTGGCGGAAAAGGCGTCAGACGCCATCCTTGCTGATGCCAAGGCCTCCAAGTAGATAGCGAGTGATAGGAGAGCGTAGCGCGCTTCCTCCATCAATCTGGTGTACATAATACTTAATCAATATTGACTCTGGTCTGTTACTGTCTGGGCCCACTGAAAACACCAGCCGCGTTAGTTTCGAGTTCTTAACCACGATGATCCATGCTCTTGTTAGTCGCTCAAGCAGCGCGAGACGCGGGAGATAGATGCACTAATTCCAGAGGGTCGGGGACGGTAACTACTCCGCAAGACGCAATCATCATATGCTTTGTGCCTGTATCCGCTCAGCACGTGGCATGGCCTGAAACACCTGCCATGAACTTAAAATGTCTGATGGCGTCCGAAAACTATGTATTACTCAGATTACTCATAAATCATCAACACATTCCCGTTAGCACGGCCATACCCGCAACGTGATCTACACCCGCGATCGCGGTCTCCTCATCCTCCAGTAATTTATCAATCTTGCTCTTGCTCTTGATCCTCCAGAATGCTTGCGCACCATCCACAAATCTCTTGCTGATATCATCGACATCTTCCGTGGGGCAAGCAGCGAAGCACAACCTGAAGCAGTTGAAGCTATCGTTGTCTCTGATTTCCTGGTTGGCTGCGAACATGGTACCTGGTGCTACGAGGCACAGATATGGCTTCGATGTCCAGAACACCCAAAGGGCCTTGGAAAGACGACCGGCAGGTACTTGCTTGGCGAGTGGGTGAGACGAAAAGTCGAATCGCACCCAGACAAACATGCCGCCGAGAGGACGAACAAATGAGTACATGTTGGTCTTCTCGACCACAGCCCAGTCCTCTTCTTCGTCTACGACATCAACGAGGCTCCTTCGGCGCCCAGCCTTGACGACTTCCTTGCCAGCGTTGAGTGTATCGCACATAGCCGACATGCGACGCTCATAGTTTCCCCTAAGACCTTCCAGCCAGCGCACCCATCCGTCGACTTTCCAGCCACTGCCATCGGCGGCGCCACCTTTTCCAGGGTCATTTGATGACTGAGGGCCCATGAGCAATTCTGCGATCATAGACTGGACGAAACCAGAGGGTTGCTGAGTCGAAGTCTCGGTGATGCGAAGGAGACGCTCTACAAGCGCGGGTTGTGCGGTGATCCAACCAAGACGGCACCCTGGAGCTACAGTCTTGGAGAATGTGTCGAGACGTACGACACGGCCTTGGTAGTCTACGCTGAGATATGAAGGAATCAGACTGTCGAGAAATTCGAACCCGGAAGACTTGGTGGGCTTTGGAGGAACGCTGCTGGGCGATGATGATGGATACTGTAGGTACCAGTATGGGTCGTCTTCGACGATAATGACATCGTACTTGACGCAAAGGGCGTAGATTTCGGTTCTTCTTTGTACAGACAGAGTACCTGATGTAGGGTTCTGTCCAATAGTCACAGTGTACATGATGTGCGGTCGGCGGCCCTTTGAGAAGTCCCAGTTCTCCAGAACGTCCTCCAGACCTCCTTCGCCGTGCGCCATCATGCCCTCATCGTCGATAGCTACGGGGGCAATGTTGAAACCGCGCGGCCGAGCGGTCTGGATAGCGTTCATGTAGCAGTAGGTTTCGCACAACAGACCCGGCCTCTCATCAACAGGGTCATGATCAGCTGACCACTCGTTGCTGAGCGCGGTCAGTGTTTTGGAGAAACCATCGGTAGAGCCGCAGGTCAAGATGACCTCAGGACCGTTCTTGTATGGCACAAATGGATGTAGGTTCTCCCTCGTGAACTGTCGGATGAACTGGTACAAAGCAGGGTATCCCAATGCCTGGCCATATTGTAGTGCGGACTTGAGATCAATCATGCGAAGGGGATCTTGCACGTTGGAGTACTTGGGTACAACAAGTCGCGACGCGGGTGGCTCCTTCTCTTTACGCTCTGAGATGGACGTCTTCTTCAATTGGGCGGACGGGAGGTCTTCGGCGGGCGGGTCGACGGGCTTGTTTGGTGTTGGCTGCCATCGGTTCGGGTGTGCGACCTTGGCCTCGAGCGTGTCGTATGGGAAGTAGTGGTCGTTGGGCAGGCCTGCGATGCGTAAGCGATTAGTGGCAAAACAAAGGTGTGTAAGCGCGCATACCTCCGGCCAACTGGGCAATGCCAGGAATCTGGAAGTACTTGTAAAATTGCTTGATTGAGGAAGCCTCGCGCGCTTTGGTGCTCCTGGACAGGAAGTGGGTGAGATCCACTGGCTCGGGGAAAGAGCTAGGATCAGAGCTGTACGGCGCCATGATAGGAATGTTGCCGAATCCGGTGTTTTTCGGGAAGTTTATCTAGGCGCGTCAAAGGCAACAACAACTTTCTCAAATCCGTAAAAACAATCAAGTCCAAAGAGGTGAAAGGCAATTAACAAAGATGGAGACGCTCGGCCACCCGTAGCAAATGGTCCGAGGGCCCGATAAGGGCGCTGATTAGAAATGCCAGCTAACAGTGACCTCATCACCAAACGGGAAGCCGCATGGCACGCCTAGACCGCGTTGAGCCACGTTGAGCTACGCATGGCAGCAGCATCTGGGGAAGCTATCTGCAGCTACTTGGAACCATGCCAGTCGCCATATCCCCAGCTCCGTAGACACGTACAACACGATACTTTCTTTGCCTGTGCCGCGGACACCCAATACCTCGTACTCGAGAGCCGACTAGCGTGTTAGCGCCGTGAAGCCGGAACGTGGGAACTCCACAGGCCCGCATCATGCAGGTCCCGAAGCTCCCCAGAGCTCTTTCCTTGCAGCTATACTTTTGCCTCAGCTCTTTCAGACTTCCCTTCACTTAACCTCATGCATAGCCATCTTGCTTCTCTCTAGTCAACCAGACATTCATCATCTTCCGTCGTTCCGCCTATTCCTATCGATAAGCATCTCTCAAGCCTCGGCGCATCGTCATCCCATTCGCTACCAAACTGTCGTCCCCAACGCGTTCGCGCCACGAGCTGGCGTCCCTCTACGACATGGAGCCACGAGAAAGCCTTGACGATGAGGGCGCGCCTCCCCAGGCATATCGCGACGACGAGACTGCGAACACTTCTTCTGCCGAGCCTGCCGACGTACCCGCCAACTCCGAGACATCCGGCGAGGAGTACTATAGCCCACAAGAGCCCTACTACACCAGTAAATACATTCCACCGCGGTTGCAACGTACATGGAACAATGTTGTTGTATGGGTCAAGGGTCCTCAGCCACCACGACCGTGGAAGATACATCCCTTCTTTCCCAAGATACAGACTGCGCCGATCCAGTTGTTGAACAACTACTTCCCAGAGCGAAGACAGAAGATTGCCCTGCTAGTCTTTTTCTACTTCTGCTGGCTCCTCACTTTTGGATTGGTCCTGCATCGTAGCGCGTTCGCAGCAGACATACCGGGATACGGAAGCCCAGTGCGCATACGGTGTACAGATCGCTTCTGGAGCGATGGCAATGGTTGCGGGCTAAATGGGGATCTCTGCCGGCCCTTCGAGAACAGTACCATGCCGTTCCGTTGCCCGGCAAACTGTAGGCGCGAGCAATTGCTGAATCCACATGCTGTTGGTGACAAGAACGTAAATTACCGTCAACTCGTTATTGGTGGACCCACCGACGAGGAAGAGACACTGGAAAACACATACTACCGTGCTGATTCTTTCATCTGCGGAGCGGCTATTCATGCTGGTTTTATAAACGACGCGTCCGGTGGTTGCGGAGTTGTTGCGCAGGTTGGTGAGAAGAACGAGTACCCCAGCGTGAACAGGAGGCATATTAAGAGTATTGGCTTTGACTCTTATTTCCCACGGTCCTTCTCCTTCCTGTCTGGTACACAAGCCAAATGTCGCGACCTGCGGTGGCCACTGCTAGGCGTGTCGCTAACTTTTACCATCCTGTTGTCTTTGTTCACAACATCGCCATCCGTCTTTTTCTCCTCCATCTTCTTTGGTGTCTTCTTCCACGTTGCGCTTGCATCAGACCCACCAAACCTTACCGACTACTACTCCATCATCAGTATTGCCTTGGGGCGCTTTCTTCCGGCATCATTCTGCATGTATGCCGTCTACCAATTTGCGGTGCGTCGTCAACTGCAAGGCCTCCACGCACAGGTTGAGAAAACCATCCTTTGGCTTGGAGGATGTTGGATCGGCGCTTTAAACAACTACACGTTCGACAAGATTCCTATCGAGCGCCTCACACCACACGACATCAAGAATCAGCCAGGTGCCATTCCAGCGCTGATCATTATCGTCCTTATCTTGTTCACCATCGCCCTGGGACAAGCCTGGTCGTTCCGTGTCGAGGGTCGCCTGCCGCGCTACCTCGCCATCTATGGTGCTCTGGTCGGAGGCATTCTTGCGCTTGTTGCCATCCCAAAGATGAATGTTCGCATCCACCACTATATCCTCGGCTTGCTACTTGTTCCTGGTACATCTATGCAAACACGTCCATCTTTACTCTTTCAAGGCATCTTGATCGGCCTCTTCATCAATGGCACTGCACGGTGGGGCTTCGCCAGCATCCTCGAGACGCCTAGTGCACTTCGCGGTGACGCACCTATGGGCACCTTACTTCCTATTATTACTGCGCCAATCATCCACAATAACCTGAACATTCACCATTTGAGACCGAATATCACCTTCGATTGGCACTTCCCTTTCCCCGAACCTTATGACGGGATAAGTATCTTGGTCAACGATGTGGAAAGGTACCATGAATACGCTGACCGTATGGAGGAAAGCTGGACTTGGACTAGACACATGGAAAATGTCAACGAATATTTCCGCTTTGGATACTTGAAAGGTGGAGGAAGAGGCGACTACACGAAAGCTGGAGTTTGGAGAGCAGATGGTGGTTGGACGGAGATGGCTTCTGGACCATCTTGATGGTCGCAGAGAGTATGAATCTGGTTGGGCATCGCGTCGCATCGTATAGTTTGGATAGTGCATGTCCTGGTAAGACCAAGAAGACTATTTTAGATTTTGTGAGAGATGCTAGTCTAATCTTTTGCAACCCGATGGATCACCCGTTGTCGTTAGCCCAATGTATGTCTAGTATACATATGCAGCAACATGTGTCGCTTTCTTTTTGTTCTTTAGCTTGACGCAATCTATTTGTACGCCCGCCTCACAAGGCTGAGTATCAGAACTGAAAGACTTCCCTCCCCCCAAGTGAAGTTGCGAAGCGGAGAATACGATGGGTATAGTCAATTTAACCGGAGCGTCCACCCCCCGATCCGAACGGTAGTCAGACAATCCAGATATTTCGTAAGACCAGAGTTCGCTACGCATGTAGGCATTCACAAAGTCCATGGAGTGTACGTAGTCCTCATCGTATTCCTGAACAGGTTATAGGCAGTGGCAGTGAGCATGTAACATTAGAGTTGTGCATTTAATGTTTTGCACTCTTTGTAAGATAAGCATGCTGAGCAGAGATGGGAGATTATAATAATCACACTTTCTATATGGTTCTGTGATGGTCCATTGCTTGAGCATGAGGACGGGTTGCCTTGCGGTCATGTTTACTATTCGTCCGCCGTTACGGACTACTCGAATGTTGCATGAAGTTCACTAGTCAAGAAAGGGCTTAGTCCAGGCTTCGCGCCACCAACCGTAAGATCGCTATTGCGTAGTCTCGAGGCTCACTTTGTCGCATTCGCTTCGTATGGACATGTTTCTTATTCGTCCACGATGAGTGAGAAGTGCATGCATAGCACGTGATCGGTCTTAATGATATCGCCGGACGCATACGAGTGGTCGATTTCCATGGTTGGCGATTGTGCAATATGTACCGAGGAGGGGTTACGCGGGAATAAGTGGACCTAGCTTTGTCGTGGCTGCCCGTTGTGCTGTAGGCGTCAACGAATGACTAGTGTTTGAGACGCATTTGTAATGGGAACGCTGTTACGCTCCGAAAAGTACGCGAGCGGTGTTTGGCTGCGGGGATGCCTGTCCAAGTATGTATATAAGTAGAAGAAAGGTGGGCGTTGGGGAAGCATCACCAACAGTTGAACCGCGGCTTCTTCTACTACATCATCGAGCAGGATCAACAACATCATCGCCTGTGCTGTCCCCACTATCAGAGCTATAACAAAATCAAAGCCTACAACACCCTCAAATCTCTCACATAACCCACACAAAACCACGTTTGGAATCGATACCCGCCTTCACCATGGTTAAGACAATCTTCGGAGGAGCTGCGCTTTCAGACTCTAGCCACTTCAAGACACCAGAACTGCGCGCCGAACTCGTCGATGTCCTGATCGCCAATGGTATTAAGAACATTGACTCTGCTCGTATTTACACCGGGTCAGAGGTTGCCATTGGCCAGCTAGAGAAGCGCAAAGACTTTGTCATCGACACCAAGCTTGCGGGAGGCTTTGGACAACCTGGCAATGTCTCAAAGGAAGGTGTGATCAAGGACACCCAGGAATCTCTCGAGACCGCCAAGATCGATCAATTCGATATCTTCTACATCCATGCACCAGACACGACTGTTCCCTTTGAGGAGACCCTGGCGGGTGTGAACGAGGCATACAAGAAGGGCATTTTCCGCCGTTTCGGTCTCAGCAACTTTTCAGCCGAGCAAGTACAGGAGGTATACGACATCGCGAAGGCGAAGGGCTACCCTCTGCCACAAGTATACCAGGGCAACTATAACCCTGTTGCCCGCCACTTGGAGACCCAGCTCTTCCCTACCCTCCGCAAGCTCGGCATCCATTTCTATGCCTACTCGCCACTTGCTGGTGGTTTCCTCGTAAAGACTGCCTCAGACCTTGATGCAGGCGCGGGACGCTTCAACGACAAAGCCCTAGGTAATCTGTACGGAAAGCTTTACGATAACGAGACTATGCGCAAGGCGCTTGTCAAGTGGAACGAGATCGCTGAGAAGGAGGGTGTTACTAAGGCGGAGCTAGCATACCGCTGGGTCGCCTACCACAGCGTGCTTCAGGGCGATGAGGATGGTGTCATCTTCGGTGCTAGCAAGGTTAGCCAGGCTGAACAGACTGCCAAGAGCTTGAAGGCAGGTAAGCTTAGCGACGAGGCGGTCAAGGGCATTGAGCAGATCTGGGAGAGCGTCAAGGAAGTTGCTCCTGTTGATAACTACCACAGTGGAGTCAAGAAGCAGTAGATAGTGATTCGAGCGGCTGGAAGCTTAGCATAATGCAATAATGTCAAAGATGTCTAAAAGGCTAAGATATTTGTTCGCGCTGCTAGTGAGATGATTTCCAAGGTTAAGGCGCGATCCTTGAGGATAGTCGTGCGCTATAACTTGAAGTGTGGAGAGGTCATTGTCCAGGAGATAGACAAGGGCGAGCGTCATGTGCAATGTGGCTAGTGTTCGGTCCTACACAAGAGGGGGGTTAAGCCTTGGGACGCCTCACTGGACGCAAAATTTGGTAGTATGTGTATGTATCAGTATCTTCTACTGATAATCTTGGTATGCGGCACATAACAACCTTGAACGATTAGAGTGCTTTATGATTTTCTCCAGTCTGACAAAGTCTTCCCTTTCTGGCTAGAGCCCGTGCTGTCCTTCCATTATATTCCTCGCTACCTACTCTTGTGTATTCCACAATCCACACCCGCTCCATTACCTCTACTCAACAACTCTAACGCGACCGCTCCACGAAACCTAGTACCTGATATCCTCAAGACATGTTCTCTCCGTCTCCCATAGGGTGCGATAGCGACGTGGCAAAGTTGGAGGGCAACTTCACCAAAGCTGCTATTGCCCTTGATACAGGCAAACTCACTTTCCTGGACCTCCCCATGGAGCTGCGTGTCATGGTTTACGAGTACTTTACACCCGAGGATCAGTATATCTTTAACTCCGGCCAGCCAGCATATGACGGCTTGTTACGCACCTGCAAGCAAATTCGGACGGAAGCACTAAAGGAGATCCAAAAGGCAGCCGACAAGTACTATCGCGCTTACGAAGCGAGTTGGTTACTTGAAGAAGGCTTCAGCATCAAGGTGGAACCCATTATCGATCCTGGCAAAGTCGTCGTCGTCTTTTCGGAAGATCACTTCATGTCCGAGGCTTGTAAAACGGGGAGACGTCGTAGTTGCTACCAATTCCACATTCCGTTGGCTTCTTTGAATCTCAAACGTCTTAGTTTCAAAGTCTCCCGCAATTCAGATATATCGCCGCCTCACCTGTTAGGTTGTGTTCCTGCTCACTGGGCCGTTACCCAGATGCTGATGTCTATCATCACATCTAATCCCCAAGCACGGCGGATCTACTTCCATCGCGACAGACTTAACTTTGGTTATGGTTATTCTAATGATGATTTCGGGACGTTGTGTACAATAGTGGAGGAAGGATGGCTGCGATACGGGGACCAAGAGGAGAAAAATGCGCCATACAAGTGGCTGTTGACGACCAATGTAGAATACAGCACGAAGACTGTACGTGGAATTTGGGTCGACCGTGTTACGCATTGCCTTGGTTTGTAGCATGTAGGGTGTAGTGTCGAGGAGCATGTCGAATTGACCAACGCCAACGGAGAAGTAGATCTCAGCCCACCACCTTCTATCTTACACATCGCTAGCTCAAATGAAACCGATCTCAAGCCTCATGTCCCAGGTTTGCTTTAGCGCAAGCAGAAAAGACTCAAATCATCATTCACCACTCCCTCAGTGCAGCCTCTTACCTTCTTAGAACCGTAATCCCCGAAGTCTTTGGCTTCGACCTCTTCTTCTTCACCTCCAACACCGGCGCAGTCTTCGCCTTTTTCCTCGGCTGTACCTCATTAGGTTTCGCAGTCGTACCCCTCTTAATCCCCTTGCCCTTCGCTTCATCAGCCTTTGCCCCACCCCTCGGCCCCCTCTTAACACCCTTATCCGCCCTAGCAGCCTTGGATTTCGGTTCCGGCCTAAGCAATCCGTGATCTTTAATGTAGAAGATCAAGTCTAGCGCCAAGTCACAGAACTCCTGCGTACCCCTGATAAGCTGCAACGGTTTCTTCTTGCTCTCCAACCCTGCTCTGTACCGATCCACAACCGCAAAGAAGATCTCGTTGGTATCCGCGTCGACCGCGTCGCGCATACGCTCGTATTCTGCTTCGCCGCGGTTGTGCTCAGTATGGAAGTGTCCGCGTCCCGTGCCAAACTCGTCGCCGATTTCGTATTGCACGTACGCTTCTATCACCATGACGGCAATGGTGTGGAAGTTGAGGAGGGCGATTGCAGGTTCGGGATCGGGGTTAGGAAGGGCGCGCTGGTTCGGTATGAAGATGTTCATCAGGAGATGGACTTCTTCGTCCGCGTGGTCTGGGGATAAGAGGATCTCTTCACGGACCAGGCCGGGTAGGGAAACTTTGGCGCTGGGGATGTCTTCGCCCTTCGCGAGGGGTTGGCGTTGGACTTCGTATTGAGGAAGGGTCCAGTCAATTTCTTCGGCGCTTTCCGAGGAAGGTGAAGCGTTCTTGGTGGGAACGGAGGCAGGTTGTGACTTATGTACTTGGTTCTGATTGGCCTTGAGTGTAGCATCTTTTGGCTTAGACGTGCTTGTGACGAACTCAACATCAGAGTCATTATTCTGTCGTGGATGTCGTGCAATCCCGTTGGACGCTGTAAGTAGAGGTGACATACCAATGACAGAATCACGGCTGCTAGTGACCGATGGGTGACGCTTCACTCGGCTTTGAAGAGGCTCATCGTCATCGGAAGCATCGCCTTCGTCGCTAGAGTGGTTCTCATCCGGAATCTTCTTCGGCGTCTCTTTAGGGCCCTGGGGAGCATACGGCCCTAGTACCCGGGTGTTCAAGCTAGGAGGCGCTGAGATCTTTGTCGTACTCTTGTATAGTGATGCTGGATTGAGGCAATAAGACATGTTCAGTGGCATTTGACTATAGGGGACTGTAGTTGAAGCCGATTGTGGGAATCCGGGACTGCTGAGTCCGTTTGGAACCTGCTGGCTGCTGAATTGAGGTGCGCGTTGGTAAGTCAGAGGGCCCGTAATAAACGATGGAGGTGCGTTCGATTGCCTCTGAGGATAGCCGAACCCATGAAGTGACTGTTGAGACTGTTGCGACCACTCTTCGTTCTGTTTCCTGAAGTCCTCTAACTGCTTCTTCTGCCTTTCGATCTGTGCCTGAAGCTGTTGCTGACGACTGAAGCTGAGACCGAAGTTGGGTTGGTTGCATTGATCAGAAGGCTGTAGGGAGACATGATGGGGTTGCGTTGTTTGGAACTGCGAGATACCTTCCAAAGTGATGTTGGGGTTCGAAACACGTGAGTCCTGATGACGAGGTGAAGACGACGTAGTAGTGAGGTGAACCGGATCCGGAAAGTTGGGGTGAGGCTGACTCCATACATCCTGAACGCCAAGATCAGGTTGGCCAGTACCGAAGATATGCGGAATTTGCTTGACCTGGTCTTGTTGCTGCACGTTCATCTCATCAGATGTGAAGCCTGATGGTACAAGTTGATGATCGATCGCTGGATGGCCTTTGTGCTGTTTGTTGATAGCGCTTGGGGACCACTCCTGTGAATCAGTACCATTAGAGGTGTTTTCGTCGTTGTTAAACACGGTATTTTCACCACGAGCAGCTTCTGGTGATGCGCTCTCGCTCTGCTGATATTCACCATCCACGTCATCAGCACTACGCTCGTCGACGGCCGTAGGCTCTGGTGCAGCGGCCTGTGTATCAGCGATATCCAAGGACTTGTTGAAGGTGTTGTCGTTGGCCGGAACATGCATAGTACCGTTTGCAGGATGAGCATCAACATCCATATCATTTTGAGCAAAACCTTGGTGGGGATCATGTATCTGTTGACGTGCGTCATGTTCGAGCTCATCCTTGATGACCTTGACCTGACCTGACTCTTCCATAGGCTTACTGAGTGGGGTCGGAACCAAAGCTTGATCATCGTCCTTCTCGATCTTGATCTGTGGGTCGGTCGTCTTCGAATCCGGGGATGCAGTGTATCGATGATGTCCACTCTCTTGTTTGACGATAGGACTTCCGCTGGAAGGATTGGAAATGGTTCCCCATTCTGGGCAAAGTTTCAGGCAATCGGAAATGGTTTTCGAAATTGTGCCAAGCTTCTGGGAAACTGAAGTGCCATTAGCGGACCTTTGGTGGTCTGGTGAAGAGGACGTGTTGGTGGTCTTTGTCTTGGTGCTGTACTTCAGCTTGACCACGAGTTGCTCGTTCTGGTCTACACTAGACTCTGCTTCAGAACCTGGATCCTCTTCTGGTGTAGTGGCAGAACCAGGAAACTTGTCTCTCAGCATTCCGTTTCCGTTGGCATCGCACTCTTGGTCCGCGCTATCCTCGAGTTCTGGAGTGAGCTGATCACTCTGACGTGCTTCAATCTCAGGTGTCTGCATCTGATCGTGTACTCGAAAAGGATCTAGAGGAGGCTGCTGAAGATCGCCCATTGTGAGTCGTGGATCTGGCGGGGTTTTGTCGCTCGCGATGTCCATGCTGTCGGATTTTGGCGCAGTCTCGTAGAGGTGCAGTTATTTGTCTATACGCAGAGCCGTAACAGAACAGCAATTTCAGTATCGCAATAGACTCTCGCTCGCTGACTCTGAGATCTTTGACAGTTTGCAAGTCTCGAAAGTTGGTGTTGCAAGTAAAGAGGATTGTAGGTCACCTTTCCGTATGGGTAGTAGCGGCTTCATATAGGGTTCGCTGGCCAGTGATCGTTTACGCCCACCTTTACCTGAAAAGCTAATCAAGCGCTCTCTCACCTCTACACTGCTACCTGCACGTTTGATCTGCAGACCAAAAGCCAGAGGCGCCAGTACGAAATGGGATCTCAAGTAGAAGACTGATAATTGCGATTACGAGTGGAGCCTCATCCGTCACGACGACAGACCGCTAATACTGGTGAGCAAGACACAGCGAATCAAGATCGCTGTGACGAAACCAGCGTGCGTTTGTTCACCTTGGAGCAATGTAATCACACGAGACGGAATGACAACAACAAGATGGACGGCGAGATCTGGGAGAGTCAGCATACCTTATACTCTCCAGTAGAGTCAAAGACTTACTGACCCTACATAATCAGCGATGTTTGGCCGGGTATCTATTCCTCTCTACGTCTTGAATGGTATCTATTTCATCTCTTCGTCATCTTCATCTTTACATATCAACTCTTCACCTCCTCACTGAATCCTCCCAATATCTCCCTTCAACCTCGTCACAAATTCCTCAAAAAGTGGCGCCAACGAACAATCCCGATACTTGTCCACAAAAAGGCCATCCTTACTCTTCAAAGCCGCAACTTCTTCAGTATCCATCTCCTTCCCTTGCAACACCGTACCCTTGGGATACACCGGCCTTGTCCCGCTCTCGACCAATTCCACAAACGCCGGGTCAATCGGTACAGAACCCAAGAAAGGGACTTCGAACTCTGTTGCCATGACGGCTCCGCCGCCCTTGCTGAAAACGTTTGTGCATTCCGAACAGTTTGGGCAGATGAAGCCGGCCATATTTTCTACTACGCCAAGGACTCTGATGCCGGTCTTCTTGCAGAAGTTGAGTTCCTTCTTGACGTCGCTGACGCTGATGGCTTGTGGGGTCGTGACCACGACGGCGCCGGCCAGGAAGGGGAGATACGGGTTGAGAGCGGGAGAGGGTGTGGTGTTCTTCAACAGTGTTTCGAGCAGAGAGATGTGTTCGTCGGAGGTACCGGGCGGCGTGTCGATGAGGAGGTAATCGAGCGGTGGCCATAGGACGTCGGTGAGGAACTGGCGAACCATGGCTGTCTTCTTAGGGCCGCGCCAGATTACAGCATCGGAGCGCGAGGCCAAGATGAAGCCTAGTGACATGCAGGATAAAGATCCAATCTTTTGGCCATCTGCAGCCGCCTCTCCTCCTTCTGTTTGCTCCGTTGTGCTTCCATCCTCTTCGCCCACTCTCTTATGCGTAGCCAATGTCTGCTCACCGTGTACATCCACCGGTATCCAGCCACCAGGCGCTTGCCTTACTTTTTCATTCTCGATACCAAAAAAGCGCGGTATACTCGGGCCTGTCAAGTCTATATCCAAAACACCGACCGAATGTCCTTGTAACGATAGGGTAAGGGCGAGCTGGGTAGTGACGCTTGATTTTCCGACTCCGCCTTTGCCGGAGAGCACGAGAAGGATGTTCCGTATGTTGTCAAGAGGCATGGCGAGATTGGGGGATTTGACGTGCCAGGGTTGGCGCGAGCAGTCGGAGAGTTGGTGGGGGTTGCGTCAGCGCAGGTCGATGGGATGCACTTCGTATGGCAGTGATGAATAAAGGACTTTACTCGCAGAGGTTTGGTGTTAGTCTGGAGCGTGATCGGATGGGCGAGAGGAGGAGTGGTGTAGGTGGTACCGCGGATGGCGCATAGTGTGAGGTGATTGAGGGTTGTGGAGCGCGCTTTGAAATCCGACAACCAGAAAGTGGCGGTTTGCGGCGAGATCGGAGGTCCGACCTTGACCCGAGCATGTACCAACACTTCTACTTAGGGCAGACTAGTTGTTTGTACTTGAAATCGTATTGATTGCTCTGTATGATCAATATGAGGCAAACCAACAAAAACGCATGCCTATTGGTATCAAATATAACCATCTCCTGGGACCCTGTCCCCTCGGCGCATAGATTGCCCAAATGCCGTTTCTAAACGACAGCCTTCTTCAGCGGGACTTCCTCACCAACCACCAATCTGTAACCCTCGGCACCCTTCTCAGTCTCCAAATCCTTGGGCTTTGCCGCCTTGGCACCAACCTCGGGGAAAGTAAACGCCTTACTCCTGCCTCCCTCCAAACCGCGCCATGCACCAACCGTGTTCCAGTTGGTCCAGGTCAATGCGCCGACCCATGGCTGCACATTCCATCCTAGCTCCAATGTGACATCCGTCCTATTGCCCAGCTTGCCAGTTATATCGGTGATCTTGTATTTGGGCTTGTTGTTCTCGAGGTGCAGTTCGCCGATGGGATAGGGCGACGTCGTCTTTGATTTGGACGCGGCGCGCTTCTTGGCGGATTGCTTAGGCAGCTTCGACTTCTTGTCGGGGTGAACAAAGTAGCCCGTGTGCCAGGGCGCTGACTTGGAAGCGAGGATGGCATCCCAGATGATGGCTTCGGACGGCGGTTCTGAGGCGCGTGTTGAGGGGTAGACGGCTTTGAGGTAGACGAAGACTTGCTTAGTGTTCCAGTTGAAGAGCGAGCTGAGATCTGTGCATGCGAGTGTTAGTTCTGCTGTTGCATTTGTATACCCGTAGCATGGTTGTGATTTGTGTAGGAGACGTACCAGCGTTGAGGTCGAACTTGATATGCGCGTATTCCTCCCTCTTGGGTGAGTAGTAATGCGGCCGCCCCATTACCAATTGTACATTCTGCAGCGATATGCTGGCTGACGGGTTCTGTGGGGAGATGAAGCTACTCAGTGCAATGACGCTCGCGACTGTGAAAGCGACCGTGGTGAAGAAGCCAAAGACATTCTGTAGACGCACAAGTGTCGAGTGCATCGTAGAGGTAGAAGATGAGCGCGGGGCTCTATCTTTGAACGTTTGTCGGCTATGAGAGGAAGAGAGGCTCGTTGGGAGTGGGCGTGAGCGTTTAGCTTTCGCTGGGTCCTAACACGTATCTGGCCTGTCGCGCGGAGGTCGGAGCTCAGCCCTATGAAACCAGGGTTCACCCATTCCACGCTAGTCCATCATCTCCACGGTTAGCATCTGACCTCGGACGACTGGACTTCACCACAAATGTCGGGTATACATAATGGTTCATTTGCGATTGCTACAGATAATGTGATATGGGTATCAACCTGCGCACAAGCTATCCTACACCGTCTTCTCCCATATCATCTTGCCCTCTATCTGATCCTATCATCTACGGGTATCATCTATGCATTTCCCATGTTATGTTCGAGCTGAACGCCGTGACGCCACGCTAGCATGCTTTGTGAAACGCTCAAACAACCCCGAATCGAAGTTCAGATGTACTATGAAGAGGAGTCTACTGGGCAGCAGGTGGTGCGCCGCCCCTTGGTCCTCCACGTCCACGGAAACCGCCACGACCACGGCCTCGTCCTCTACCACCTCGTCCACCATCAAGATTTGCCGGCGGTGGTACGTTCGAGTAGTTTCGCGGCTGGAAATTTGGGTTGTTGGGCACAACTCCTTCAGCGGGATCAGTGTTGTCGATGACGGTGAAGCCTCCCCGGCCCTTGTAGCCTCCTCCTCGTCCACGCGGGACGAAATCAGCAGAGCCACCTCGCAGGTTACCGCGAGTGTTCGTGCCATTGGGAGCCTGGTTCTGGTCTTGAGAGGCTTGGCCGTTGACTTGTCCAACACGGGGAGCGGTTCCGCCCCGGCCGCCACGACCACCACGAGGTGGTCCGCCATGGATTGGCAGTGTCTGCTGCTGTCCTTGCTGCGGTCCAGAGCTTTGACGTGGTGCCATGCCTCCGCCACGTCCGTTCGCGCCTCCGAAAGCTCCTCGGTATGAGCCACGGAGGGGTGGTGGCGTACCTGCTGGAACTAGCCCAGGGCCTCCAGGAGCACCGAAGCGGGGCATGTTGTACGAAGTAGGCGCTTGTTGTGGACGCCTGGCGGCAGCAGCACTAGAATAATGCACGACCTGCTGATCCGTCATGTTCACAACTGCAGTAGCCGGTACAGTTGATCCTCTGAACGGAGAACAACGGTCGCCGAGAGAAGTACCGCTCATAAAGGTAGCGTCGAATACAACATCGAGCAACAGAACACGCGCAGTGCGGGTTTTGCCAACCACAGTACCTGATGATCCGATTGGGACCCTTCCAGAGTCTTGAACATAGACAATGCGATCGCCAATGCTGAAGTGCTGGTGTCCCAATCGTTGTTCTGCATCAGAAGGCTTCAGCAGAGCGACACGGGGCACCTTTGTAACCGTCTTGGGCTCAACTTCTTGGGTGAGGGGAAAGTTGGCATCAGCGGCTGCCTCGATGAGCTTGACTGTATCCGAGTCGAGCTGCTCAGCGTCCAAGGGTACCTTCTCAAAGTTCTTCGTCTGAACACTCTTGAGCCAGGCTCCAATCTCCTTGACCTTCTGCTTCGCAACTTCGGGAGGATAAAAGTCCGTGTCTTCCCAGCCGTCACCCGTCGGGTTCATGATAATGGCGGCGATAAACTCCGGGAACTTGGTCATATACTGTTGCAAGAGGTTTATGGCCTTCTCGCTATACTCCCATCCGTTGGCTGACTTGCGAGAGTAGCCCAATACCTTGAGCTTCTTCGCTTCAAACTTGAGGTTCAGACCGAGATTGAGTTTAAGACCGCTTGAGTTGACATTGAATGACGACGTGAGCTTAGACAACGCAAGCGGCGGCATATTCAGATGCCTCGCCACCTGGTAGGATGGAAGATACGGCATGGACCTTTCTGCCATGATGACGACTTCGCGTCCAAAAGCTGGCTCTTGCTTCTTTAGCTTCGCGACCATGATCGTGGCCTTATTGTCGGCGTGGCCCATGACTTGTAAGGGACGGCCATACGCGTAGTCTCCAAGGTAGAATGCTCGGGCTCCCTCGGGGAACTCTTCTTCAATAGGAAGCGCCTCTTTCTCTATAAAGCGAGCATCTGCGCTGATAACCTCATCCACAACTGTTTGTGTTGCATACTCCACTTGTAGTCCAGCGACCTCGCCGTATTCCTTGATGGTAGCGCCTTCGTCGGTCTTCTTGAGTCCCTTGAGCATTTCTACGTGCACGAGTGACTCAATCTCTCCGACATTGATGCCAAGACGCTTGCTGTACTGGCTTTCGATGCGGTTCGCAGTCTTCTTCCAGTTGGAAATCTCTTGTGGTCCATGGGGAATAGCAACGGGCGCAGGAGAATCGCCGCTCTCTGGCAGAACGTAGTCGAACAGCTCATCCGATACTTTTATTACCTTTGCTTCATGTAGGAACGGGTAGCCAACATGAACGGCCTTGCCGAGTTTTGCTTGTGCGTGCCCGACAGACTGTCGTGGCTCCGTATCTAGTAGTGTAATGACCATGCTCTCGTTACGGCTGTCTTGTTGGAAAACATTGACACCCGCAAACTCAAGCTTGCCATGGAACGGCAGAGTCTTCAAGCTGGGGAAGCCGGCCAGAGCTGAGGCACCCAGTTTGACGCCGTCCATGAGGCCAATGTAGTATTCTAGTCCGTCCATAGTCGGTAGGTCGAATATGTTCTCGATACATTTGCAGTGAGGAAGATCCGGGAATACACCTGGCAGAGATGACTGGTAGACAAAATCCAAATCTTTAGCGTAAGTGAACTTCAACGAAACGCCAAATGAATTACGCTGCTTCTCGTCCGGTGTCAGATCGTTCTCCTTGGTTGCCATGGCCTTAAGCAGACGATCTTCCTGGATGAATGGAATCTTGACGACAGCCTCCCAGTCCTGCTTCTTTCCGTTCATGTCGAGAGTGAAGTCTCGAGGATAGAAGTCGATGATCGGCGAATCCTCATTGGTCATGAGGGGATGGTAGGCTTTTGGTACGATGCTCTTACTGCGATCAGGCAGGACACCCATCAGTTGCTGGAAGGGCTTAAACGGCTGTCCAAGTCTGAAGTTGATGTCCGCCTTCAGACCTCGCTTGACGTCGGAAATCATAGGCGAGTAGTGGTAGCCATAGTACCATGGCCACGACGCGACTCCACGGTAGTAGTAAAAGAGAACCCACTGCAATCCTTGGACGTAGTTCTCCGTCAGTTTGCGAAGCTCTTCCTCGTTGCTGCGATCCCAGTCGAACTTGCTCTTGTAGTAGTCATTCTTCCACGCGTCAAACTTCTCGTCGTATTTCTTCTGCATCTCCGATTGGGCGTCCTCAGGCGAGATGTCAACGATCTTCGCCTGTTCGTACTTTTGTACAACGCGTACAATCGCTTTCGTAGATTCGTCATCCATCTCATCCTCCTCATCCGAGTCGCCTTCAACTAGCTTAGGTGGAGGTGTAACCTGAATGTGACGGTCGCCGTCGTCATTTTGGACAGTCTTCCAAGGGAGATGTAACTTGTCGGCAAGTTCTTGAACGAATTTTCGATCCTCCGCGTTGAGAGATACCGGAAGGTCCAACGGAGCTTGGTCTTTCTTTTCCATGTAATTACCCAGCCAGCTCTTGACCTTGGAGAACAGTTCCTTCTGCTGCGTGGTCATGACAACCGTGCCTCGTTTCGCCGTTTTGGCCATTACATCCTCCTTTCCAAGTTTCTTACCCTTGAACCAAGCAGCATCGGCATTCTCCGATTCGAAGTGACGGTATTCGATGTTTGAGAGTTCATCCAACAAGATAGCCAGGCGCTCCATGTTGATGACACCACCCTCGTTGATGTATCCTTTACCCTTGGGTAGGACAGTCTTGTAGACGTTGAACATGAGGGCCAAGGCGCCCTCATTGATATGCAAATGTGGAAGATTAGGAAGGAAATCGTTACCAACAAAGAAAGCCATGAGAATGAAATCGTCAATGACACGCTCCATGTCGAATGGGAAGCTAAGAGCACCGGGCTCTTCCAGTTCCTGGAACTCGAGTTCCAGGTATTCTCGAACAATGCTAAGGTGCATTAGGTAAAAGTTTTGGTGTTCCAACTCCTTGGACTTGGTTTGGCTCTGGCGGCCAAACGTCACCTCTTCACGCAGCAAGCTGAAGTGGGGGTCGTGGCTGAGCAAACCCAACATGATGAGGTCGGCATCGAGACCGTACAGGCAGTGGCGGCGGTTCGGGTCGTACCCCGGCTGTGCCTTGGCCTGACGGATGTACTCCATGACCTTGTGCTCTCCCTCTCCGGGGACCTCGTGACCAGACAGCACGACTTCCACGCCCTGCCAGTCTATGTCCTCGGAGACCTTCTTGTTGATGAAGTACTTGAGCTGCTGCGTGAGCTTCGCCATGAAAGCAGTACCTGGCGTAATGCAGTTGCTGTCGAACGCTTCCTCGGTCGGCATCTCTACGCCTTCGCGGATAGCCTTCTCCCGAGCCTTTTCAGTATCGAGAGCGGTTCGGAAACGTCGCGCACGCTGCTGGTTCATCTTGGCGCGCGGGGCGACACCATCAATGGCCATGAAGAAGAGCTGTTTGGGCTTAATTTTGCCAAACAAATGCTCGATGTAGTTGAAGATGGAGATGAACATCTGATCTTCGGACTTGCGCGCCGTGACGCTGTCGGAATCGTTGTGGGTGCAGTTATGGATGATGCCGTTCATGTCAAGCTGTGACTGTTAACTAACTGTGCGCATCGAATGCGACACAAGAGCACTTACGTAGAGACAGTCGAATTCGGGAATACGGTTCTCAGCAATGAGCTGCGAAATACCCGGATACCTTTCGGACATCCATCGAAAGAACTTTGGGACACCCATGGCTGCTGCTCCTGTCTAGGAATGGCTGAGGATAGGTTGTGGATTGTGTACAAGTGGCGGGGCTGAGAGTCGCAATATATAGTGGGCGACAAGGGGAGAAGATGGCAGTGAGAGAGGCGCGCAAAGGCGCTGGGGCGAGAGGGCGAGAGAGAGTATAGGGTGTTGGTTCTCGACGCTGGGGTCTTCAAAGAGTCGGAGTCTTGATCATAGACGCAATGGATATACGGGCGGCGACTGCCAAGCAAGTGGGGCGCTAATGGATCGACATCGGGGTTGGTCCAAACGCGAACTTTGGGAGCGCGTCGTGCGCCGTAGCTTCTGCGCATCACACTTCAAGATCGCATATATCCCACCACACCCTTGACTATCAGCATACATTCACCCTCACCATGGACGAGACTATGAGTGGTAAGTCTGTTCACCTGTTGCGGGTTTGTTTTGCGACATTGCCATGTAGACTGAAGGCGAGCGAACTTCGTATACCACACCGACACAGTTGGCACATGGCGTACCAGCTCACTACCATACATGCGCAGTCGCTCAAGCCCCGACACTTTTGAACCCCTCAGAGACTTGGTTCTAACACTATCGCGACAGACGCTCACGATTCCCACGAGATGGACGACCAAGAGCAGTTGGAGCAGAAGCTCATCAACGAAGAGTACAAGATATGGAAGAAGAACAGCGTCTTTTTATACGATATGCTGTACGGCCGCGCGCTCGAGTGGCCTACGCTCACTACACAATGGCTTCCCGACAAGAAGCCTGTAGAAGGCACCAACATGAGCCAGCACCGCGTCATTCTTGGAACCCACACGTCGAACCAAGCCCAAAACTACCTACAAATCGCCCACTGCGAGATACCCGACTTCCGGGTTCCAGACTTGTCAGAGCTTAACGAAGAGCGCGGAGAAATCGGCGGCCACGGCAATGCGAAGCGACCCTTTGACTTCAAGATTGTGCAGAAGATCAACCACCCTGGCGAGGTCAACAAGGCGCGCTACCAGCCTCAGAACCCCGACATCATAGCATCGCTGTGTGTAGACGGCAAGGTGCTCATCTTCGACCGGACCAAGCACCCGCTGCAACCAAAGGACGATTCGATCAAGTTCGAGGCCGAGCTTGTAGGCCATAGCAAGGAGGGATTTGGCTTGAGCTGGAGTCCTCTGAAAGAGGGACACTTGGTGACGGGTAACGAGGATACCACAGTGAAGACTTGGGACATCAAGAGTGGCTTCTCCAAGAGCAACAAGACCATCAGTCCAACGGCGACATACAACGTTCACAGTGCAACCGTCAACGATGTTCAATACCACCCGATCCACAACTTCCTCATTGGTACCGCGTCCGACGATCTTACTTGGCAAATCATCGATACTCGTATGGAAACACACAAGAAGGCACTGTACAGGAAGGAGGCCCACGACGACGCAGTCAACTGCATCTCGTTCCATCCCGAGTTTGAAGGGACTTTCGCGACAGGCTCGGCAGACAAATCAGTCGGAATCTGGGATATGAGGAATTTTGACAAGAAGCTTCACAGCCTGCAAAATCACGCCTCAGATGTCATTGGTCTGCAATGGCACCCGCAAGATGCTGCCATTCTTGCCAGTTCCAGTTACGATCGCCGTATTTGCCTGTGGGATCTCAGCAAGATCGGTTCTGAACAGACGGCTGAGGAAGCAGAAGATGGCCCCCCTGAACTGTAAGTTATCGCGAACCTATTGTCAGCTCACGTACTAACATGCAACAGACTGTTCATGCACGGTGGCTTCACGAACCGAATCTGCGACTTTGACTGGAACAAGAACGATCCATGGCTCATGATGGGCGCTGCAGAGGACAACCAGCTGCAAATCTTCCGTCCCGCGCGCAAACTCGTTGAGCCAATCAAGAAGACTGTAAACCACGGAGATGTCTCAGACTGAGCTCCATCCATCGTGTGTCTTCCTTTTGAGATGGCTAACATGAGGGCACTTGTAGGGTAAGGTAGCGGTTCCCGTACCGATTGTACCGGTTTTCGATGCTTGGGAGCCATCTTCGTCGCCTCTGAGTTCTGTACCTGAAAGTTCTATACCCGAAGAGGAGGAAGCAAAGCCAGAGCAAGAGATCGCTGCTAATTCTGATGAGAGTGAGAGGACTTTGTATTTGCCCGCTACTCCGCCTTCTTCTCCATAGTAAGGAAGAAAACAAGAATGGTGTTGGGCGCAACGGCTTGGTGATATCCTTTGTCGGTTTTTTGCGATTCTAGTCGCGTAAACACATGAATCAAAACATATCTACCTCATTCCACCATCGCTGATATTAGTGAAGATGAAGGCTTCGTAGTGCTGTTGAGCGGGCGAGGGACAAGGGGCCCATGCTCACCTCCGAGGTACGAGCTCCCAGCTCCCCGCAATCGTCATCCCATCTCTCATGCACCCGCCATGTGAAATCAACATCACCAGCTCAGACGCAGAACCTGGGCTTGCATCGATCAACATCTGACCCTCTCTATTGACACGCCAGCTTCAGTCGAAGCAATCTGCCATGCTCCTCCTCGGCCTCACAGGCTCCATCGCGACGGGCAAATCGACCGTCTCGTCCATCCTCTCCAAGCCGCCCTATTCTCTTCCGATCGTAGACGCTGACCTCATCGCGCGGCAAGTCGTTGAACCCGGCACTGCAGGCTACAACGCCATCGTCGAGCACTTCCTACCTACCACACCGGATCTGCTTCTTCCCGATGCGACGCCCAAAGGACGCCCGCTGAACCGACCAGCACTAGGACGGAGAGTCTTTGGCAGTGGAGAAGAGAAGGAGCGCGACCGAAAAAAGCTGAATAGCATTGTACATCCTGCAGTACGAAAGGAGATGTATAGACAAATGGTATGGGCATACCTGCGCGGCAACTGGGCGGTCGTGCTAGACGTCCCTCTCCTTTTTGAGAGCGGCTGGGAACGCTACTGTGGCACTATCCTCGTTGTTGGCGTGTCGGATCCCGCAATTCAGATACAACGCCTACGCGATCGTGATTCGCATCTTACCGAAGAAGATGCGCGGAACCGCGTTATGAGTCAAGGCGACGTGCGCGAGAAAGCGGAGCGCTGTTTGCGGAGAGGCCCGGGCAACGGCGTCGTGGTCTGGAATGATCACGACAGGAGCTATCTTGAGAAAGAGATACAGAGAGTCATGCAGGATGTTAGAAGCAATAGTCCGCGGTGGTGGAGTTTCCTGCTTTGGGTGAACCCGTTGTTTGGTGCGCTGGCTGGTATGTTGAGCTGGTACAAGATGCGGAACGTGCAATTACAATGGGAAGAACAGAAGAAGCGGGAGAAGGCGAAACTGTAGGACTTGATTTGATTTGTTGACTCTGTTGGCTGTGCGCTGAAGACAGAAGGAGTGTCGGTGCTAATGTGTGTTGGTGTTTGTTGGATGTGCGCATAGATATCTTAGCAATTGGCGGCACAGGTGCTGTGTCACGGTAAATGCTTTCAAATTCCTCAGTTTGTGTGTTTATTTCATGTCTTTTAATCATGTCTCGCCGGTCTGCATATTGTTTTGCTCTCGTCGTTCTGCTATGCAGTCGAAAAGTTGTCTACCTTCACTTCTGCTCCACTGTCGCTGCAATGCGTTCAAAATCCACCACACCACACCGACGTTTCTTCATTCGCCCCGCCGCTCGCAAATCAGCAGGCCGGAACCGATCTTCTCTCTGTAAAACATATTTCCACGAGCCTCTTGTACGTCAATCTGGTGGACTGCAATTAAATGACCATAGTGCGAGCATGAGTTCCATAACGCCCCAATCCTTTGTCGACGATGGCGGATCCTTCACCAAGCGCATACCTCGCGGTCTCGATCAGCGCCACGTTGCGCGTTGGATCGCTAGCAGCAAATCAGAGGCCTCAGCCTACACGGGCAGTTTTGTCGATGACGGCGCGGACATGCAACTCCCTCCTGGAGTAGCACCAGGCTTTGGTCCAATCGACACACGATTCTACAAGCAGAAGAAACGAAAAGAACCCAGAGATGGTGTGCAGACAGTGTGGAGTGATGACGTGCAAAAGGCGATCAGCGGAGATATACAACGGAACTTGGAGAAAATAAGGGAATTGGGCGGACTGGAAGTTAAGCGGACGGATCGTGATGGCTGTCAGGACAAGAAACCTGGGGATCAAGAGAAGGTGAAGAAGGACACTGTGACTGTCCCTATGCCACCCCAATGGGGAACCTTCGTCATCAAAGCAGATGATGGTCGCGTTATCGTTGTAGACAAGGATGGTGAGTTTGACTCCGGACCACAGAAGGCTCTCAGTGAGCAACCAAAACATTGGGTCAAAGCAGCATCTACCGTCGAGTCAGCCTCTCTGGCCAGAGGTCCGGTTCCGCATTCTACACCGATGCATCGCACGTCTTCCCGTCAGACAAAAGAACGTTCGAAAGAGAAGCAGAAACAAAAGAGTGGCAGTGAGAAGAATGTCAAAAACAATAAGTCTCGTCGCTCACATCTCTCATCATCCAAGACACTTACATCCATCTCCGAATCAGAATACGAAGAAGGCTACCTGCACTCTGATGGCGAAGACATGGGTTCGCCGACAGGTTTCATGATGACAGGTGGAGCGAGCGGTTGGCCCTCTAGCAGAGCTTCATCTGTAGCTCATACAGCTGTATCCATGAGCGACGCGTACGAATACATTGTGCCAGGATCTCCAACCAAGGCCATCAGTGAGGGATTCAGATATGTCAGACCACGCTCACAAGGTTACAAAGACATCATTCCGGTGTCGAACTCCTGGATTGAGAAGAAAGCGTCGTCTATGCGTTCGCCACCCGCTAGACGGCCGTCTCCTGACATATTGCCAGTTAAAGGAGACACTAAGGTATTGTCAGAGGTATCTTGGGATGGTGGACAGTTTGAGAGTGCATGGAAAGTCGCCAGTCCAAGTCACTCATGCAAGAGCCACAGATCGACTCATACTAGCAACAAGTCGCCAAAATCAAAGAATGACTCGGACAGTGCTTCAGGGAAGAGTCATGCAACGTACAAAGCGCCTACAGTCGAAGATGCGTCAGGAGAGGAGGACTATATTGCGACTGGATGGGGCGGCAGTGTGAAGAGCACTGAAACTCAAGGTTGGGGTCGTAACCAAAATAACAATGAGGAGAGTTCTAGTAGTAAGAAAGAAGGCAGAGAACCTGCGTCGATGTTGTCTGCAAACACGCCTCACCCACATACCTGGGCAGGTGCGGGTAGCAAGTCTTCAAGCGAACGAAGCTGGAGCAAGAGACCCAAAGCCACTGACAATGCTAGTTGGACCGGTGTCGAGTCTCCTACTTTTCAGCAAATCGCCAACAGTCCTACGTCTGTACATTTTGGCAGTCCTACACTTCCCTTGGGCGATACTACATGGGATGGTCTTGAGAGAAACAAATCAACCAGTGAGGTCGGTGTCGTAGGTACAGGGAGTGAGCGGGCGTCTCTGGGTCGTCAAAGCCAAGTATCAAGTATACAGTCTGCTCGTCGAAGTCACGGTAGCCATGATACCCGTAGAAGTCATAGGAGCAGCAAGCACGTACACCCTACAGGCTGGGAAGACGGTCAAGCAGGCTGGGCGGGCGGAAGTCAGACTAGCCATCTGAGTCGACACTCCCAACGACCTGACGATGCAGCCATTTGGCCTGGTAGCCATGCCGTCAGCGAACAGAGCTGGAGTAGTCAGAAGGCTCGTGTTGATGACGACAGCGGAGGCCAATGGGGTGGTGCCGATCAAGATGTGGGGAAATACGCGAATGGATATGATGAGGACAACGCGACATATCTAAACGATAGTTGGAATGGTGTTCCGGTGAGGGTTGGGAGTCGCGCGGGGAGCAGGAGCCCGAGGCAGAGTAGTGCCGCGACGGGCTGGGTGTAAGGATGGCGCGACAGGGCAACCGCGAAGGAAAAAAAGCAAGTGGGGCAATGGGAAGACGAATTGACATGTCGAGTCAGTTCCTAGAGCGCATAAAATTACTAAATCATACAAAATATTCAGCTCAAGATGACGGTGTCTACTAAGGCAGGGCTGCACAGCAATTAACATGCACATCAGCAGTCAGCATGGCGAACCAACGAAACTCAGCCCTGCGAGCGTGATGCAGCAAACTCGCGTGCATCCTGCCTCATCGCGTTCTGCAATGGGAGCCCGCGTACATATATGCGCGTCGAAACACCAACGGCAAGCAGCGCGATACTCGAAGGACCAGCAGATGGTCCAAACTTCACAAGGTCGCCAACCACCTATATAAGTCTATGACATACCTGTGACAATTGGCAGCCTCAGAGCAACATACGAGAAGCCTCGAACAGGCGCCTCTACTGCACGTACTACTGCCTCAGCACACTGTAAGCTGCAAGGCCTGGGATGTACGCGCAGAGAACGAAGCACCGTTCACGTCGTTCACGTCTATATCGCGAGCGCGCCGAGTCGCGTTTTGGTGGCGCAAGTGACACTGCAGGTGGATCCGGAGAGTCGTAGCCAATGGAGGGTATTGCATAAAGTGGCTAGGAGGGTTAAAACCAGTTTTCCGTCATAGTTTCGGGACATGATCCTGGCCTGAGTGGAGAAGACGGACGCGATTGTGGGAGGCGGCCCCTAAGTGCGTGATGGACACGCTAAAGTACGAGGGAGACTGGGGACGCGTTTGAGTGCTGGTCTAATAGCTTCGTGACCCAGCTGCACATCCATCTCTCTTACTCTTCTTCTCCAGGCTTGACTCTGTGTGTTCAGGTTCTCTGTCGTTGACCCAGACATTCTCTAATCACTGTGAGAGACGAAGAGTCCATCATTGTTGTTCTTGTTGTTTTGGTCTGGCCGCCTTGAACCGACCTAGTCGCGAAAGAGATACGATAACCAAACCACCCCACCTTTCGCACCTTCCGTCCCAACGACAATCACCTTCAACACCACCACCGCGAGTCCTCAGTCACATCAATTGCGCTTTCGGGCCGATATATCTACCTGTACTCATATCAATCGCTATCGCGACATTTTCGACAGTCTTTACCATGGCCACCTCTACGCGCCAGCCCTTTGGCGAGATCGGCTCGTCACGGCTCCAGGTACTCCAGAGCGCGAAGAACAGGCAAAATGGTAAGGCGCTCCAATTCACGTGCCACTGCATTCACTAAACGCGTATGCGACAGCCATCTCGCCAAATTTCACGTCGCCGCAGGGTCTGAAGTCAATCCCCACGCCATCGACGGGTAAGCGCCAACGCGCACCCGAGATCTACGAAGATGCCGACTCCGAGAACGTGGACCCTTCCGTCTTCAGCAGCCCGACCAAGAAGTCGAGGACGGCCAACAACAGCATCGACGCGGGATACATCAAGCCCGCCAGCTTCTCAATCTTCACTTCGCCCGTCAAGCCCAGCAGTGCCAGCCTCAATGCCACGCCTTCCGTCCCGTCTGTGCGCAAAGCTCTCTCGTCACCCAGCACCGCCAAGTCAACACCCATCACCAACAGCCGCGGCTCACCCAAGAACAAGCGTCTCCATGCCATTTCCAAGCGTCGCGCATCCAGCTCGCCCTTTCGACGCGTCGACCCACCCTCCTTCAACCTGAGCAGCCCCAGCCTACCCTTCTCTATCGACGCAGCCCTCAGCGGCTCAATCTCCACCTACACACCCAAGGCCCCCGCTGTAGCCGCCACTCCCGCCTCAGCACCAGCCGCCCAGTCAGTCCCTGTCCTCGATGACAACATGCCCAAGAGCTGGTTCTTCGATATCCACGAGGACACGCCCGAGCAAGAAGCCGCAAACCTCATGGAACATTCGGCATCCGTCTTAGACATCTCATCCGACGACGACGCAGCAACCAAGTTCCGCAATGAGGACCGCGGCAAGGAGAACGTCCCGCCTCCAGACTTCCTCGCTGCTGCAAACACCCGCAAGCGCAACCATGCTTCTTCCTTGGACGACGGCTATGAGACTGATATCCTGGTCCAAGCACCTGCTAAACATCCTCGTCGCACGCGCAAGGTTGTCCAGGATGCTATGGATGAGGACAGGAAGCCGCTGGGTGATCTTGCGCCGAGCGAGTTCTACGCTGAGGGCTGTGACGCCACAAGTTACGTTACCGTTGACGCGGGAATTGAGAAGCCGTCAGGGTTGTCCAAGGAGTTTGATGCTAGCAGTGTGACACCAGAGAAGAAGAAGAAGCATGTCGTTGTTGAGGAGGTACCCGCTGCAGTTGAGGAAGAGACAACAACACCATCAGTATCTGAGGACATCGTTGCTGCACCTGTTGCTGCTGACGTACCTGCCGTCGAGGCTGCTGTTGAGACCACACCACAGTCATGTGAGGTACCTGTTGCAGCGTCATGAGCCATGTTCCGTACTTCTGCTTATTCTTCTTCTCTTTCTGTCTACTTTGGACTACCCAATTGGCGTTTGGATTACCTCAAGGCGTTGCTATTAGCTTGTCACGATCATGTCCACGCTTGGTTACGTGTATACGATGGGATCAGGCGTTTTAGGTTTCTTGTCTATCCTTGTGATACCTTTACTGCAAGCACATAGCTGCTCACTTGTTACGCCTGAATAATACAAGAATTTATTTTCAACAGATATTCTATTGCTGTGAACGCTGACTCTGATCATCGTGATGACTATGCTGCGAGTTTCTTCCTGATCCGAGTATTGACTTTGTCGTACTCTGCAATCTTGTCTATAGATTACCCTAGTTTCACTTCCGCGAGTGCGCGTCTGAAGTTCCTCTTCCTCCACGACCGCCTCGGCCGCGCGGTACATACGAGGCATTCGCGTCGTGCTGACCACGACCACGACCACGTGAAGGCGCAAAGTCACCTCGACCTTGAGCTGGCGGTACGAACTGTCCGCGACCACGCGAAGGAGCAAAGCCACCCTGATTATGGGCAGGCACGAACTGGCCACGACCATATGAAGGCGCAAAGTCACCTCGGCCTTGAGCAGGTACGAATTGCCCACCACGACCACGATGACCTCCGTTGAACGCACCCCTACCCCCACCTCTTCCACGATTTCCATGCGTGGGCAGCGGCCAGAACTTCTCCCGCATTTCTCTATCCACACCCGCACTTCTCTCCTCCATCGCACGCAGTACAATCGGCCCGCTCTTTCCCTCTCTCACAAGCACCAGAGCGCGGTTCGGTCTCCGCTCCCGCTTCAACACATCCCTGAAGCGAACAAGCAGAGCGACGAGTTTTCTCAACGACTCCTGTTGTTTCGATTCCCATATCTTCACTCTATCTGTCGCGTCTTCTTTCTTAACTCGATTCACTGTTCCAAGCCCTTTATCATAGGGTCCAGTGAAGAGTAAACTTGTGCGGCCGAACCAGAGCTGGTCTTGACATTGGACCAGACCCGCTCCTTCTGGGTTATACGCTTGCGTCTTGAGCTCTAGCATCTGGGAGGTGGGAATGATGTGGCCTTTTTGCAGGACGCGGATTGGGGCGTTGTATGTGAATTTTCCGCGTTCAGCAAGGCCTCCTTCGTTTGCTCCACGTACAGCTGCGGCTTCGGTTTGAGTAAGATCGTCCGGGATGATGCCGTCGTCGTAGGCATCTGCTTCGAAGCGACAGACGACGTTGAGGGGACCCATTGTGTAGCGTATCGCACGGTAGTGACTTGTTGCATCTTCCATACCTTCGGTTGTCCGAGTAAAATTCTTTTCGAAGTTGAAGCCGTAGCTCTTGCCATCTGCATGTTTCCACCATCGTGATTCTCGGCGTACCTGGAAGGTGCGCGGACGAAGTTAGTCTATGTCTCACATCCAGTTTGTACAATGAATTCCTTACGATGACGAGTGTGTTGAAAACAAGGTAAATATTGAGCCGGAAAGGCCCGTTTGATTTGCCTTGGGCGAATTCTAGTAAGATACGGAGATTATTTCGGTCTGCGAGGACATCGACATCATGGAAATTGGTGTTTGGCGCCATGAGGTTCAGCGCATGGAACATTGGCAAGTATGGATTCCTCGGCTGACGAGCGTAGTTGTAGTCACTATATGTGAAGCCACTATCTGGTTTGAGCGTGTGTGGTAGGGGTGGTTGTTGCCATTTTGCTGGCTCACCCGGCACTAGATATGCGTGAGTTTCTACGCACTCAAGGTCTCGACGGATATTTGCCTGATGACAGGTCGAAATCTACTTACCAAAGATAGTATTCGTGCCATCGTCAGAAGCTTGCCAGTTGTAGCAACACAATAGTTCCGGATCTCGGTCCCATACTACCTGTTCCGCTACCGGTATGAGTTCATCCTTGTCGATGGTCTCTAGGATCTCACCCGCATCTCTTGCAATACTTTGGTCGAAGCGCTCTTTTTTCTTCTGCTGTTTCTTAGCTTTGACTGGATCGACCACAACCTCCTCTGTAGGCTTGATATCGGCTTCGTCTTCATCATCCAAATCGGAATCCTCGTCCTCTTCGGTTGCGATGACGGGTTCTGTGTTGCTGTCGTCCTGCAGCTGCTGCCAGCTCGATCCTCCCAAGGCGAGAGCAATCTTGGACTCGAAAGACATGGTTGCTGAGCTCATGTTTGGTGCTGCAGGATCATCCACAGGATTTGGCCTGATGGTGCGTTGTTTTTGAGGGTTATGAGGGGATTTTGATCCTGTTGCGTCTGACCCGTGTCCTTCTCTCCCTCGCTTCCGTCCGTCACTGGGACCAGGAATGGAGCTTTTCTCGCTAAAGGCTTCAATGAATAGTGAGTGAAGGGTCGAATTTAGGTTGCTTGACCAACGAACCGTGCATGCCGGTCGTTCGGTAGTGCTCTTGGGAATCGTACTATTGAGAAAAATATGCGATGCGCAAAGTAACTCAAAACGAGAGATTCATACGCGCCCCCCAAAGTGAGTGTAGTGATAGATTGGGTATGTTCTGCGGGTATCTAGATGTTGCGGATCAGGGGGATTATAATCGCACACGTAGCCAGCGTGCCGTACGTAAACACAGACAGTATATTTCAGATATACGTATATCCAACTGAGTTTAGGTCGCTGACAGACATGAAAGATGTAGTGTACAAAACGAGATTCTGGGTTGCGCAGGGAGACGATACAGAACTCAGTTAGCGTTTCGCATAACAACATGTCGCGTATGATCCGCCCGCCGTACCGACCCCTACCGCGGCATGAGTCAAATGCACATGACGATATCAACAAGCTTATAAGAATTCCAGAGACCAGATATAGCATTGTTTCACTCCATTTTCCCAAACGAACATGTCTATATACTTTCAAACTATAGATATATCATCACAACTTCCATCCACGTTTCTTCGCAAGCGCCGTCTCCTGCCTGACCGCCAAATCCGCAATGATCTCCTCACTTCCACCACCAACAACCTGTGACATATTAGCATAGTGTCCTTGGCATATTAGTATTCCGAAGAATCAAGCATACCATCATCCTCAAATCGCGACTGATTTGTTCAACGATAGCACCAGGCCCACCTTTCTGATATCCAGCGCCACCAAATATCTGCTGAGCCTCTCGATTCGCCATCTCAAGTATACGGCCACCATGTACCTTGCTCAAGGCGATTTGGCCCGCGATCTCGGGATCTTGCCAGCCGAGAGGCGATTGTTGGATGTGGTAAGCGAGTTGCTCTAGCCATGCCCAGTGGCTCTCTACATATCGACCGATTGTAGCTAATTTGTGCGCGATGATCTGGTTGGAGATGAGGGGCTTGCCAAAAGTGTGTCGCTTGTGTGCGTAGTGGAATGATTCGCTCAGACAGGTCCGCGCTTTCCTGTTGCATCCTATGCTCATGATGAAGCGTTCCTTATTGAAGTTTGTCATGACAATGCGAAAACCCTCGTTCTCTTTACCGACAAGATTACTGACGGGAACGCGGACGTCGTCCATTTCTACGAAGCTTGCGCCTCCGCCTTTCTGACCGGAGTTGGGTATGCGACGGTGCGTAAGACCGGGTGAGTTGGTGGGAATGACTAGTACGGAGATGCCACTGGCGCCTGGTCCACCAGTACGAACGGCGGTTGTCATATGTGTGGCCCATGGCATACCAGTGATCCATTTCTTGTATCCGTTCACAATGTAGAACTGTCCGTCTTCGGTCTTCGTTGCGGTGGTTTGGAGGTTCGCGACATCGGACTGCACAGTGATGTTAGCATTCTTCTCTTTAGTTCCCAGGAGAAGCACACATACCCCACCACCTGGCTCAGTGATGCCCAGGCAGAAACTTGTTTCCCAAGTAAATAATCCCGGCAACCACTTCTTCTTCTGCTCCTCGGTTCCATGATGCACAATCGGTGGAACACCAATCACACTTCCACCTCCCAATGCGGTGCCCACGCCCCCCTCTATCCTACTATTCTCATCCGTCATAACCATCAAGTGGAACAAGTCCAGATCGCCAACCGGTATACCCGCTGGCCCCGGTACATTGCGTGGACGATATGGCTCCGGCACATCAGCAAAGGCGAAGCCAGTCTGCGCCCATTTTAATCGTTCTTGCGCGGGCGCTTCGCCGGCCTCTTCCCATTCCAACATATATGGCTTTATGTTCGTATCGATGTATGCGCGGCACGCATTGCGGAGTTTTTTGTGCGAATCATTGTAGTAGGGAGACGCAAGGGAGGAGTACCATGAAGGTTCGCTCCATGGTGCCAAGTTGCCGAAGGCCTCTTTCTTTTGAGGTTGCATCACGGAGGGAAGAGGTGTCGTGGTCTGGGGCTTGGGATTCGCCATCGCACTCGTTTCGTGTTGTTGCGTGACATGTTCGCAGGAACGAGGAGTCTATGTAAAGACCGCCGGATCCTACTGTGGAGGAGTCGAGATGCCGCGGCTGAACGATGGTGATCATGTTGACTCGCGTGCTAAAATGCGGGGGTGCGTTGCTGATTCGCGCACCCCTGGGGCGTTAGCCCTACCATTACTTAGATGAAGAGAACATACCGTGCAAGTGTACAAAGATTTTATGTTCAACGCACCCTAGGGATTGTGAGTGAAAAGAAATGAGATAACGTCACGATAGGAAAGGATGGATCAATTGTGATGTGAAACCTGCGAAGCTTTATTGATGTCTCGATGCTATTTACATGGACACAAGACTTCCGGCAAGACGTCGTCCATTATTATATTCCTCCACTCGTATCTTCCTTCCGGAATGACACGTTTACCTGACGCAGTAACCACCGTCGATGAGGAGATCGGAACCAGTGCAGTAGGATGAGGCATCCGATGCGAAGTAGACGTAGGCACCCTTGAGCTCAGTAGCCTTGGCGTCACGACCCATGGGGATCATGGAGTGCCACAGCTTCTGGATGTCCTGGGGAACGAAGTCGGAGAGACCAGTGTCAATGTATCCAGGGGAGATGGAGTTGACACGGGCAAAGTCCCTCCACTCGTTGGCGAGCGACTTGGCGAGGTGAATGCAGCCAGCCTTAGCAACGTTGTAGGAGGCCTGCTCCTGGGGGAAGTTGGCAATGTGGCCGGACATGGAGGAGGTGATGACGAGAGAGCCAGTCTTGCGCTCGCGGAAGTGGAGACCGACGGCACGGGCGCAGTTGAAGGTACCGGTCAAGTCGGTCTGGATGACCTCGTTCCACTGCTCAACGGTAGCGTCGAGGATACCGTTGTCGGCAGTCTTTCCGGCGTTGGCGATGAAGACATCGACCTTGCCGAAGTCCTTGATGACGTCCTGGACGAGCTTCTCGCACTGAGCGTACTCGTTGACCTGGCACTTGTAGGCCTTGACCTTGACGCCGTACTTCTCGCTCATCTCCTTTGCGTTCTTCTCGGCACCCTCGGCGCGAGAGTTGTAGGTGATGGCGAGGTCGGCACCGTACTCAGCGCATCCTCGGGCAGCCTCTGTGCCAATACCGGTGGGGCCGGAGGCACCGGTGACGATGACGACCTTGCCCTTAAGGCTGAAGAGGTCCTTGAGCTCGGTAGCTTGGGGAACGGTGATGGGCATTGTGGCGATTATGTGGGTTTATGAAGAGTAAAGAAGTTTGGGGTATATAAAATGGGAATTGAGTTGAAGTGTGATGTGATATGAAGATGAAAGCTGATCTGGAGGGGCACGGAGGGGTTCAAGTACTCTTTGGCAGCTGAAAAGACTTGATGGACAACTTCACGCATTAGTGGTTAGTGAGGGGCGCTGGGTCGACAGTGACGTGTGGCTCGTTCTAGGAGCCATCGGACGTCATGTCTCTGAGTTTGATTCGCCAATGGGGTTAGAAGGTGGACAGTCTGGCTCTACCATTCCACTGAGATCCTAGCGACAGACGGGGGTTGAGGTGGGTTGCTGTGACGTTCCTGCCCCTCTGTTAGCTCGCCTTACGGGAGCTTGGGCCATCTTTTCGAATGCTCCGGCGCGTGAACGCATCGCATCGCATCACTTTGCTTTTTCTTCCCACGCGTTATTATCGTTCCCGTCGACTCCGTACCTGTCTTTCAATCACACGACATAACCGCCTTACGCGCACTGCCATCGCGGGTCTGGTTGAGTGTGCTCGAGCTGTCGCACGTTCTCAAAGTGGAACCCCACGATTGATACACGACATGCGTTGTCAGCGATTACGGCTTTGACAAAGATATTTGGCCGTGACAACCCTCGTATCTAGGCTGTTCATGCAGTCTGAAGCTGCCACGCTGCTAGCCCCGCCTCTTGTGCCATGTCGAAAGCCGATGCGCGTACAATCGGACCAGGCTTAGTTAGTCGAGCCGTACTGCCAACCCGGCTGAGGGAACAGTAATCGTTACTCAGCTCTTTCTTGCCTTGGTCTTCAATCCCGATCAGAGTGAATGAATCAGCTGTGTATTCGATCATGATTGAAGTCTCTGACAGACCCTGCATGTACAGTAGCTGCAGGCGAACATGGTAGCAGCTCCGAGAATCTCTGCGCATATCGAAACGTCTCAAGCGGATCCGATCTGTCGAGCAAACCTTGGAATAGCCGGGCTAGAGCGCGTGTGATGCGGCAAAGCCGAAGGAAAACCGCGCATCCATGAAAAACTCCACGCGGGTGGAAGCTGCCTCTCAGCCATCGGTGATCTGTCCACGGAGATACAATGGGGCTTTATTGACAATACATATGACGTTGCCGGTATCCGCCGTGAGCTGATCTAATCTGTCATTCTCCCATCGGTCCCGGACATGGGCAGTAGGGATTGAGTTTCTCCGATACCGCGTCGGCACGTGACACTAACCATCGGCCAAATCTTTCATTTCATCTCAATAGATATCTACAGTGTCGTATCTGGCTCGGCGCGCAGTACGTGATCCAATATCACTGTCGCAGCTGCGAACGTGAATGCGTGTAGAACCTACTAGCCAGATTAGCCAAGCACCTGCCACCGGGTCTGATGCAGCCCTCTGATTCGCAGCGCAATGGAGCTCTACACCATACTTTTGCTCCTGCTTCATCTGCCCCTGAAGCCCGATAGCTAACACGTAAACTCTCTCCAAATCTTCCCAGACATTTCTCACCACATACCCGTTAGAGACCCGTAGGCCCGCAACGATGGTACAGAACGCGCTCCTCCCGAAGCCTCTCCCCGCAGACTCCCTTGTCGTTGGCCAACTGGTCACAGAGCCACTACACCCAGAACGCGAATCATTCTACCCCGATAAGGCACATGCAGAGGTGGACGATCTGAATGACTTCCATATCCAGCTCCGTTACAAAGACCTCTACTCGGTCGATGCCGAAGGCCGATTCACAACCAACTATGGCGCGAGGTTCGATCTGGGAAAGATATACAGACAGCCTAATCTGCTTACTGTCAAGGCCGAGCAGATGATACAGCGGACCACGCAGTCATCATCAAGGGCCTTCCAAGCTGTGTGCAGCGACCCCGAAGCACGCATCTGGATGGCCGAGCAGATCAGGGCGGGCAAGCCCCTCTACATCGTCCTTGGCCTGACCGAGCTCAAGAACGCAACCTTCAAGCGTGCCAAACTGCGTGACGCAGGTGCCTCGAACCGTATCAATGAAACGCCCATCGAAAGGGACGCCAAAGTTCCTGGGTCCTTACGTGGCAGGTCCGAAGGCAGTTTGGGTGACATCGGCACCGAGCCATCTATATCAGGCGTGTTTGGCATGGATGTGCGACACGTTGCAGCAAGGATCACAACGCCCGTGGAGCCACACAGGCTGGAAGACATTGGATACAGGTGGTACTACTATGACGTACCGGGCTCTCAGGACAAGGAACAGCTGATGGTGGGGCTGGGCGAGCAGTTGAAGGCGAACGAACTTCGTTTGATGCTCGACCTCACAGAGGACGACGTTCAGGGCAATCTTGACGCCATCAGCAAGCTCAGTCTCGATGCGTTGAGCGCTACAGCGAGCCCAATGCTTAAGCCTAGTACGCCGATGCTGAGAGGACGCTCGCCTTCTCCTCATCCTACCATGCTCCGCTCTTAGTATCGCATCCTCTCTGACGGTTATATGTTCCAAGTTACGAATAACGGTCGACATGTTTCGAAGCATCGATTTCAGTCATGGATACGTATGATAGACTAATCTTGAGCGTTTTGGGCATACGTGTATGATTCTTACGGCCTGGCATCTCTCTACTCTTTTCCTTACATAGTTATACATTCACTTTCCTCCTTTGTCCTCATCTCATCTGTAACTCTCATGTCACCTCAACGAGGCTCAAAAACTACAAGCGTTTTTCCGATGAAACGTAGTATCAATGTCATTTTGAAACGGCAGGAGCTATTTAGTGACTATATGATGAGCTTACATTTCCATCTGAATCAGCAAAGGAAGACGTAGTGCAAAAGCGTTCTGTCAATGCCTATACAGCTGTCACAAAGCACACTACCAAACTTGTCAGCTTGCTTCTCTTTTTCTTTAGTCTATCTCTGACTCAGCACGACTCAGTTGTTGCGCCTCCGCTGCTGACCGCGCGCACTACGCAATAACCCTCTCACGCGATCCATGCCGCGTTCCCGACGATTACGATTACCATGACCAAAAGAAGCACCTTGGCGACCAGTTGGTCCATCCGACTGCGCCGCTACATCTTCCCATACGCCATTTCCAAGCCAAACAGCTCGACAGAGAGGACATGTCTTATCCCTATTCCACTGTCGACTTAGAAACTCCTTGAGACAATTTTGGCCGATCATGTGTTCACAGCCTACAATTCCCTTGATCTTGACGCAGTCGTGAGCGGTAGCGTCTTCCATACAGATGGGACAGTCTGTGTTTGTCGTGCTGGTTGTATTGGCGGCAGTGAGGGGTTCGGTGTGCTGTGCGATGAAGTGGTTGATACGTCGTTCGCTCCTCTCTGTGGGCACCCTGTCTTCTGCTACGGGGTTGGGATCGAACTCCTCAGGGAAGTAGCTATACAGTACAGATCCTAGGTCGTACATATCTTCCTCTGGCTCAGTTGGAAGATGATCGAAAGGGAGATAGTCACCTGCCTGAAAGCCTTGGTGCGGTATGTGCTCGATGTGGCGTTGGGAGGGGATGCCGCTCCTCGACGAATGACGGGCTGGTTTGAAGCTGTGTAGCATGAACTCAGGACGAGTAGCGGAACGATGTCCAGAAAAGATGGGGTGGCTGAAGGCGTCCTCTAATTCGCTGATGTGAAGTCCGCTGATATCAGGGATATGGTTTTGCCCACCCTGATTGAAGGGAAATCGTGAACCGGAAGAGATGCTCCTATGGCTTTCGTGACTCTGTCGCACGCCGCCAAGTCTGCGGTCAAGGTTCGACATTGCTTCCTCAAGTGCGTGCATAGAGTTACGTATGTGATTGCCGTAGTCTGGGATAGGGAAATCGTCGTCGTAGCGGGAAACATTGAGGGTAGACCGAGGAGTAACAGCAGCATTTCTGAATGGGTGATTTCGATGATTATGGGGGTGTCTAGCTTGAGGGCTGCCGCCTCGAGAGGCTCGGTGGGCGGTGTAGCTATCACCAAGATGATGTCCACGTCCACAGGATCTAGGAGAAGTGTGGCCACGAGACCCTGTTTTGATACGTGAATGGTTGAACATTTGAACGTTTTCTGCAGTCTGTATGGACCTGAAGAGTAAAATCGTTGTTTGTTCGACGATCTGTAGTTGAGACCGTGTTTTGGGTCGTGACCACGAATGAGAAGTGCAAAAGGATGTAATTTATATGAGCATGGACGCTTGCGTGAAAGAGTACCTGGGAAGTAAGACTGATGTAGACTGGGATGGAACTTTGGCCGGGGCGATGCTGTTACAGTCATTGTGAACTGTCCACGTCCATAACTCTTCAGGACTAAGTGAATGTTACTAAGGACTATCTGCCATAGGTTCGGCATGTCATCACATCGGGAACGTAGAGGTGAACAGTATCTGAAGCTCCGGAAATAACACAGAAGTCTCACAACGGGTATGCATTATGTCTCTTTTATTTCTTCCCTTTCTTCTTTGTGTCACCCTCTTTACCCTCCTTCGTAAAGCCGCCGAGCACCAAGGCCTCTCTTGCCGCGGTGTTGATGATGCGAAAGCGGTCGGGACCTAAAAGTATGCCACCATACCATCTTGTGACAATAACCATAACGTTCCAAACGTCCATTAGTTGCATCAGGTGCAACATGCGAGATCCGGCGGCAGTCTCGCCATCATCGTCGCAGTCTTGATAGCTTGTATCGTTGGGGCCTTTGATCCGCCAGGCAGTCATGTTATGAGTCGCGCGAGCAGCCTTTTTGTCTGTCGCTAGGAGATGCGCAACATACTGTCTGGCTTGAGCAGGCGATGATACCGGTGCTACGCGGGCTAAGAAGACTGATTTCTTCTCGGTAAGTGCAGGTGCTACGATCCATGGTGGTTCCGGTCCTAAATCGACGGTTGGATCAGGTATGATGTGGGAAACATCCTCATCTTCGACGTGATGGTCCTCATGTTGATCGTGTAGTTGGATATCCCCTTGTTGTTCCGCTTGCTCCAAGGCTTCTCTTGCTTCTTCGAGTAGGTCGTAAATACATGCTTCGCCCGGTTGGTAGACTTTTGCCAGAACTTCTCTTACAACATCGACAGCACGGCTACCCATGCCCTTGGGTACATCCTGGCCCACGCTCTGTGTGCCTAGCACTGATGGTGGTGCGTCCGGATAGTCTGCAGGAAATTCTATGCGGAGTGTTATCGATGGCAGCGAAGGTAGCCGCAGACTATATAATCTTGCGTCTTCATCTAGGGCCGATAGGGTTCCTTCGTCAAAGATAGCGTTGAGCGAGGTGACTTCATCTTGGATGGCATCGTTTGCGGACATGGTTGTTCTTTCCTTGGCCGAATGGCGGGGTGGAACTAAGCGGAAGGCGCGCTAGCTTAGCGTCATTGGCGCTCGAAAACATCAACACCTTGCGACGCTCGCGTCAAACCTCCTTCCCCACCACGAACCTCTTTGTCGCAACCGCACGTCGCAAAAAATGACGCCCAATGACGATGTCAAGCGCGCGACAAGTGTGTTAACAATCGCACAGATCAAATTCAAGCAAGCAATGAAAAAGACAGATACCGAAGATCGTCTTCCCATTCCAGTCGAAGTTAGCTCGCAGCTCTTCAGCAACATAGATGCTGTTCTTAAGCAGAACACGCGTGTGAACATCCAGGTATCTAACTATAAAGCCATTGATCGCATGTCCCTGGGAGCAGACTAATTTGCCGTTCGTAGAAATGCACAGAGTGGATCGTGAAGCACGTAGCTCCCTCCAAGGCTCGGATCGCCATCCTCGGTGACTATCTCATCGCTGTCTCCAAGTCCATTGTTGTAGACCAGAGTGCTCCAGGACCAGCAAAGAAAGCAGCCCGCAATCGGATGGATTTGTTGCTGATTGTCAACGATGTCCTGCATACTGACAAGTTCCATCGTCGCAACACGATAAAGCAGGGTATCTTCAGCGACGAATGTGAAAGCTTTGTTGTTGATTTGATCGAACAAGGAGCCGTATGTATCACTGAGAGGGCATCACAGCTAGAGTTGAAACTTAGAGCCATTATCAACTACTGGACTGTCAATAGGCTCCTCAGTACAGAGAGTCTCAAAACCTGCCGGGAAAAGGCAGATGAAGCCTTGCTCATTGCCCAAGGTGGCATGCCTGTCCGCAAGCGCAATTACCTCCTGCCAGAGTTCCACGGCGACCGATATGCCCCATGGCACGATCTCCCCGCATCATACATGCTCGAGCAGATGATCAAGTACCCGAAACGCCCAATCAACCCCTCCAAAATCCAGGTCCAGAGGCTAGACAAGAAGCCTGTCAGCCCTCACGTTCGCAACCTGCTCGACAACTTCTTTGAAAAGATCGATCTCAAGTACCTGCCAACGGGCGATAATCCGACGAGCGAGACGACCAAGTACAAACTGTCGTTGGACCCCATGGGTCAGTTGGTCAAGCAGAACAAGGAGACTGGCGAGACAGTGACAGTGGCAAACGGATACGGTTGGTCGCCGAAGTTCTGTCAAGATATGCAGAAGTTCGGCGTTCCGGAAAACATCAAGATTGCGCGAGAAGATGCTGAGCGTATGGAGGACATGGACGACCTGCCAGTCACGTCCGTGGCGCGTCGTGATGACCGACATAGTAGGCCTACTACTTCTTCGTCAGACTCGGATTACAGGCGGGAGCGAATGGGATACAATCGTAGTCGAAGTCGTAGTTACTCTCGTCGTTCCTCCGGGTCGTACGACGATGATCGCTCGCCTCCACGTCGAAGATTTCGCGAAGAGAATCAAGGGCGCCGCAGGGTCTCGCCTTCGCCATCCTCCAAGCCCACGCGTCGAGAGCTTGAGCAGAGAGGACTCGTTGAGTCAGGACGGCATTCAAGGGCATACGACAAAGATGGGTCTCAACCTGCATCGCAGTGGAATGGTCTGAACAGGAATAGCCAGGGCAGTCCGGGTAATCATCAGCACCATGTTCCGCCCATGCCGCCCCAGAACTACGGTCAACCATATTCTCAGCCTCCGCAAGCGCCTTTCAACGCGCCGCCGTTTCCGCCGCAGCATATGCCCCCGTTCGATGTCCCACCGCCTCCCCCGCCGCAATTCCAGGGACCTGGAGGCTTCGTTCCTCCTCCCCCGCCCCCCAACTTCAACGGCGCATGGGTACCTCCCCCTCCGCCTCCCAATTTCAACGGCGGATGGCCTTATCCTCTTCCTCCAAACATGAATATGCCGCCCCACGGTCCACAACAAAGCAACCCACATGGAGGCCAGTACGGCAATCAGGGTGGTAATCAATACGGCAACCAAGGCGGCAACCAGTACGGCAACAATGGTCAGTATGGTCAGAACCGAGGTGGCTACCAAGGGGGACGTGGTTATGGCGGGGGACAGCGTGGCGGCAACAGAGGCGGTTGGAGGGGAACCGGGCGTGGCGGGCGATACTAAAATTAGTTGGAGAGGCCTATGGCCATTGTGTGCATGCATATCTGGTGGAGCGTGTCTTGATGTGTGGAAACCTGTAGGATACCTAGTTCATGATGGCGATCATGTTGCGGAAGCATGTATAGTTTTATAGAGGACTTGATAGTTGGGCTATTGGCGGCTTATCCATAGCTTGCCTGACAAGTTCTTGTACACTCCGTTTGCTTCTTTGTCCCCACGTGCTGTGATGACAAAAGTAACTTGCGCAATCATCATGCATTGGGCCTAGCACTTTAAGCACAAAGAGAACACGGGACTTATTTCAGATCTCAGTGCCCATTGACAAATCATCTCTTGCATCGAATTGTACTCTGGGTCCTCAAAGTTCGAACCGATACTATCATATATTCTCGTGGTTGTGAAGTCTCTCTTACTAGTCAGGGACGCGTCGTGACGCGTTCACCGCCAGCAGGGGTCATTATTCGGTTCGCGGATAGTCCCGCACTCATCATCACTCGCCCTCACCCTCACCTGCCAACAGCCCAGGCGCATTGGTATCTCCACACTCTCTTTTCCACAATGGAGCTAACCTACTTGGATAACATCTCAATTGGACGTCGCGCGTAATGGCGCACTCCAAGAGGAAGCGCAATTCTATCAGAACCAAACCAAGCAAACGAGCACGGTACATCGATTCCAGCGAAAGCGAACCCACCAACGACACTCTATGGGCAGCAGAGCGCATCTTAGACGAGAAGACCATCCGTGGAGTGCGCACTTATCACATTCAATGGAAAGGCCTTGACCCGGAAACTGGCAAGGCGTGGGAACCAACCTGGGAGCCAGAAGAGAACGCGAACGACTTGCTTGTCGCTCACTGGGAGCAAGAGAAAGCGCGAGATTTGGAAGAAGTCCGCCGAATATCGCGAGGAAGCAGCAGAGGACAGTCTGAGCAACGGAAAGACGCTCAAGAACAGAGGCGCATTCGTAATTCCCGTGTCACTGACAGCAGCCCAGAACCTGCCATCTGCTCCTCTACATCTTCAACACCTCCCAACGATCAAAGAGGCCCGCAAACCTCCGCCAGTGCCACAGCACCAGCAGACCGCGTTTCACCTCGCATTCAGATCGCACGACGTGGCGAAAGTCTCGAAAGAGACGAATACGCGCGCTTTTCCCAGATCGCCTCGTCTGGGCCTGGTTCGACTCAAGCACCTACCCAAGACACCGACCTTGATAGCTCACAGCTGTTCGCTGCACGGCCACAACCCCTCGTTTCCGGCGTAGTTGCAGATTCGCAAAGCTCCATTGGCGAAGGAAGCTTTGTTCCCATTATTCAGCATACTGGAGATACAAGCCAGCAAAGCACAGATACAAACGAGTCGCACATCGAGGAGGACGTTGTCGAAGACTCGGTACGTTTACTTCCTGTTTCCCTACGAGTTAGCATATCCACTAACTACTACTTGCAGGGTCTCCTTGAACTGATAGAAGAAGCCGCACGACACGCCGCATCGCCTGCACGATCCATCCCCGAGACCATCCCCGATATCACCACAGCAGAATCACAAGCTGCTCCGACGACAGCCGAATTTGTATATATCTCGTCACAGGTGGACCAGGCGTCGAGCCAAGAGCTTGAGGATAGCGTGCCTATCCAACCCAGCGGAGACGCCCAGAGTGTTGCACAAGTCGAGCATATAAGAGAAGACACTAACTGGCTCGAAACGCGACAGTCTGATCACATCGACTCTCAGGTTTGTCCAGCTCAAGCCGTCTGCGAGACAACCTCAGATAGAGGAGAGAGCACACAGAGCGAACATCTGCCTTTGAACCCAACCTCTGCAGACGTTACAGGAGACGCTTCGACAGATATCGCGGACGTAGCTGAAACCCCATCCTTTCTAAACAAATCCTTTACGCTTGTAGGCAACAGCCAACCGCATCATTCCGAACGGAGCAACGAAGCTAGCGGTATACAATTCGCGGTCGGCAGCATTGACGAGGCGTCGCAACATCAGGAATCCCAGCAAAATAGCGTTCGTGACAGTCAGCCCAGTCTAACCGAACACTCGCTACTGGAAGACAACGAACAGTTCCCCTTCCAGTCTCAGCATCCGTTTGCACCATATCAGCCTTTACAAGAACTTCTCACTGCCGTTCCAGAACAGCTTGAACATACTTGCGCGACACCACTTAGCCATCCAGGACAAGTGCTTACCAGGGTTAGTGTGCCAAGCCTGGCCTTTCCGGCGCCGGCGTCCGACCCACCTCACCAATCAATACAAGCATCACCAAACAATCCCCAGGTTCACGACGACGCGCCAGTAGTATCTCTGCAATCTGATTCCGCTCTTACTCACAGCACTTTGCCACCAGATCAACCCGAAGTAAACGAGACTTTTTGTGCTCAGTTGCTCCACGATTCCTCTAGCCCTGAACGTGAGCAGAACGCGCAAGTACTACCTCTCGAGGCAGATCTAAGCACCCAAGACGACACGCTTGAGAGTATACGGACTACCATCGAGAAAGAGTCAGTGCATCGAGCTAGCTCTGAATCTCGTCACGACTCATCTCAGGAGACTCCGGAACGGCCGTCAAGGTCACTAAATCACGAAACCTCGCCAGTCCTTTACCCACCAAGCTATTCCCTAAGAACTCAAGAATCCAGACTTCCATCACGGCCTTGTACACCTGTTCCTACTTCATCGCCATCAATCATGTCGGGTGAGAGCGCTGCGGATAATGTCCATCGACGGCTGCAAGAGGACATTGCCAAACGCCTCGCAGCTTCCAGAGCTTCTAGAGGGCGCCCTAGCAGGTCGTCTTTCACGCCTTCAGTAACAGGAGATGGACCATCAGCTACTTCTACACCTTTGAGCAGACTACGGACAAATGAGCCGCCAGAAGGCACTCGTTCGCCTTCTGCTGTGCCCGACCGTTCGCCTGTTGCGCAAACACCAACATCACTAAGAAACATTGCCTATGCCACTAGTAATACACCATTAGAAGCGTCACCGTTGGACAAGGTCATGGTTTCGCTGCCAGATGCTCCCCCAGAACCTACTGTCGCTGAAGATCCAACCCTGTCTGAACCTATCGCACCAGTACCGACGTCCCCCGCTTCTGACGAAATGGATGTTAGTGATGCAGATGACGAGGATAGCGACAGTCTACTCAATGACGACTTGCAGTTAGCTGACCAAGAGTTCATCGTGCCGTTGTTCATACAAGGCCGACAAAGCGACACGTATGCCCAGTACATCTCGTCTAAAAAGGACTTGTTGGACCGCTTTCTCAAAGAGCCTCGGAGTGTGAGCCCCATCGAAGAAGTCGAGAATATCTTGTCCCAACTCCGGGCTATTGAAACACACATGGACTTGGTCTTCGCTGAAGCCGAAATAGAAGACTTGAACGGCGAGGCTTCGTCGACGCAAGCTGAACATGCCGCTCGATTTGGCATGGAAAACTCGACCAAGTTCAGGTTCTTAGCCAGACTTTTCCAGGAATTGCGAAACTCCGAGCCGCAGAAACATATTGTTTTGGTCACGGAACGGGACAATGAAACTCTGTTCCGGATCATCCAGACCTTCTGTAAGGCAAACTTGATCAAATACACTATGCCTGGCAAAGACTGGAATGTAGACCGCAAAGAGACTGAGGGTAGCTTACTGGTCACTGTCATACCGAGTGATGCATCGCCCATCATACATGCTCCCGATCTGATCATCTGCCTCGATGGCGTGCAGGACGCAGCACAGATTCGGAAGAAGAACTGGGCAAATTCTCCCGACCGCGATGTGGTGCCAGTGATCCATCTAGTCATTCCGAGGACTGTCGGCCACCTTGAGCGGTATGTAGCATCGAGTCTGGACCCAGTAGAGCGTATGCATACTATCCTGGCAAGTCTGGCGCATGTTCGCCCAGATGTTGGAAAAGCCATCGACGACCGAACGCCGCGAGACGTTGAATGCGCCTCAGAAGTCGCCGGCTGGATCGAGAACATAATGGAAGGGGCCGAATGGCCATTGCCATCTATTGGTAGCGTCAAGGATGTCATTGAGTATCAGACGCATTTGTCGCAGCCCTCTACAGATACGCCTATACCTGAGCGTACCAAGCGCCCTTTGGATGAAGAAGACCTTGACCCGGCAAAGCGTATGCGCTTCACTCCGCAACCACAAAGAGCTTCCGTTGCAGAGAAGGAGCACGAAGTCACGCATATAAGCGACTCTATGCCCGGAACTGCTGCCCTCGAGCTTGATTTGCAGAGAGCATCCGCTCCTGCTGACGAAGCGGTTCGAGAGGAGCAAGAAGCCCATAGGGCAGAACAGAGGCACTTTCGAGAGAGTGAGATAATGTGGGACAAACAGCAGGGGAAGCATGAAGATCTCGCCCGTGATTATCGTGTTCAGAAGGGAAAATTGAGCGCTGCAGAGACCAGAGTGGAAACGTTGACCAAGAATAACGCTACCCTTACCGAGCGCCTTACAACACGTACCGCAGAGATGCGCGACCTAGACCAGCAGCTACAGGAACAGCGAGCTACCGATCTTCTCTCGCCTGATGCACAGATCGCCGAGATCACTAAGCTTCGCAAAGAACTTGCTGAAGCACGCGCGGAGAAAGACAAAGCAATACAGAACGCTTCAAGTGCGGAAAGTCTACTTGAATATACGAGAGGAGCCTACCAAGATGCGCAGAACGCTGCTTCTTCCAATGCTGCCCGCGTTAAAGAGCTCGAAGAAGAAGTGAAGAAACTCTCGTCTGCAGCTTCAGGGGAAGCAACAAAGCGGAAGGGCATGCACCTGAATCAGAACTACGATCGACAGCAAAAGCAAATCGCGAGCCTGGAGGCACAGTTGACTATTTACAAGCGTACGCTGCAGAGCAAGGAAGAAGAGATTGTTCGTCTGAGGAGCGTTGGCAGGCCGGGTGTGGGCACCAGAGGCACGAGTGCAACACCTCAACCCAAGACCAGGAGTAGAGCTGGTAGTCCCACTTTCATAGGCGGCAGAGTTTCGAACTTGAGGAATAGCTAGGAATTGTTTGGTCCAGGTTTACTCTGGAGTGTGAGGATCTGTCCTTGTTTACGTTCGGTATTGTTTGGGTATGGATAGCATAGCGGTCGGATGGGCGATGTAGATACCCTAGTCATTGTGATAACGAAGTAGGATAACCTAGATTACTAGTATAATGTACTTTCTTTCTCGATACTCATTGCAACCAATATACATGCATTTCGTAAACGCGCCTTTCAGTACATGTTGTAGTTTGAAAATACTCACCTTACCAGAACGCTTAGCATTGAAACCCGGTCGCATGCCTATCCGAATATGTGTGAGTAGCTAAGTGAAAACCGTGCCTTCACCTTGTATGTTCAAAGCCATCTTCATGGCCTCTTAGTCACATGGTCATCAGGACATAGAGTCACACGCATAGAATACCGCACTCTCCATCGTCTTGAGATACCTGGCCGTCGTATGAAGTCTTTGGGCATAGAGCATTTCTGTGCTCTTCATACTTAACCATACTCATGCAGTTGCGTGACGTGGAACATCTCAACCATAGCCCTAGTTGATGACCTCTTGAGAACACATACAACTCTTCGCGAATACTTTCACCATATCATTGTCCGGTGACTGTACTCTTTTGGAGTACGGTGTCGTTCGTCCTTATAGCACAACGATAGATTCATTCGACTACATTAGCTCACTTGCTCATTTCCTCGCCAACTTATCGTCCAGCACGAACAACTTACCCTCAACCACAACCTAAGACCGCGAATTTCTATCGACCGAACCAAACGACATGGGACCCTTTCAAGGCGGAATCTGGGATGAAAATCCTTTCGGTGGCCGCCACCGCAATGGCGGTGGCTATCGACCAAGCCAAATTCAACGCGGTGGCTACGCAGAGCAAGATCCGTATGAAGGCTACGATGTACCACCCATGATGGGTAGCATGGGCGGCCAAGGTCTAATGATGCATCACGCGATGGGTAGTCCCATGATGGACGGCAACTCTCACTCTTACTCTTCTTACCAAGACTCCGACGGTAACACGCACGAAGAAGGCTATGGACCTAATGGTCCGTATCGCAACACCATGCGTCGGGATCAGGGACCGCCAGGTATGGGTATGGACGGAGGTATGCCACCTCGTGGGCCACCACAAGGACGACCACCACCCGGAAGTCTCCTAGGCGGCCGCCCGACAGGTCGCCCAGGAGCCTTTCGGTCCTCTTTCTGGACAGGCCCGAACCCGTTCCGTGTTAATGGCGCTAACAGTGGTGTCAATGGTCGCGCCGACGGTGGACAAGGCCCTCGTCCGGACGGCGCTTTCAGAAACGAAGTCGAACCCGCTGCTATGCGACAAGACCGCGGTCTCTCGCAAGAAGCCGCAGAGGACATGGCGTGGTTCTTACAAGAACGAACGCAGCCCATTGGCGATGGCAGGATTGCGCCCCCAAATGCCGAGTGTCCGATTTGTCTGGAGCCACCGAGTGCGTCGCATCTTTGCATCCAAATCAAGGGAATTGAGGGGTGTAATCACATGATTGGGAGGGATTGTTTAAAGGAGATGTTGTTGAATCGACCCGATGATCAAAAGCGTTGCCCGATCTGCAGGGCTGAGTTTCTTGGAGAGGATGGCATTTGGCAGGATTCGGAGCAGTTTCAACAGCTTGCGAATGGACAGAATGCTGGTGGACGCGCGCCGCCCTCAAGACCCCCTCCCAGTCATGGAGGCGGCATTCCTCATGGACATGGTGGCTATGGTGGCGGCTCTCCTGCCGGTCCTCGTAGCCCTCTTCGTGACTCTCCCGTAGGTCCACCTCCAGGCTATGGCGGTCCTCCCCAGATGCCTCCTAGTCGTGGGCATGGCCCTTCCGCAGGCCCTTCAAGCTATGGTGGACCTCCCCGTGCTGCTCCTCTTGCTACTCCACATGCCGCTCCTGCAGGGCTTCGCAACGCGATGCGCGGAGGGGCTAGAGTCCATGGCGTTCGCGACGTAGGTATAGGAACAGACGGCGAGCAAGTCGGTGGTCGTCCCACAGGCGGCATGCAAGGTGGACCGCCGATGATGGACGACAGGGGGCCTTCTGCTCCACAAAGCAACTTCGACGGCCCTGGCCAACGAATTGGTTACATGTACCCAGACCAACGCTGGTGAAGCGGTACTGTGATGGCCAACGGCATCATGTCTACCGTTGGATGTCTTGCGTTGTTTTTCTTTCCTTTGTTTTCCTATGCGCGCAGATGGGGCACGGCGTAATGCTTGATTCATCGTAAGAGTCTCATGGTACCTGATTTGGTATCGGATGGATGTAGGCCCGATTTCTGGAGTGAGTGTTTCCGGTCAGAGGCCTAGCATAACTGTGGATAAGCCATGTCCAGATTCCCAGCTTTCCTGTAAACATTGGTTCGTCCAACTCGTGATATGCACGCCAGCCGCATTTGTCACTCATGGCGTTGCGTAGGTTCGCCGAATTAAACTTCAAACCCTCTGCAATGTAGTAGTCATCGCAATATTCGCGCATCCAACCTCCAACTTCTGATTTGACCAGTGTTATCTGAATCTGGTACACGCAACATGTGAAACCAGACTAGAGATTGATCCAGGCACGTCTTGCTGCTATCAGATACACTCGCATCAGACCCTGATGTCGGCCTAATGCAGCATGCAGGGCAAGCCTGATGGATGGACCACAAGATAAACTTACATTATAGCGGTGAGTAGTAAATGCCGCTGTACCTGACATTCTTCGTGTGTCGCATTTCACGGTCATGCTGTACTCTGCCGGTGATTGACGTTGCTTTAGAGTTGACTGGACCGGATCGCCGGGCTCCACAGCGGGAATAATTATATGGTGTTGTTTGAGGAAATGCCGCACTGGCACGAGGCTACATCGCCATGGACATTGTAGAATGTGCGTGCTGACAGTATGAGCCTAGCGTTGGGTTGAGGCAATATCGTGCATGGCGAGAGTGGCTGTGTGCTTTGATAATGATGTGCATACTCTTGCATGCCCATGCCCAAGGATGAGGGCAAAGGGCAAGGGAACGTCGGAAAGTGCTTTCCGCGTGCTGACACAGTGCAGGGAGGCCTGCGATACCTGACAATCGAGGGAAGGTCTGCCAAGTCTTGGTTCAAAATAAACAGGAAGGTGATGTTGCCGCGGTCACAGTGACCGCAGCTGCGTGTGCCTGGCTCCAGACAAATGACGGCTTTCAGCCGAGCCATCCGATTCACAGGCATCGGCCCCGCACTGGTCCCGCTTATGGCGCTGCCCCTCATCGATCGTCAAGGCCTCATGATGCGGCGTCTGCATAGAACACGTTTGGAACAATGCGGCGTTTTCAACATCGTGACGTTTGGGCGGGCTACACCGGTTTCTTGTACGTAAAGTCAGGCTTCTGGACCACCTTGGTATGGTAGTATAGCATCATAACCAATGCTAGATATACCTGGAATATCGTGAATGTCAGAGAGTAATCGCAAAAGTTGCTTGAATATCGATGTTGACGAATATTGTGGGTCCGGTGTGACGTGGGTCAGAAACTGCATCAAAGTGCATGGCAGAGAATTCGAAAGTGTTTCTGCTTCCACGGTGGGGATCCTTGGCTGCGGCTTCTTGCGGTTCAGCCCTCTGAAGCGGACGTTTAGTTGCAGATCCTGGTAGTCTAGAAAAAGGTCTCCCCGTTTCTTTGCATGGGTCTATGGGACCTTGTACGAGTCGCGAAAGCGCACTCAGACGTCCCAGACGACTTGCGCCAACAACGTGGTCCTTTGGAAAGGTTTGACACTTCACCAACAATATGCAGGTGCAAAGCGAGGTGGCTAGGCCCATCGCGACAAAGGATGTATTCCATATGTGAGCGCAAAGTGCCCAGTCGTGGCGTAGCTGCTGATATCTAACACGACGCACGGCCGTTCCACTATAAACAAGGGTTACTTGCGCCGTCGTCATCTTCAGCGCAAATAGCGAATATTGGCTGTGTCATTTGCTCGTTTTAAACGGCAACGTTACTGGCTTTGACGGGATGTGGCGACTTGCTCCGCAGCTGGGCCTATGCAGCGATGCTGGCTAGGTTAGTCAGGTGGTGCCACTTGGATGCAGTTGTGTCGGACTATATGCGTCACGCAACATCTGTTGTGTGTGCCTTCGAACATTAACAGCGCATCGTGAAAATGTTTTGAGCATTGCGATATATGCTATGGCAAGGGACCGCATGCATGGAGCTCAAAGCAGGTTGGCGCGCAACATTTACTACACCGCTCAAACAGGCAAGCACGAATGAAAAACCTGGGGAAGCGCTACGGGAGTGCGGTGGTCCAGGGGTAACAAGAAAAGAAATGGCGCATTCATGGATGGCTAACCGGCTTGTATCACTTTTCTCCACTAGGAAACAATCTGCCCCCAATTACGTTACATTGGTTCGGGCTGATCGAGATGCATGCCTCGGTGTCTCTTGTGTGGAACTTATCGTGACGGCGCCATTCGTTCTGTTTCTAATTGTGCGGTGAAGCTTCCGCAGGGCTCACGATCGTGATTGAATGGTCCCTCGATCCCAGCCGTCAGCCACGTATAAAGAGATCATCTGCTGCCCATCTTTCTCTCGAAGCAGCAAAGCATCCACAGCAACTTCTTCAACCAATCTCGAGTTTCAATCTAAACTCTTGCAAGACGGGATCGACACCAGAGAACTATCCTCATACAAACCTCGAACTACCTCTACCGCAACCAATCAGCGTCGCCTACAGCTCAAACCACCACCCATCTATCATCTATCATCTATTGAACTCAGACATCATGCCTGCTCTTCCATTCAACTCGTCCGCTTCTTCATCACCCTCATCTTCACCTACTTTGTCGCCTACCATGACGCCTTCAATAGTTCTCCATCCCGCATCGGGTATATTTGATCAACCATACTAAAGCCTCCCATCTAATCTTTCCAGCAGGTGTTTCATCACAAAAGAAGGAGCTTCTTAAGCCAAAGGAAGACCCTGCGCAGGCGTATCGCATTCGTTATGCGCAGTACCTCGCAGCCACCTTTGGCTTCTCGATGCAGGCCGCGCTCGCCGAGGCGGATAGCCAGCTTGCGCCGCGCCGTTCGTCGAGTTCGAGTATGTCGGAAGCTGAGTCGTTACGCGCGATCTGAGCTTGAGTAAGGCTGTCGGGACTTACAAAGGGCGTTTGATGACTTTATGAACATGCATGTATAGGGTTAATAATGGGCATTGGGATGGGGTTCTTCGGCGTAGTATATATTTGGACCACACAATCAAAAGCGTCGTCTGTTCACCAATTCTATCCAATCTCGTAGCGAGAAAACCATTTTGTTTTGTGGTCATCGAAAGAAGCGATTGCATGCAATCGTGTGGCCGGTCGCAAGCCTATGCGATTACCTTAGTTCGTAAGGTTCGTGTATACCCCGCGAACCTTCTCGGTATTTTCGGATGCTGATAGTTGTAGGAGCAGAATCCGCAACTGCCACCCCCACCATTCCACCCGCCCCGCCTGGGCCAGGTATCCACGTGCAGAGCTTGTCTATCGATTGAGGCTCAATTTCAACGACATTCCATGCCTTACAGTATCTTCTACTTTGAAAAGGATCCTGCCACGCCATGGTCTCTCCGGAAATCGATCACCCGCACATTGCGCAGGCAAGCGAAGCGACACTATCCACATTCTGCGGGACAATCCTCCACGATAATGCTCACTGGGCCTTCCGACGAGTCTTCGATGCGCTGCAGGTCTAGTGCACCATAACCACGCGTTGCCATCATGGCGTATTGGTTTACGAGACGTATCATTGGCGGTGCCGCCACACCTGTAATCAGACAAGCCTTAAGTGGCATACGTGGCAAACATCAACCTGTCATATGCGGCAGCGCTGCTTACTGTCGTATCTCTACCCCGGAAACACATATCCTGGATGCTCCTGTTGCTGGCTAAAAGCATCACACGGCTCCACACAGAGCGCGCAAAACGCGGAGTCGTTGGATCCTCCACGGGGAAACTGCGAGAACCAACATGCACAGTACCGACAAGTACTCCGAAAGTACTCAACGCCAACAGCCGAGACATCTCGGCATCGCGGCACAGTGGCTCAAAGCCACACAGTCGATACTTAAAACTGGGATGAGGCGACCGGACTTCTTGGATCCGTCAGCCAAGCTTCTTATCGTTCTATCAATGAGCAGCTCAATGAGCCCAGCCTCACAGCGTCTGTCGACTATTGGTCCCGCCATAACAGCTGTGGGTACTCGTTTGTTCAACGGCATCAGCTGATTAAAGCGATTGTACATACTGGTGCAGCACACGCTGTAATGTAGACGTTTGTAACCGTTAACGAGGCGTGGTGGACAAGGAGTTCCAAGCCTCTCCACGCTTGGGGGACCCACGTCGCTCGTCTAGCGTGCTAACCCCGCCTAAACCTGGTAGGACCAACTGCCTATAAGGACTCCCCCGCAAAGGCGTATTCTGTCTCTTCACCACCGACACTACCAGTGTTATCACATATACTTGAATGGGTGAAACTGTGCTACTTGCCGTCGAGGAGACTTCTCCTAACGTCGATGAACCCCCTATATGTGGTAGTAAGGATCCGCATACTGCACCCAACCAAAGGCAACTCCAGCCGAACCCTACCGATGGCGACACTTCGCCCACACTCCACGCTCCGCATACCCTCACCTCCGAGGAAGTTGCACAGAAACTACGAGTGGACATCCAGTAGGGCTCACTGCTTATGCTTATATCTTAATCCCTTGTGCTTGTGCTAACGATCGCAGCCATGGACTCCCTCACTCTGAAGCGCAATCTCGCCTCCAGCTCTATGGCCCTAACAAGGTTAAGGGAGCTGAAGGGCTTTCCATGTGGAAAATTCTGTTAAGACAGATCTCGAACAGTCTCACCTTCGTCCTCATCATTGTCATGGCCATAAGCTTTGGCATAGACGATTATATCGAAGGCGGCGTCATCACCGCAGTTATCCTCCTGAACATCGTTGTCGGTTTCTGGCAGGACTATCGAGCCGAGAAGACTATCGAATCTCTCAAAAAGCTTACCGCGCCTGAGGCTACCGTCACCCGAGACGGAACGGCGGACATCAAGGTCAAGGCAGTGGACCTCGTCCCTGGTGACCTCGTACAGTTGTCCGTTGGTAGTATCGTACCCGCAGATATTCGCCTCATCGACGGTGTCAACGCTTACACCAACGAAGCTTTCCTGACAGGAGAGTCTGCACCTGTGGAGAAGACACCATGGAAGACCTTCGATGAGCTAGACCTTGCCACTGGTGACCAGACCAACCTTGCCTTCTCCGGTAGTGAGGTGACATCTGGACGTTGCCATGGTATCGTAGTCGCAACTGGCATGAACACTGAAGTCGGAAAAATCGCCACTATGCTTCGCCAAAAGAAAGACGCTGGCCCACAATCTGCCAACATCTTTGTCAGAATCTTCAAGCGTTTCACGAACGGCGGTAAGACAATTCTAGGCCTTGTTGGAACTCCACTCCAGATCACGTTGAGCAAGTTCGCTCTCCTACTCTTTGGTCTTGCCATCCTACTTGCCATCATTGTCTTTTCTGCAAGCAAATGGCAGGTTGGCGGAGAAGTCCTGATCTATGGTATCTGTGTTGCTGTAGCTGTCATTCCCGAATCCCTCATTGCAGTCCTCACCATTACGATCGCCGTTGGCGGCAAAGCCATGGCCAAAGCAAACGTCATTACTAGGGTCCAGTCGGCCATTGAGGCTGTTGGTGGTGTCACAAACATCTGCTCTGACAAGACCGGTACTCTTACCCAAGGTCGCATGGTCGCAAAGACGGCCCTAATGCATGGCGCTGGCACATTCACCATCGACGCTATTACAGACCCACACAACCCTTGTAGCGGAAACGTCGCACTAGATGACCAGCTCCTCAACTTGGATGAGTACAGGCCGAATACTGTTGTTACTCGCTTTCTGCGTACCATCGCTCTTTGCAACAACTCCAAGGTCATACCACCATCTGAGACCCACGTCGACTCTCCAAGCGAGAAGAAGGCTGCAGCTCTAGATCAGTCAGTCAGTGGTGACGATCGCGACACCGATGCCTCCACTATCGATACCATCTCACGACCGCCCACTGCCATCATGCAAGACATATCTGATGGACCTTGGGTAGCGCACGGTGAGCCAACCGAAGTCGCATTGCATGTTCTCGCTTCCCGTTTCAACATGGGCAAGGAGAGACTTCTCTCCACTCTCAACATCCATCTCGCTACCGAGTTTTCTTTCGACTCCAAGGTCAAGAAGATGACTGTCGTTTACAAGGACAACCATCAGGGTTTCATGGATGTCTACACCAAGGGAGCAACAGAGTTCATGATGCCTGCACTAAACGTCTCGGACCAGGAACGCACTGAGATTCTGGAAGCCGCTGAAAGAATGGCAAACCAAGGCCTCCGCGTCCTGTGTATCGCTCACAAGACACTACAAGCCGGCACTGACATCTCGGAACGTGATGTCATCGAGGCTAATCTCAACTATCTCGGTCTTGTCGCTATCTATGATCCACCTCGTCTGGAGACCAAAGGTGCTGTCCGCGAGTGTAAAATTGCTGGCATCACTGTTCACATGCTCACTGGTGACCATCCTGGTATGCATTATCCCCTTCATGAATTGCAAGCGTGACCTATGCTAACCAAATTGCAGGTACGGCGAGAGCCATTGCTAAGGATGTGGATATCATTGATGATCGTACCCCTGCTTCAGCCGTCATGGTCGCTAAAGACTTTGACAGGATGACTGAAGACGAGGTGGACGCTATGGAGACTTTGCCTCTTGTCATTGCTAGGTGTAGTCCGACTACCAAGGTCAAGATGGTACAGGCTCTCCACAGGAGGGGTCGCTTCTGTGTCATGACTGGAGATGGTGTCAACGACTCACCTGCGCTCAAGCAGGCTAACGTCGGTATGGCTATGGGTACTGGTAGTGACGTCGCCAAAGACGCCGCTGAGATGGTTCTCACCGACGACAACTTCGCATCTATCGTAAAGGCGGTCGAAGAAGGTCGACGTCTGTTCGATAACATCCAAAAGGTATGCAAGCTTCCTGTCCCTCTTCATACTATGACCAGTCAATAACGTTCGGCAATATAGTTCTTGATGCATCTGCTCATCTCGAATATCGCTCAAGTCATCCTACTCCTTATTGGTCTCGCTTTCAAGGATCAAGACAATCACTCCGTCTTCCCGCTGTCCCCCATCGAGATTCTCTGGGTCAACCTCATTACTTCTTCCTTCCTCGCCATCGGTCTCGGTCTCGAAGAGTCACAGGAAGACAGCATGTACCGACCACCGCACGACAACAAAAAGGGTGTCTTCTCAGCCGAGTTGATCACGGACAAGTTTATCTACGGCTTCTTCATGGGAGCCCTTTGTCTCTTCTCCTTCGCCATTGTCGCATATGTCGGCCCTGGCGGAGGTAACCTTGGCTCTGGATGTAACGAGGGATACAACGACACATGCGACGTGGTATTCCGTGCTCGCGCCACCACCTACGCTACCATTACCCTCCTTCTCCTTGTCACGGCCTGGGAAGTCAAACACTTCGCTCGCTCCCTCTTTAATATGTACCCCAATACTCCCTCATCAGCACCACCCGGCCTTTCCGTCTTTTCTACTGTCTGGCGCAATCGCTTCCTCTTCTTCGCTGTTATGGCCGGATTGGTCGTCGTGTTCCCCATTGTTTACATTCCTATCATCAACGAGAAGGTGTTCAAGCATGGTGCCATCACCTGGGAGTGGGGCGTTGCATTCGGTTGTGTCGTCATCTACATCAGCGCAATCGAGAGCTGGAAGGCTATCAAGCGCAGTTTTGGTATCTGGAGCGGTGCGCACCGCGTCATTAGCCGCGAGGATGCCGAGGCCCGTGCCGGACTGAACGGCGGTGTTGCTGTTCGCGAAAAGTAAGAAAGGATCGAATTTGATTGGTGGTGGATGGAACAAATTGTCACACTTTAGGATGTAGATAGAGGCGGGATAGTTTGGTCTCATGTCTCCTTGGATTGACCCATGGCCTCTCCTTACTCATGACTTACGATCACGACAACACACACTCTTTACCATAGCTTTACGATGAATACCAACTTAGTCAATCGTTGATCATTACGTTTGTTAAATGACTTAATGAAATTGGATGAGCATCACCGACGCACGATCGTGCCAGTGGCCCAAGCGCCCGCTCTTGATTTCGTCATTATCGATCTGACGAGGCTGGTAGCCCGAGCCACACTTCAGTTGTAGATGCCATGCATTCTTTCATCATTCTTGCTTTATTCTATCCCTGTATCCATTCGCTCATCAACCACTACTCCGATGCCCTGACACAAACTGCGCTAGCTATGAACCAATGGTCATTGCACTACAAACCTCAGCCTCCGGCAGCCCCAAGCGATACATCTCTATTCTCAGTCTTTGTTGGCCTCCAGCTGACTTCCAGCTCGCTGGGCTTCCGAGACCAGGCAGAATACCATCGAGGTCATTGTGGAAACGTGCCTCTGGCTCTGGAAGATTCAGTCATATTGCGTGATCTTGTTTGATGGTTTAATCGTTCTTCTTATTGGATAGTATCCTAGTTTACTACCAGATCGCGTTCAGCAATGGTTTTGTGACTCGGCATTGGTATGTCAAGTAGCGATGAGGGAGATAAACAATCCACGTTCACCACTGAGGTTGACTTAGAGCAATGTGCTTCACGAGGTTTATTGCCACTTTATTTCCAATACGACGGTTTCGCGCTCTCTCACGACCTATTGACTACCAGCGAAATCAAACTGCATCCTCGGCATCGTCCACTTCCGATCCGCAACGACTGATCCATTTTCCGGCATGGTGTTGTTTGCGAAGGGTCCTAGGCTAGGGGGCACGTCTTCCGGCGCCCTTCCCCAGCCACTTTCCTGGGGACCTAGTGTCAACTCGAGGACACCACCTTCCAAGAAGAAGTTGTGCTGGATCCAGTTGCGCGTGTAAGATACACCATCGAGGGTAGCCGATTGGATGTAGATATTTTTATGACCTGGGTCAAAGTTGATGTTGCGCATTGTTGCTGTATTGCCCGTTTGGCCGTTCTTGATAGATATGGACTCGAAGAAAGGTGGTATGATAAAGTAAACATCTTGTCCAGCATTGGGGAAGAATCCCATCATGACGAAAGCCTCAAAAGATCCCATGGCGCCACTATCGTCATTGCCGGGTATGCCAACGACGGTATCGTTGAACAACGAGGGAATGTATTGATGGGCGCGTTCAGCCGAGAGAGCAGGACGTCCAGCGTAATGGTATAGGAAGACATTGAGGAAAGCCTGTTCATCTCCAAGATACAAGACACCGGACTCGTGCAGCCAGTTCATACGCTCAACGAAGCGCTCGCGTCCTCCTAGGGTTTGGATAAGAGTCGCCATATCTCCAGGAGCAAAGAAAGTGTATAGCCACACTGGACCTTCGTAGGTCTCGCCTCCGCTAGGATTTAGGTAGCAGCCAGTGAAGTTGAGTAGTGGGGAACAAAAGATCGGATCTTGAGTGCCCCATGTGCCGTTCAGGTATCGAGGCTGCAGGAAACCTTCAAACCCGGTATCAGTACCATTAATAATGCTACGTTGATCGGCTTTGAACATATTGTGCCAGTTACCAGAGCGGCCGAGGTACTTCTGGTAGTCAGCTGTATTGCCGAGTTCGCGGGCGAGAAGAGCGATGACAAAGTCGTTGTAGGCGTATTCTACAGTCCGAGAGATAGAGCGAGTCTCTGTACCCACGCCTTCGACGTCGAGATTTTGGGTAGGGATGTAGCCTAACTCTTTCCAAGATACGAGACCACCACGGCCTTGATAATTAGTACTCAGATCCTACCCACGGAGAAACTGCAATCTTACCTTCAACATCCCAGTTTGGTGGCTCGACTTCTGCGTCCTTGACGACAGCCTCGTATGCTAACACCCAGTCGATACCAGCAGTAATGTTCTTCAAGTATGCATCCGCAATAACGATATCTGCATTTGAGCCTCCTTGTGTGAAACCCTTGCAGTGGCTCATGCGACAATCCGGCAGCCACCCTTCATGACGATAGATGTCGAGTAAACTTCGTATCATAAGCGTTTGACTATGTGGGTCTAGAAGTGTGATCAGAGGATGAATGGATCTAAAACTATCCCAGATGCAGTAATAGGAGTCGTAGTATGGTTCGTCAGATTTCCAGAGTGGATTTTCTCCAGTGTAATCTTGGGGGCTGATCATTGACCTGTAAACGCCGCTCCAGAAAGCGTTAAGGAAGACTTGATCGACACCGCCATCTTCGACGGTGATGACACCAAGCTTGGAACGCCATGCAGTCTCAGCAGCGGCAGCAATGTCGTCGAACCCCCATGAAGGTATCTCACGTTCAGCGTTGGAACATGCCTGCTCTTCGCTAATGAAGCTCATTCCAACCCGCGCATGGATCTGATTGTCTTGGGTAGGCTTCTCGAATTGTACCCATCCACCTGCTGGTGTGTTACTGGGTGTTTGTCGTACATCGCTGGGAGCTATTCGTAGGCTTGTTGCTCGGTTTGTTGCGCGCGTGTTGGACCATACGCCAGCTTCTTTGACTTTTGCACCATTGAAGTCCAGGCAGAAGTACGACTGATATGTGCCTAGACATAGGCGTACAAAGTTAGTAAGTGTCTCAAATTCAGTTTTTATGTGAAGATGACTTGCCGATGCCGAATGACGGCGAGAATATTCCACTTCCTGTCATGCGCCCAGTTGCAGCATCCACAGTAATATTTGCTTCGCTCCTCGTGTTCGGCAAATCCGTTAGCTCAACCAATACATGTGGTGATAGTGTTGTATTCGGAGTCGATGGTGTTTCCGGAAATGTAATGCGATACAAAGCCGTACGATTTGTAACAGTTGACTCAGTCCTGATGTTGTTGGCTAGTGTGATATCAAAGTAACCAGGTCTTGCATGAACACTTCCGGGTATGCGCTCAACGGCTCGTTCAGACTTGAAATACTGACAGCCGTTGATATCATCATTTACACACCCAGATTGGGCGAATATTGGGAAGTTACCAAGCGACGGTGAACCACCCGTTCCCGAGTCGTGCATGTGAGAAAATCCATAGATCGGTTCTGAGTCGTTGGAAGAGAACCCTCCTTGGTTCTCGCCTATCACATCAGGCCCCGCTTTGGCCATTCCTAGTACTTGTTAGCAAGTTTTGGGTTATACTACAAAAGTCTTCACCCACCAAATGGCAGTGTAGCACCAGGAAACACATGGCCTATGATGAATCAGTGATTCGTTATCTTCTCAAGAACACCTTGATCCTACCTCCATTGATTGTGCCAATGAGAGGATTAACGTAGTCAAATCCGGATCGTGGTTGTGGTTGTGAAGAATTATTCTGTGCGCCTGTAGATGTTATGAACACACACAGCAAGGACGCCGAGGCGTGCTTCACAGAAAGAATGCCCATGGTTTGGGTTGAGCGCAGACTCTTCAATGAGAGAAGCCAACTCAACAGAAGTGTCAGCTACGCAACGCTCCTCATTGCGCTTCCCCGCGCAGGCTATTTATCCCTTCCTTACATGACGCTTGGCAGTGACGCGATGGTCCGCGAGCATGCTACCTACCACATAAGCAATTCGGGTAGCATTTCTTAAGTCATCTTGTACTGTCTATCATCTCCCAGCAAGGCGATAGTCTGGCTCTAAAGCGCTGGTGTTGCGGTGGTATGCAGATTACAGCCGAGTACGGATGGCTGCGGGGTAACATCGATGGTGGGTCCATGTCGTGCTATTAATGAGCCGTAACCTCCGGTCGGTACTGCTACTACTACAGGTAGCATACGGGTTGTTTCCGAGCGAAGCTGTGAGCCGGGGGTTGCGGAGCGGTACACAATTTAGCCCTGTAAGTAATCTCGGCATATTGAACGCGTAGTGGAGGTCCCGGATACAAGAATACTATGCGCTATCAGGCCTCATCGTGCTTACCTTCCAACTCTAGTGTAACATCGAAACCAGTCAGTGCTTAAGAGAGTGAATCGAAGACCAGAGGCAATAGTAGCAGCCGTCTTGGTGTTGCTCTTTCCGACTTGAGTCGGCAAAATAGGAAGATTTGACCGAGCCACGCTAAACCTCTTTCCGCTTCCCACGTGGAAGATGTGTACGTCATTTAGGGGCCTAAAGCGAGCACCATCTTGGGCTACCTCGAAAGTACATGCTTCACTACGCAAATCGCCCCAGAACTGCTAACTCAGGAGTATCGATTAGAATGCTCAATCGTGACAGGAGAGAGCACATGGCAGACGATATCCACTTCTAGAAACATTCGTCTACTCGGCAAACGCCTGGGTTGTCTTATACTTGCTAGGGTACATGGATTCGATGTTCATATCTTGCTGACCGAAAGGTTTACGACCCAGTATCCCTAGCTCTCAGCTTCACCATCAAGCTTGGTTTTTGCCATAGCACAAAAACCTTTTGATCGTCCCACCTCTTTTCTGGTTCAAGCAACTCGAATTCGAAATGCCACACCAATCTCGCTAGAATGCTTCTTATCTCTGCCCATGCGAGATTCTGGCCGATGCAGTTCCTTGGCCCTACGCTGAAGGGCTGAATGACGTGACGCTTGTCCTTTGCATACTCTTCAGCGCCGAGGAAGCGTTCTGGTGCGTACACTTTGGGATCAGTAAAGTGAGACGAAGTATGGTACATGGCATATTGCGAGATACCGACTTGCGTGCCAGGTGGTAGAGCATCGCCACAGACTTCTGCACCAGCAGGTGGTACTACCCGAGGAAGCGCTGATGGTGCCGGCGGATAGATTCGGAAGGTCTCTTGGATGACAGCGTTGAGGACTTTGAGCTGACTCAAAGATGCAAAGGAGATTTCGCTTTCGGACTTGAAGGTAGCTGCGAGCTCTTGGCGGAGCTTCTCCATCCAAGCTGGGCTTTTGAGAAGGTGATAGATCGCACCACTTAGAAGCGTTGCAGAAGTCTCGCTACCTCCGAGTATGATAGTCCCACAAGTATGCTTGAGCTCCAGATCCGTTACTTCCCCCTTGATGTTTTTGACAGCATAACTTCATCGTCGTTAGTAACCTGGACGTGTGAAACAACCGTACAGCCACCTACCTAAGAATGTCTTTACGCTCAGTTTTGGATGCCAGCCTCCTTGCGGTCTTCTCTTCGGTGAAGTTGTTATGCTCGAACTCTGCTTTCGCCAATGCAGGCATCCACTTCAACAAGCGCGTAGCAGGAACTCCGATGATGGGATAGCGCTTAATGATGTGAACGATACCAGCGAATCTTAAGGCTTTGAAAAGATTGACCATCCAAGAGTGATACATTTCTTTATCTAGTGCGCCGAACGATTCGTCAAACGTCAGGTCGCCGATTATATCAAATGTCGTAAAGTTCAACCAGCGCGTGATATCGACGGGGGTTTGAGAGTCGGCTCGTTGGCGTAGCTTCTCGATCAAGAGGTTGATGTATGAGGTGATGATACTTTCCTGGCTTCGGAGAGCTTGCTCGGAGAAGGCGTGATTAAGAGGTCGGCGGATTCGAGCATGGTCCGAATTGTTGGCAGCTACGTGACATCAGTATAACCCATGTGATGGAAAAGGTTCGAAACTACAGCTTATGTCGGTCGACGGACGATAGTAGAACTTAGGGTCTTTGAGAAGCGGCGTAGTGGTACCATAACCGTACACATCTATTCGAAGTTAGCCAGACTCAGGCAACAATTGTTCGAAGTAAAGGGTCATCACCTCGCCATGCTTCAGGCTTGACAAATGAGATTGTATTCGGGTTTATGCGGACGACATCTCCATACTGTTCGTGAAGCTTCAGACAGCTGTGCGGAACGGTCCCAGCGAGTACGTCGAAAGAGTTAGAGATCCAGAAAGCGCCACGCAACTTCGGTCCTGGATATTTGGAGAGCGGATGAAGGGTTATATTGTAGACTGCTTGGAACAATGAGTAAACCAGATACTGCGCAAAATGTTAGTGAAGCGCTTTCTCATTTCCATTCTACTAGCATACTTACAGCTAGTATCAAAGAGATCGAGAGTTGGAATACGGGTGGTTTTGCTATGTTGTATTCCATTCTGAATTCGCTGCAGACCTGGCAGACTCAAAGTCTTCGTGATTTCCAAGATGCTGCTCATATGTAGATGTGCTGACAGCGGGGCGTTCTAGCCCCTGTCACGGCACATGAAAGGATAAACAATGCCATTCGTGAGCATCCTGCAGTCAGCTGTTGTACGCCCGATGCTAAAAAAGATGTGATGGTTGGCCCTACCATTTTAGATAGTCGAAGATTAATAGTGCTCGGCCAAACATCATCGGACGTACGCGGCTCTTATCTTACACACCCCGGATTTCTTTACGCTCTACGCCACGCGCTTATCTCTTCATATGCCTTCGCGTTGCTTCCTGTCATTTCGACAGGAAGCAAAAAAGAAGAACATATGTATATGAAAGTCTACAAGCAAAAAGAATCGAAAACATACAACAGCGGGGATTCGCTAGTGGTCACCCACCTAACTACTAATCCGCCGGTACACTGCTTGTATATGGCTGAGCGGACGGGAAGCCTAATTTTCAGTGTCCTATGGTCGTATGTGAAAGATGTGGACTTATGGTTGCATTATATACCGAGTTTTGTTACCATCTCGTCGACTATCGTACACCTACAACATTTCTATCCTATCTCCAGCTATGCCACCAATACCGGCCAGCCCTTGACATACTCAATTGGATTCCATCCCAAGAACTTAAAGTTGTCTCGGTACAGCGGATCGTATGTTGTGTTGACATAATGGTAGTATAGCACGTCGCGTCCGTGGTAGTTGGAAATTACCGCCTGTCCACCGGGGCCGTAGGTGTTACCGTGGCTGCCGTATACCATGCTTCCGCCACCTTCAGCAAGATCCTTCCCATTGCGGTCAACGAAAGGACCGCGGGGAGACTTGGAACGACCAACGAAGATAGTGTACTCAGCACCAGCTGGGGGCAGAGCAGCGGGGTTGTAGCCGCAGCACAATCCCGCTGAGTACCAAAGGTAGTAAAAGCCTTGCTTCTTGTTGTAGTTGATATACGGGGCCTCCTCAGCGGATGCACCTCCCCAAGCAAGGGACATGTTGGCGTACGCCTGCTCCTTAGTCGGCAGCACAGGATCGTAGGTGTAGCTCAACTGACGGGCAGTAGGGATCTTGACGGATTTGAGGTCCTTGGTCAACTCGAACTGCCAGATATTGGCCCACCACGAGCCGTAGGTGAGGTAGTTTTTACCCGTCTTGGCATCTTGGATGAAAGCCGCGTCGATAGTGTTGGTCTTGCTCAACGGAAAGGGAGCGTCAGTGCTGTTAGAGGAGACAACCATGCCGTGGTCAGTCCAGGACCCATTTTGCAGGGTCTTCGAGGTGGCAAGCCCGATGAAGGACTCTGAGACACCGAAGTCAGAGACAGTGTAGTAGCAGTAGTAGGTGTCGCCAATCTTGTGAACATCAGGAGCCCTGCATTGTCGCGTTAGAATATGAGGTCTTGGAGCATTTCCTAGGCTGCTGTTTCTCACCAAAGACGGCTTGCCTTCGCAGGGTCGTCAATGCTGCCAGGCGGCTGCAATACTTGGCTGATAACCTCCCAATACCCTTCTAGGCTATTCTTCTTCGAAGCACGAGATGTTGTGGCCAAGCCGTGAGAGGAGAAAGAGTAGTAGTGGCCATCCGGTCCAAGCACAACACTCGGGTCGTGAATGTGGACACCACCAAGTGTACCGTTCAAGTCCTCACCGGTGATCTTGCGAGGCGCGGGCCAGTAGTCCCTGGAGTATGGGTCCTTGACAGGTTTGGCCGGGTCATAAGATGCCGAAGGAGCGCCGAAGGCCGGGGTGAAGAGAGAAGAGAGGCCTAGGGCGAGAGCCGTAAGACTGGTCTTGGTGGACGACATGACGGGATTTGTTGCGGAGACAAACCTCGTTGATCGTTGGAAGACTACCTAGGTATCTAGTCTTATATAGCAGACTGCCGTGCGTCAATGCAGGGCCAAGAGCCCACGATGCGGATCTGGATCTCGCGCCTGGGCAGATGTTGTGTGCCATGTGCATGCGAACGCCATCGTACTGCCTTTACAGTAAGTCCCTTGGCATGAGCCACGATCCGTCCGGCCGGGTAGTCCAAGCTAGGTAACGTTTCCCTGGAATGGTAAGAGCAAAGAACAATTCTCCACACTTAACGTTCTAAAGGTGGAGATAGAGCCTTGGGGTAGAGGAATTCACGGGACGTGGGGGAATTTGTTCGCACGAATCAACGACTAGCAAAGCCGGCTAGTAGACCTCGGGAGTCAGGAACAGGCGACCTCACCCCATCACTAGACCTTGACATTGAAGAAGCGAGGACGATCGAATGGCAACAGTTTGCCTGGCGGTAGCTTGATGATTAGCTAGGAGAGGCGTCGCATGACTGCTAGGAGAGGTTGTATGGTTGTTAAGTCCCGAGGTCTACCCTTTCCAGTTAGCATGAGTACGTTATCAGCACGGCCACTCTGCTTGGCGTATACAGCACCTCGGAGTTTGACCGACGGTGAAGAAAAATCGACTTTCGGGGCCTTTCGATCGCGTGGGAAGGACCAGAGTTCTTATCCATTCAACAACCTAGCATGACCGCTTATAACCAAGGTCTACGTTGAACCTGGATCTGTAATCTCCCCACCTTCTTCCTCAAGTAGTATCTTCTACGCTTATCTGACGCACTATAGCTCTTCATCAGCACACTGAAACTCTTATAATATAAAGGTAGTTCCTGACTTCGAAGGTCTGCACCCTCTATTAACAGCTCCCTCTCGCATTCCTCGGTCTCCGCCACGAGTCCATTGCACCTCATCCTACCATCTCAAACACAACCTCAGCATCTGCATAAATTGAAGGCCTCGGAACGTCATGTGAGAACGAGAATCTGTGGGGTACATGGATAATCGTGATTATGCGACTACGCGAAACACTTCTGACACGCTACGACCACAATGACAACAGGGTAGTATTTGCGAACCACGAAACGTGAGCCAATAGGAGAGACAAGTCTGAATGATTTCCCGGGGGCCTGTGAGCCCAAGTAGTCGGAAATGTGTGATTGGTGAGTCGTGTTATTATGCGGTCCCTAGGTCCAGTATATTACTGGAAACGGCGGCTAGGTATGAGTAATATAGACATGAGAGATCTGACTGTCGTGCTTGAGGGCAGTTTCCATCCTTCTTTCCCCTTTGCTTTTTACTCGACATTAGCATGATATCAGCACTCCGTGTACAATCTGCGATTGGTAATATGGGACTCCGAGTAAGACAGCTGATGCCCGGTCCAGAGCGCAATGACACCCAGGCGCCTCTTCTCCTTGGCGTATGCGGTAGTCTGACACTACTTGCGGTTCTACTACTTTCCGCAAGACTCTGGTCGAGAGTACGCCCGCTATGGAACCTGCATCTGGAGGATTGGACGGCCGTCGCAGCAACAGTAAGCCAGACTCCATTGCCTACCAACGCACATCTGATCTTGAACGCGCACAGGTCCTTGCGATAGCAAAATACATCATCGTTTGCCTAGCATGCGCTCACGGCTTTGGTCAGCGCACGAAGTATGTTTCGGCAGCCTCCCGTCTCGCTGCCATGCGACTCATCTTCCTCTGTCAAGCCCTCTGGAACGTGTCGATTTGTCTTGTCAAGATCTCAGTCGCCCTTCTCTTGCTTCGCATCAAGCAAACACACGCATGGCGCATCTTCCTCTACAGCACGATGGTACTACTCATCCTCACAGCTATAACATCGACGTTGTTTCAGTTCCTGCAATGCCAACCGTTCAGCGTATACTGGGATTCTAGCGTCTTTCTCAAAGGAGGTGTAGCATGTGTACCTCAGGAGCTCATAACGGGGAATATCGTCGCTGCGAGTACCGTGCACGTTTCAACAGACCTGGTATTTTCCTTCATACCGATAACTTTTATCCGAAAGTTGCATCGACCGCGTGGTGAAAAGATTTTTCTAGGCGTACTGATGGGTCTTGGACTGTTCGCTTCGTCGTTCGCCACCTTGCGTACCGCAGGTGCAAATATGATCTATACATCTCATGATGTCTTTCGCACAACTGTTATGCCTACGTTGTGGTCGATGTTGGAGCTCGAACTCGCGTTGATAGCGGCTACTATTCCGACGCTCAAGAGTTTCGTACAGAAAAGCCTCATGAAGCTTGGACGCTTCTTCTACGATGAGAAAACGGAGACACAAGTGCGAAACCGGCTTGTGGAGCTGGGATTCCTTAATGAGAACAGTGATGAGTTTGTGGGACTGGGACGGAAGCTGTCGAAACCAGACATTGGCGACGATATGACACTGGCAAGTGTGCGAACGTCGCGAAAGAGGAAGGATGAGTACGCGATGACGGTTGAGGAGCTTGCAGCATCGGAAAGTGAGGGTCATGAGATTACACGAGACTTGCGGGCGTTTGGGCCTTGAAGGCAGTCGGAAACTGTAATATTAAAACTAAGTAGCCACGATTTATGAAATGCAAGGGTATCTCTTACTCAGACACAGGACAGCGGCCCCCTCTCATTCCTTCTTCAATACATCGACAATCCACTGGGTAGCGTCTTTTGCTTCTGTTAACCCGTATGGCATAGTGAGGACGAAGCAGTGCATCTGCTTCTCCCAATGAACCCACTCGCCGACGACGCCTGCTTCAGCGCACTTATTGCGGAAGACGATACCGTCAGGACTGAGCACATCGCATCCAGCAGTTATGCCGTGTACCTTGATGCCCTTCTTCGCAAGTAGTGAGACATCAGCGTTGATTGGTGAGATCCGGCGATCGGCGGGATCCCAGTCGCCTTGCCATGCTCTTGCTGTCAGCCTGATTATTTTGGGTGTGAGCAGAGGGTCTCGAGGTGCGACTTTGTCGATATCTGGATTGGCGCGCGTAAGGTCGGTCGACGGGCACACATTCATAATGGCGACAGGGTGTGGTCTTTGCTTGATCTCTACGCCTTCTTGTTCGCTGTCCTCGCGGAGAGCTTCTAGTACAAGACATAACGCAATATTCGCACCCGACGAATCGCCTGCCAGTATCACCTTCTCTCCTGCCTCTTCTGCCTCTGCCATCAAAGCGCGATACATGTTTTGGCAAACAGGAAAAGACTTTGGCGCTGGATCGTTCGGGGCAAGCGGCGTGGAGACAATTGATATGGAAGTATCGGACATGTCTTTGGCTAGCTTTGCACATATCTTGTAGTGTTGAGGCGAAGGCGGTTCTTGCCAACTACCGCCAGCGAAGTAGTATATACGTTTCTTCGATCTCTTCTCTGCTTGATTCGGTGGTATCACATCGTATATGTGTACATCGCTGACGGTTCGTTCGTGGAGGGTGCATTGGGAGAGGTTCGATTTGCTCGGGTTCAGTTTGATAGAGCCGTCTTCGTGGTTTGCTTGACGGTTGCCGATGCGAACTCGCATTAGTCGTACCAGCGATTGCACCACCGACATGAGAAAGGTACGCTCATCGCGGTGTGTGAGCTGTATCGAGGAGCTGGTCTTAGCGGTTGTGCCGGACATTTTGTCGTCTGTCATGGTGCAGATGTCGAAAATTATGGTAGTAGACACTGAGGCCGAGGAAGCTCCGTTACAGGGAAGAATGAAGGAACTCCAAATGCAAGGGAAAAAGGGCGCTTGTATGGATCCATCTTGGGGCGAAAACAAAGAGGAGTACGCATCGTCGATTACGGGGCCTTATGCACGCCCACGCGCGCTGAACGGCTCGTTATTTACTAGAGGACGGGATCCATGATGTCATGGCGCTGTTTCTAGGCCTCATACAGGAGACCCTGACTAGAAGGGGGAAGTTATCAACTCTTCCGGGGGTGGGTCGATCTGGAGGTGATAATTCGGAGGTCGTGAGCATCACGCATGAAATGCGGTACGCGTCGCGGGCCCAGTGTCGGCTTGCAAAAAGCACTTGGGATGACGTAGCGTGCATAACTGTGCCGATTCTCCCATGCCAAGCCCTGGATTTCTTGGGCGACAGCAACCAAACTTTCTAACGTTCTATCCGTATTCTGGCCATCTTGGATACTTTATCAGCTACTAGCAAGTCGTCATCCGAGTCAATGGATCAGTAGACAGCCTTGAGAAGAATTGACCGCACTGTAAGTGCTGCAAATCCCATCTGATAGGAAGCGGCATGAAAGAGTTATTTCTGCGCCTTGTTCTCGCCTGATATGCGGCGCTGACCCATTTCATTTGTGGCTGAATGCCATCTTCCGACTTCCGGTATCCTTGTTCGCCGCGCATGCATGCAGAGTAAACACCTGGGCGGAGGTCTTGGTCCAGCCGCTGAGTGGCTGTGCAGTAGGCGGAAATTGTGCCTAGGAGTAGGTTCCGCTCCGCCAACTGTTACAAGTCGTGTCCGCCGGCGCCAACTCCGTCTTGGGTGCTCTTGTTTTCTTAGCATCTCATTGTTGAGCCCTTCTTATTGGCGACACTTTATCGGGATGCCTTGGCCTACGTGGGTCGACCACCAACAACCAAATGAGCTGATCAGGGAACTGGATCAGGAAAATCTTAAAGATGAACGTTGCCGTTGAGCCACATGTGGCAGCTGATCCATCACCTACTTCCGCAAGCCGATCATATCCATTCCTGGAACTACCAACACGTCGATGGCTTCACAACAGTTCCTTACCGACGAAGAAATCAAGAAGTTTATTGACGACCTCGATCACGACAAAGATGGCAATGTCGACTACTGGGAGTTAGAACGCAAGCTGGGCCAAGTACATAAAGAGATAGCACCCAAAGCGCAGCCACACAACCTACACCATGGATCTCGAGGCGACGAAGCTCGACATGCGTTTCTCAGAAATGTCATTGGAACGCGGGAGGACCACATCAACCGAGAAACCTTTGCAAAAACAGTGAAGGCGTGGGAGATACCATCCTTGGAGCAAGATCGGAAGGAAGCAAAAGATGAAGACGACTATCTGAAGCAGGTGTCCCTATACCGACGAGCGCGAGCGTATTGGGCCGTCAAAGGGCCTGAGATCATGTTTCTCGCACTGGTTTTACTTTTGATGATCGGCTTTGGCGTCTGGCAATTTGTCAAATACCTGACCTTTGACCAGTATACGCCTGCGTTCGGATGGGGAGCAGTCTTGTCCAAGACGTGCGCTGGCGTGCTCTACCCGACCTTCTTCTTCCTCATTCTGTCCATGTCAAGATGGCTCTCGACATTTCTTCGGCGCTTCTACTTCATCTCGCGGTTCATCAATTGGGATTTGTCCCAGAGTTTCCATATCAAGATGTCCATTGTCGCATTGGTCTTTGCTACACTTCATGCTATTGGCCACCTCAGCGGCTCTTTTGTCTTTGGCAGTATGGCTAGTCGACAGGGTGCAGTTGCCAATGTCATTGGACAGGACGCAGTGCCGCGCTCATATACTGATTACCTTCGGTCATTACCTGGATGGACTGGTCTCACATCTCTCGGCTTGTTCTATCTCCTCGCACTCATGAGTATGCCTCAAATACGAAAGTGGAGCTACGAAGTCTTCCAACTGGCTCATCTGCTCATGTTCCCCATCATTGGCTTCATGATGGCGCATGGAACTGCGCACCTGCTGCAATGGCCCATGTTCGGCTACTGGCTCGCCTTTCCAACGCTCATGGTGCTTTTTGAACGCATCTGGCGCTTGGTTCTGAGCTTCCGTCCTATCCTTGCGGATCTCGAGCTGTTGGATGATGAGACTGTCGCAATCACAGCGCAGGTGCCCAAGACCCGTCCCTGGGACTACAAAGCTGGCCAGTACGTCTTTGTGCAGGTTCCGCAACTATCCCGATTCCAGTGGCATCCCTTCACTGTTTCCACATGCATCAACAATACCATGCAGGTTCACATCAAGGCTGATGGCGACTGGACAAACTCGCTTCGTGATCTAGCGAAGGAAGGAGGTCGGTCGACGATCAAGATAGGTCTTGACGGACCATTTGGCGCACCTGCTCAGCGATTCTACGACTTCGAATACAGCATGGTCTTTGGGTATGTTGGAACTGCTTGCTTTGCGACAATGCGGATTACTAACACATGATAGTGCTGGTATTGGCATAACGCCTTTCTCCGGTGTGCTTACGGACCTCCAGCATCACGAGCTTGAGCGTGTCAAGTCTAGAGATGACTCCCCAGAATCATCCGACGAAACCCATAGGGAGTCTTCCCCGTACTCGAACCACCGCCGAGTCGACTTACATTGGATGGTGCGCGACAAGAACAATCTCCTGTGGTTCTCTGATCTACTGAATGAGGTCTTTCGCCACAGGACAGACAGCCCGGATCTCGACATCCGTATCAACACCTACGTAACCCAGAAACGCAAGCAAATATCGCAACACGTTTTCCGTTGGCTACTCGAGAAGCATCGAACAGATGATCATCCACAGTCACCCATTACTGGTCTTGTCAATCCGACACATTTCGGACGTCCGGATATTCGGGGTATCATGGAGGCACATTACGACGATATGAGCAAAGTTTTAGCCGATCGACTGAATGAGAAAGACGGCAACAAAGACGATGAGATCAAAATCGGTGTCTTCTTCTGCGGACCGCCTGTCATCGGTCAACAGATTGCCGATCAGTGTAGCGTGTTGACTGCAAGGGCAAGGAACGAGGACAGAAAGCTTGAGTACCGGTTTATGATTGAGGTGTTTGGTTAGAGACAAACGATGCTTAGCTTAATTGTAATGAAATCTTTGATATCCGACTCAAATACTCCAAGCTAGCGAGATGTGGATTGCACGTGCTGCATGATGAGTTTGAAGAATTTCAAAAGGGTTGTCAAGATGGATTCATCGCAAGTACTTCATAGTAGAAGTGGAGCACGTGCCTTGGCGCTAGACCCGCGTTACCAAACGCCGACGTGTCGGAACCGTCGTTGGCCGCCCGGAACGCTTTCACCTAACCACCCACCACTCCGTCTTTCTTAACATCGGCATCTCAGCCACAGCGCATCACGTTGTTCACCTGCTATAGCACGGTTCCTTGCTTCGCGACGCAAAAGGCTAAGCTTCACAACCCAGACCCAACACACCAAAAGCCCCGCCCCCCCCGCGCCCAGAGCACTGCTGCCACCTTCCGCGCACCCCCACTCTCGATACACACCATGGCTTCATCGGCTTCAAAGCGCCTTTTCAAGGAGTATCGCATGCTCTCCAACGACCCGCCAGAGGGCATCACTGCCGGCCCGGTCAGCGAAGACGACATGTTCATCTGGGAAGCACTGATCCAAGGCCCGGAAGGCACACCCTTTGAAGGCGGCGTCTTCCCCGCAGAGTTACGGTTCCCGAAAGACTACCCACTCGCGCCACCAAAGATGAAGTTTGTGACCGAGATGTGGCATCCAAATGGTATGTTTGATCACCTAGGACATGTTTCCCTATGTTCACTCACCTACGAGCGCAAGAAGCATGAATTAGTGAGAATCTGAGCTAATTTTACGAACAGTATACCCCAACGGCGAAGTTTGTATATCGATCCTCCACGCGCCCGGCGAAGACCCCATGCACTACGAACAAGCCTCCGAGCGGTGGTCACCCATACAAAGCGTCGAGAAGATCTTGATCAGCGTCATGAGCATGTTGGCAGAGCCGAACGATGAGAGTCCAGCGAACGTGGACGCGGCGCGGATGTGGAGGGAGAAGAGGGAGGAGTACGAGAAGATTGTGCGGACGAATGTCAGGAAGAGTCTGGGGCTGTAGGAAGCCTGGGACAGGGCATGTATGAGAGGGGACGGATGAGTTTAGGGAGGAGTTATGAATCACGAATGCATTAGCGTAACGGGAGTTTCTTGGTGGTGCTTGGTATCAAGCTTCTCAATATATGGAAATATGATATGAGCATCTCCATAACTGCCTTGAAGACAACAGTGGTCAAGTGGATCCGCTGCTACAAGGTTGAACTTGTTCATTCATGACATTCGTAAAGTCGTGCTGTGCTACCAATATGTGAGCTAAAAATGTGAATGTATATCAATCTGCCACATCCGCTGTGGATATAACCAGCCATCTTCTTCAGACAACCTCCAGTCCAGAAGCTTCACCATATCCGTTGTACGCCACGCCCCGGAAGTTCCACTTTGGACATTTCTCTTGCATATTACCACTCTTGTCCGTTGCGCGACTGTAGATCGCGACATCCTTGCCCTTCTCGACTTTGACCTTCAACTTCCATAGCGCCCACGCCCACTTGAGTTCAACATCCTTGGCGTCTTCACCCTCATAGTTCTTAATCAGTTCTGCCTCTGTCCATGACTTTCCTCCGTCAACACTGACTTCAACTTTTACGATAGGTCCATCTGCACCACTAGGCAGGGCGTAGCCCTTGACTTCAATCATCCCATCTGCATCCTGATGTACAGTGGTACCTGACTTCGGAACTCCGATGACGCTGTTGACGGGCATGTCATGCAGCGCGCCAACTTTGTCCCAGTACTCCTCTGCCTTCTCTTTGGAATCAGCTTCCGGAGGTAGAATCTTGTAGTCATGTTGCTGGTAGTGGCTTTGGCTCTCGCTTAGCTGGACTGAGATAGAGTCAAGCCACTTTACGCTCCTCGCTCCAGCGATACCTGGTGTGACGACACGGACTGGAGCTCCATGATTAGGTGGAAGAGGCTTGTCGTTCATCTTCAGCGCGAGCAGAATAGAGCTTTCGCGATTCATAGCTCGTGACAGTGGAATACTGGCACCGTAGAAGTCATCTTCTTGCGTAACCGTCTGGTAGCACGAGAATGCTACATGCGCTTCCTTCAGCTTATCATCCTCGACCTTGACACCAGCTTTTTCCAGAACATCCTTGAGCAGAGAGCCAGTCCATTTGCAGTTCATGACAGCACCATCGAACCAGTCGATGCCGGACACCTCCTTCAACTTTGTACGCATGGTATGACGCCGATTGCCGGCGCATTGTAATGCGCATATCACGGTATGTTGTGGAAGTGCTTGAAGGTCTGAAATGGAAAGCGAGAGTTCATTGTTGACGAGGCCGGTAATGGAGACTTTGTGTGTGCTGGCATCGATGTGGGGAATGGGGCCGTGGTTGCGGTCGTAGCCGTCTTTGGTAATGAAACTGTACCCAGAATTAGTATCGTCATGGCTGTGATACTACCAATAGTATCCAGTGAATATCATAGTTCTCTCAAAAGAAAGAAGACTGAGCTCCGTTCCAGCGCAAATGGACACCACGCATGGAATGACTCGCGCTCAACTAACGCCTTTCATCGCTGTCTCCACACAACATGCTTGTCTTTCCATACTGAGACACTACACACATACCTTTGGACTAACTTCTCAAGCTCTGGCTCGCGATTAAGCGGCTCCTCGACCGAGTACTCAAGCTACGACCAACTTGTCAGCCCTGTCATGCCAAAACCAGCCAATCGTGAAGACATAGTCTACCGCATTAGGAAGTCGATGCAAAAAATCTGGGGGCGTACCTGAACCATAGTGGTCGAACGTAGTTTGGCGGCGCACGTGAAATTGCGTGATTGAAAGCTAGGACGGAGGAAAAGTGGCGGGGGACACAGGTATAAGCGACACAAGCGGGGGCGGGGTAAGAGCGAAGTAGGCCCGACGAGGTTGTTTGCTGAGCCACACGTGGTGTATGGTTTGGGCAGGTGCGAAAGGGGAAGCCGGGTAGATGCGGCTTTTTGCTATGCATCTGCAAAGGAGGAGGGCAGTTCAAGCAATGAGGATAGAATGTGTGAGCACGCTGTTTACTTTGCGGCATGACGTTTGCTAGTCGATATATTACGACATTTCCTCGGAGGGCTTGGATCGAGCTCCTCAGAGCTTCTACTATCACGGGCTCATTGCAAAGTGCGTCATTCGCTAGTGGGTATGAATGTATCATCGGGTCACGATACCGCAGTATCCTTGAGATCTAGTCCATCACTTCATGAACCGACACCGTTGAAATCTCGCTACAGTGGCAGTCTTAGACATCGATTATCATCTCTTTAGATAATGCAAGTATTGGGAGTACCTAGGTAGTGTTTTCATGGTGCTCCTGTGAAACATGCACTTCAGGAAGAACCTCTAATACAGTTCGATGCTTCGAAAGGGTGTTCCCACATTTTAGAAAATATTGTCATCCTCCAAAGTCATATTTGGTAGTGGGCCTATATCTGAGTACCATGACTACCTATGGCAACGTCGAGCTCGCTTTCTCGGGAGAGATCACGAAGTCCACATCAATCCTTGGCAGGCTCTTCTTCATCCTTAGTATTGGGCAATCAAAACACATCAGGATACCAAGGATCTTCAAAGACATATATGTTCTCTGGTAACTGAGTCAAAGACTCAGGTCGCAAGTCCGCCCATTCTTTTCTTCGCTGCGTCTTCGCCTTGCAGTCGCCATCTCGCTTGCTTCTTGATTGAGATCTGGAAAGTTGTGAAACGGCATGGTGACATCCGGCGACGACGTACCACTAGGGTCGAGTTACAAAGCGGGTTGCACCAAGATGTATAGAAGAACCGACCGCATGAAGTGGATGTGCCTCAAAAGTTTTACGATGGTTGAATACGAATCTTATTATTGAATTAGGAAGCTTGCCTTACCTACGTAGATGCTTCTTCACAATGACAAACCTCACTTCTCTGATGTTCCGTGCCACTCAAGAACATGACTGTTCAATTGAGCAAATAAGCAAGGTCAAATGATTCAAGAAATACGGACTCCTTTTCAATACGCTAACTCTATGGATGAAGCAATGCGGACTCGGCACAACATAACCATCCGCCTATCAGTCTAATCCTCATCCACCATCAGCCCGCCCATACCGTCACTCAATCCGCTTAGCCCACTAACCCCTTCTACCTCACTGTCTTCCATGAAGATGCGCTCAAATTCTATATCGCCCACATCGCAGCTAAATGTGGCAGTGGGATCAGTCTTCCTGCGTTTGGCAACCTCCTCGAACTCGCGATAATTCTTTTGAATCTCGTCTTGAGAAAGCTCACTTGAGCGCAGGTGGTGGGGGCTGCTCAGTTCCATAGCTAAATTCGCGATATTGGGAATACTTGTGTTGCTGGCCGATTCGGAAGTGCTGGCGAAGCTAGATCTAGATTCCATGGGGGAGTCTGGTGGTGTGGGCACTTGACCAGTTGGGATAATTGGGATCTCTTTTTTTTCTTTGACAGGCGTGTGACAACAATCGTCCTTCGGGTCCTTTAGTTCCAACAATTCTTTTTTGATTGCTGCGTAGACCACGTGAATTGCCGGAGCAACTGCCGCATATAGACGAAGTGCCACTTCACTGGGTTCCCGCTCAACAGATGTAGTTCGGTTCTCTACATTCTGACGAAAGGTGTCGAGCGCTTCGAGCACAACTTCGCACTCCTCCACCGCAGACTGGTATCTTTGCGATTCAAAGGTTGCAGCGTGCATGTCGATATCATCACGCAGCGCCAGCTTCTGACGTTTGACGTCAGTGTCAGATTCATCATATACCAGTTCCACTGGTGACATTCCGTCATAGCTTGTGGAGCGTAACACAGCCATTTGTTTCTTGGGTGAATCGGGAAAGCGCTTTCTCAATGCCCCAAAGAAAGCAGGTTTGGAGTCACGATGCTGTTGAAGCCTAGGTGAAGCGAGGTTGTTGGACCAGGGCTCGCTGATATATGACGGAATTGGGGGCGTCGATGCGTCCTCGGTCTGTGGTCTGTATTCGTCTGGTACCGCATGGACCTGAAGCGTGTCTACAATCTCAACCTTGACGACATATCGCGAAACACGCTCGAAGCGCACGTCTTCTGGAAACTTTGTGACGATACTGGCTTGAATAAGCGTCTCGGATGTCGTTGGAGTATCCGGTGCCTGTGCACGGAATAATTCGCTGAACTTATCCCATTGGATCATGGACGTGGAACGCGTCACAGTGTAAACGACGTCATCGGGAAAGCGATTGTAACTCGAACTGTCTGGCTCACGATATGGGGCGATGTGATACTGGCCTCTCGGTCCGAGTTGCGAAGGAACATGCTCAAACTTAACATCGGGCGGTTGCCAATGTACTCTGGTGATAGCATGAACCACGGGCATGGTATAGTAATCGAGTGTCACTTCAGCCGACATGAAAACCCCCTCCGAACTGCGCAGGAAGCAATCGTGCGTTGCAATGTAATTGTAAACAAAGCCTGGAAGATCGCCAGACCCAAGCGACCATCGAAAGTTCCTGGCAGCGTTCTGACTGGAGTGATCGTTGTAGAAAGCATCGATGATATGATGGATGAGATTCGGCAAGTTGACTTCGATGAGACGGCTTTGCTTGCTGGGAAGGCCTTGTAATAAAAGAGTCAAAGGTTCTTCGCCTTCGAGATCGTCCCGGATTTTGTTTAGTTGAACAATAGTGAGGCGTCGCAAGTCATTCTCGACTTGAGAGACCAGACATCTCTGGAACAAACGCTCCCATAGCGTAAGCTCTAGCGCTTGGGCGTTGGAGATACCTTTCCAGCACGAAATTACGTCGAGATGATTGATTGCTGCTGAAGATTAGCAGTGCAACAGACTGAACTTCTAAAATCGATTTGTGTAGTGATGGGATGAGATTTTCTCAGAGCTTCGTAGTTGTACCTTGTTGCTTGGACTCCGATCTTCTCAAAAGTGGACAGCGTATCTCACTAAGTGATGTATTCGAATGGAGAGCGATACCGTGCAACTCGACATCGAAAGCAACGTTTGCCAGAAGGTTTTCGAAGTATGGACGGCCTCCATCGTCTGATGATACGGAACTGACCGATGGGTGAGCATGACTGGCGATGCCGACACCAGCGTGAAGCGACTGCACAACTTCGGCAGCAACATCCTAAGCTGTCAATATAGTCCGGGGACATGGCTGCACATACTCACAAGACGTTCTGTGGACATGTTGTAGTAAAAGATACTTGCGAATAATACGGTGTCTTGATCAATCGAG